AGTGATATGGAATCTTGTGGTACAATGTCAAAGAGATCCATATGCTAACACACAAGTTATGTCTGGAAGTTACAAAAATGCTTATTTTCGGCCCCTTTTTGGCCCCTAATTCCTTAACTGTTGGTACCATAACCCGTAAAATCAATCCCCACCTTCCTATTGTGGTATTGAACCTTATGGTAAAATTTCATAGAGATCCATTCACTTAAACTAAAGTTAGAGTGCGAAAACCATTGTGTATTCGGACGACGACGCCGGACGACGACGACGACGACGACGACAACGACGCAAACGTCATACCAATATACGACCTCAAAATTTTTTTGCGGTCGTATAAAAATTGTCAATGCATGGTTTTCGACAGAGTAAAATTTGAAACACTATTTTGTTGTCATACATGCTTAATTCAAAGTAAAGCTTCACTGGATATTTGCCACTTAAAATGTCTCACCAGACTTCGCGCTGTGCATTAGTACTTGGGCAATTGCAAAAAGCAACAGTTTTTTATGGCCCCGCAAAGTTGTCGGTGCCATATAGTTTTACCCTTGCCCGTCATTCCGCAACAAACCATTATACGGACTTTTTTTCTAAACTCCTTCAGATTTCAGGTATCGTTCCGACACATCTATTTTTTTTTTTTATATTAAAGTTTCAGTTATATATGTAAACAAGTCTGTGGGAAAACATGTTTTTCTGTTCTATTAAACTTTTTGTGTTGCATAATGTTAAGGATAATTGAATTATTTAGATTTTTCTAATTGCATAAAATTCATAATATTGCAACTTTTATTAAATGAAACAAACAATATTTCAAGAGAAGCAACTTTCCTACTGACATGTTTTTATTGTAGATTTCTCATGATCACTTTTATTAAATTAATATAAAAATAATATTTAAAGAGAAAAAAATCCCTAATTACATGTTGTTTAAATTGTTAAAAAAACACAGAGGTTTAATTTGTTTATTTAACATTTTTATCTAAATTCACATTTCGCCTTAGTTCAATTCCCATCTCGCCTTAGTATTTTTTTTACCTTTTTTACCTGGAATTCACAGCTAAGGCGAAATGGGAACACACCCTTACAAATTGTCTTGATCATGTTGATTGAAGGAAATTGCAAAGTAAACATTTTAATTGTTGCACATGTGTAATCAAAAGTGATGACACTTATTAACCTGAAATCAAATGATCAACAGATTAACGATCATCAAAGGTGTTAATTGGGCCAAAAACATGTCACTTGAAGAAAATGGTTACATAAAAAATGCTACAAATGTACTTAGAATTGTAGAATTATTTCTCAATATGATTTTTTCAATACGAAAGTTATGAGGAGATAAAATGAACACTTCATCACCGGTAGTCTGACTTTCGTGATTTTATATATATGAGAATTAAAAGTCGTACAGTTTAATTTTTTTTAAAGATTAAATTGGTAAAACCTGTCTGAAGATGTACATAATGCGTTTGCTGATATTCGATGTACAATTTATTTTCTAGATTATATGCCTGTATCCATGTAGTCAAACCTACATGGTGATCTTTGCACGTCTTGATTTGGACAACAATGGTAATATTTTATTGAACACTTAAATTCGTGGATATAGCCATCCACGAAAACCATGACAATTGGTATCCCACAAATATAAGTAATTTCACAGTACATTCTTCAAGATTATTGCTGATGAACTTAATGAGCCTTTTTTCTTTTTTATTAGATGCATGACTCTTGTAATGTGTTTATATTGTAGAAAAAGTAGATTACCAGCAAGATCTTTTCTTATACATAATAAACTGCTTCGCTGAGCGCAGCTGGATACGCCCGCAGAGGTCCAACCCTGAACAGGTTGGGCAAAAATGGACACAATATTCAAGCTTGATACAGGTCTGAATTTGGATTGTAATTAAATATTTGACATATTATAGGTTTCTGAATAAATGTAGTCAAAGAACTTGAAATTGGTTATATGTATTGAATTTATATTCAATTAAAGATTTCTTGCTGTTGTGCAATATACTGTGCTGTTGCGCAATACTTAGTAAATCTGTTGTCAGACTATAAACAAATAAAGTTCAATTTCTTCTCAATGTCATATTTGAAATTATGAAAATCAATATGGAGATTACATCCATAGCTTTAAATAATTCACCAAAGTTTCATGAGAACTGCTGAAAGCATTTTTGAGTTTTTGTCCAAAAACTGGAAAATCCCCCCTTTTTAATGAATAAAACCCCACAACTCAGAAATGTAAAATCTAAAATTTATAAAATTCTAAAGGGAGTTTACTTCAACAGATATAAACAAGTCACCAAAGTTTCATGAGAACTGCTGAAAGCATTTTTTAGTTATTGTCAGAAAACTGGAAAATCACCCTTTTTTTATGAATAAAACCCTGTAACTCGGAAACGTAAAATCTAAAATTCATAAAAATTGAAAGGGAGCTCATGTCAATAGATATAAACAATTCATCAAAATTTCTTGCAAGTTGGTGAAAGCATTCTTGAGTTATTGTCAGAAAACTGGAAAATCCCCCCTTTTTTAATGAATAAAACCCCAAAACTCGGAGACGGTAAATCTTAAATTTACAAAAAACGAAAGGGAGCTCACGTCAATAGATATAAACAATTTACCAAAGTTTCATGCATATTGGTTAAAGATTTTTTGGGTTAATGTCCGACATGTTGACGACGGACAGACGGTCAACGGTATACCATAATACGTCCCGTAAACGGGCGTATAAAAAAAACTGACCGACTTCCTTCTACAGGGAAATCTTCTTTGCAGTTGAGACTTTATGTTCCGAACATTGGTTAGTTGAGGAAGTTACAGACAGACTTAAAAGTGTTCTGATCCTAGTAAGATTCCTTATGAAGTGACTTAAAAGTGTTCTGATCCTAGTAGGATTCCTTATGAAGTGATTTAAAAGTGTTCTGATCCTAGTAAGATTCCTTATGAAGTGACTTAAAAGTGTTCTGATCCTAGTAGGATTCCTTATGAAGTGATTTAAAAGTGTTCTGATCCTAGTAGGATTCCTTATGAAGTGATTTAAAAGTGTTCTGATCCTAGTCAGATTCCTTATGAAGTGTACTGCATTCAAACTTTGTACACTGTGCAGAAGGGGTGTGATATCCCCATGATCCCTCGGGTTGTTTTTGTCATCCAGTCACTGAATTTAATTCATAAGCTCAGTCAAGATTGTCTACCTTGTGAAGTTAGAAATCTTAAACCAACAGATCTTTACAAAATCATTTTTGGGGCTATTTTCATGATCAAGATTGTGCCCTTTAGACTATGGATAAATCATGTAGTTCACACCTACAGTCTAACTTTGATAAGTCGAAGTCTGAGGCACCTGACATTACTATTCAACACATCCAAGGTTCGAGTCATCTTAGATCGTGAGTTCATCATGTGCTACTATTTCAATATTGTATCTTGTGCTGTCAGCCCAATATGTCATGCCAGAAAACATATCTAATATCCTAATCTGTAGGTATTGACAGCACATGCGGTATAAAAAAAAATTATTTCATAAAAACAAGACAGAATAGACAGTTCACATCTGATGTTTTCAAAGATAATGAAATACAAAATACGGAAGTACTTGCAAAACGAAACAATTCATTACAGATAATTTTTCAACTTTCTACTAGCTGCTATTTGCTGAGATCAAGTCTTTCAAAATCGTTTAACAACAGTTTAATCAGTTTAATTACAAGTTTTATTATTCATTGATCTTTTATGAATATCTCTGCTTTGGTCTACTAATTCGTTTCATTATTATCTCAGGTAAAATGTGTCCCACAAACGTAATTTTCAGAATGGTCAAACATCAAAGTTGTTGAAAAACAAACAATAAGAGTAATATGCAAATCTAATTGTAATACAGAGATTAAACGAAGTTAACAGAAATTTTGAACCAATTGAGTTTGACTCATCGGAGTTAGAAATGCCTTTAACAAATAGGAATTCTGCCAGGACTTATAAAATACTTCAAGTTATCCGAGTTTTTGACCCAACAGAGTTTGACACAAGATAATGTAAATCATAAAAGATGGCACATATGTGACTTATTACTGAAATTAAATATTGACACCTACACATGTATTTCTCTTATGATAAAAATACTTTTCGAATGGCCTTATTTGTTGTTTTGCATTATCAACTGAGACAATTTCAAATAATTGCCTTTTAAGACTCTTTTTGTGCCATTGCATAAGCACATATATTGGTTAGTTTTTTTTATTTCTACATTCATAATCAAAAACGTTACTGATAATACAGGATCATGAAATATAGAATTAACAAACTGCCATAGAAAAAAACAGTTGTTGTAATCGTTACAGTAAATCATAGAATTGCATGATAGGCAGACCTAATAAATGCATTAGTGTTATATGATATTAATCAAATTAATGTTCAACAAAAAGAAAACAATGATAATTATTACCTTCCATTTGGAGATATTAGCAGTAATGCAAAGCAATTTATGTTTTAAAAATTTATGTTTACACAACAATGACAATGTCTGTCCCACAAGTCCATTCATTTAAAAGCAAAAACAAGGCAACTGCACAAAGTTATAAGATATGACTACTACTAAGCAACACAAGAAACTTATTCATTAATTACAATTCAAATAATGCTAAAATTTAACATTTTCTAAGTATGAATTGTAATATATATATATATTTGCAGTATACATATCTGGGTTTTCTCAAAGTTTATTTCATTTCTGGGTCACAAGGAATGTCACGAATGCCTTTCTTTTTCGGAAATTCAATCTATAAATGCTGGTTAAAACAATACCAAGTGTGCCTAAGAAACATGTTTTCATACAGATCATAAAATGTCAAGTATTCATTCTGAAGATTGTTGATTTACGTGCAACCAGTCACGATCATCATGTCTTCGGCAATACACAAGACATGATAGCCAACCAATATAACACCCGTCATACGGGACCCCCACCTCACTTTATCATCAAATTTACGCACCTTGCGAAACATTTCGCAATACATAGATGTTGATACATTGCGGTCGGTGTCTTTACTGTTGTACCGACTTGCAATTGTCCTCAAATCGGCAATCAGGGCCGAGAAATCCATCCCAAACTTGATGATATTTAGGCCTACATGTGTGCGCTGTACGTAAACACTCTATTGCTTTCAATCAACACCGCCGTCTGGCGGTCGCGGTACCTTTGATCATTTTCAATGGAAACGATAACTCTGAACTACAACAAACATTCCCCGCCATATTCCCTCGATTTCATCCTGAACATACTGGCAAATAAATTTAGGGTATATAAGAATAAAAGTCGAATTTGGTATACAGTATAAGGCTAAATGAATTGTTTATGTTTATAACATTAGCATGAACAATTTTATGGCCATGATTTTTTTCCCGATGCATTTTTTAGTGTGTCTTGACTTTAAATATGATTACTCCTGAGACCAGTAAGGTCTATATCACTACTATAGTAGTCTCAGGGCACTCTTATTAATAAATTAATTGAATCTTATTTGTGTTATTTACAAATTATAATGTTATTGTCGTGTCAAATGTTTATTCTTCGGAGTCCTTGTTTGGAATAAACTATAATTCTTCTTCTTTTTCTGAAAGCCTCCAGTTTCATTATAGATTTATCTTCTAAATTTACTAATTTTGAATTTTTAAAAGACCAATCAAAATGTATATTATGGTTGATGTCAAATGAAGTTCCAATAGTTGATAATATAATGATAAAATTAATAGATAGTTTAATATATAGATAGTTTAATAAAGACTCAGAGAAGACTGCAAAATTAAGCAATAAGACATGAGTGGCACCCAGCTCTTCCTTCAATAATACAACGATACTGATTGTGTTCACTCACTCATTATCTTTGGGAATACACTGTGTTGTTGTCTCCCTTTTCTCATATACGGTTTTAGTTTTATTGTGAGATATTGCTATAGTTCATTCAATTATTAATTTTGTACACTTTAATTTAAACTGTAATTGTTCTGCTCCTTTGGGCGCCTTGATTGACAAATCAAAATTGTTGTTGTTGTTGTTGTTGTAATAGCAAGGACGTAAAACCAGAGACATGACTTTTTGTATACTTACATGTCTCAGGTAAAACTAACATATAGGTCCTTGTTAATAGCTGGGACTATTATACTATATTATAACTGTACAGTTAATAGCAACTACACTTTACATTTGACATTTATCATTTAAATTTTATTTTTAACAGGTGAACATAGTCTTCAACACGATACCTTGGGGTAGTCACTCGGCTCCATTGCTGAACTGATAATGATCGATCGGATGCTATCTGTGACCAATAGACTGTATTAGTCCCAGGTGCCATTTAGTTCAAATTAACCGATGTTTGTTCCGATTTAAACAAATTTTCATCTAAGTTTTTATTTTTGGGAATACACTGTGTTGTTGTCTCCCTTTTCTCATATACGGTTTTAGTTTTATTGTGAGATATTGCTATAGTTCATTCAATTATTAATTTTGTACACTTTAATTTAAACTGTAATTGTTCTGCTCCTTTGGGCGCCTTGATTGACAAATCAAAATTGTTGTTGTTGTTGTTGTTGTAATAGCAAGGACGTAAAACCAGAGACATGACTTTTTGTATACTTACATGTCTCAGGTAAAACTAACATATAGGTCCTTGTTAATAGCTGGGACTATTATACTATATTATAACTGTACAGTTAATAGCAACTACACTTTACATTTGACATTTATCATTTAAATTTTATTTTTAACAGGTGTACATAGTCTTCAACACGATACCTTGGGGTAGTCACTCGGCTCCATTGCTGAACTGATAATGATCGATCGGATGCTATCTGTGACCAATAGACTGTATTAGTCCCAGGTGCCATTTAGTTCAAATTAACCGATGTTTGTTCCGATTTAAACAAATTTTCATCTAAGTTTTTATTTTTTTTACACAAATCAAGCATGCAATGCAGTTTATTTTTCACAGTTAAGCTTTTTTTTATATACCTATCTGTAGTCTGCCTGGTCTCCATCTTCCGAGTCTGACATACAGTTCAAATTGATCAGTTTACTTTTCTATACCTTTTTAAGCACGGAAATAAGAGAGACACGAGATTCACAATCTCATTATCTTTAGTTACAATCATAGTGTATTGTATATCTGATTCAAAGTTTGAAAATTGATGCTTCAGTTATTAGGATTCTAATCTAATCTAGCTTATATTTAACCCGGCCCTGTGTAGAGAAATCATATTTTTATATGCAGAACAGGTGCTCTGTTTATATACAGTGATTGGTCATAACTTGGTTAACCTCCAGTGACAAATATTTCATACATACTCAGGAAGAGAATAAACGGTGACAATAAGCAATACAATAGCCTAGATAGGTTTTGCCAGGTAGGCCGACCGCCATTAAAAACAGGGTGATAATTTGGATTGTCATCAGAAAATGAGGGTAATACGTTGTAAATTGTGTGTCTCGTATTATCGTTTTAAAAAGAAAAGGTAGATTTAGTTGTAGTGAAAATAAAATAGACGACTGTCATTTTCTTTGATGTAAAGTACCACTGAATAATTTCATATAAATTCTTCGGAACAACGAATCGGTAAATTCGCCATGAATAATGTTTAATGAACAAACAATTCTGAACTAGCATAGAGAAATATGCATGTTCAGTAAATCTGAATGTAGTGTTGAGAAGCGAGCGAGATTTTAACAAAGGTCAATAACTGCCTCGTACGACAAACAAATTAGACCGGTACACACTTGTTAAAAGTAAAGCCCACTTTGGGGTTTTCCTTCAACAAAAATAGACACGTATGATTTAATTTGTCACTTGCATCTATCCACTTTTGCGTTTTTCAAAGTCTTAATCATTTTGTGCATGTTTTGTGGAAACCGAATCTTCCTTCTTGTATTTGCGAATAGTCGCTTGGGTACAGGATTTGGACTTGTTTTCATTGTTTACACTAAATATTCAATTTTCTTTTTTTTTTTTAAACCACAAAGCTTGTGTCTTACCTTGTTTTTGTTGTTAATATTCATGCTTAAAAACAACGTATGGATAGTAAAATATGGGATATTTTAGAGTGGTTAATTTCACTCAAAATAAGGTATAACAAGCTTAGTAAGTATCTATGTATTACTGGTAAATTATTAAGTCAAGGATTTCATTAAAACAATTCATCTTAAACCTTTACTAAATTCTTCCATAGATATCAAGATTTGGTTTGGAAGTTTGGTTGTACCAGCCTGTAGAAAACTTATTTCAAACGGGATAGCACATCCTAATTTTTACGGAGACGTTGTTTACCGAGACCGGAAATGTCGATACGATCCGGGTAAACTTATCGATCCTTTAAATAAACTTAGTCTAAAAGGTTAACAATCCAACACTATAATTAGACTTATCGATCCTTTAAATAAACTTAGTCTAAAAGGTTAACAATCCAACACTATAATTAGAACTTTGAATATTGTTTTTATTGGTATCAATATTGATTTCGTTATCAGTAAATTAAAATCAAACTAAATATTATTTTTATATACATCTGCACATTCATGGCTCTACAATCTGTCGATACCTGCGTCTTGGCATTGCACTCCATTGGATCTTGGGTGTGTATTGACTGATATTTTAGTCTTAGATGCTTGATTTTTTTATTAGTTCTTATTGAATTTGAACTATCTGTCAGTTACCGCGAGTACTCTCACATCTGTACTTAGTCCCAGGTTAGGGGGAGGGTTGGGCGCCCGCCAAACATGTTTAACCTCGCCACATTCTGTATGTGCCTGTCCCAAGTCAGGAGCCTGTAATTTAGTGGTTGTCGTTTGTTTCTGAGTATCATATTTGTTTTTCGTTCATTATTTTGTACATAAATTAGTTTTCTCTATTGAATTGTTTTACATTTGTCATTTCGGGGCCTTTTATAGCTGACTATGCGGTATGGGTTTTGCTCATTGTTGAAGGTCGTACGGTGACCTATAGTTGTTAATGTCTGTGTCATTTGGTCTCTTGTGGGGAGTTGTCTCGTTGGCATAACACATCTTCTTATTTTTATATCTAGTGTCTTTTTGTTGTGGGGATGTATTTAAATATCCTGCCACGTCCACTCTGTGTTTTTGTTAGATCTATTTCTGCTTTGTATCTATCTGATGAGTTAAGCCCATTTCAACTGATTTTTATAGTTTGTTATTATGTTGTACTGCTTCACTACTGTCCCATGTTAGGGGGAGGGTTGGCGCCTTCAAACTAGTTTAACCACGCCGCATTCTATATGTGCCTGTCCTAAGTCAGGAGCCTGTAATTTAGTGGTTGTCGTTTATTACTGTTTCTTATATTTGTTTTTCGTTTATTGTTTTGTATATAGGTATAAGAAGATGTGGTATGAGTGCCAATGAAACCACTCTCCATCCAAGTCAAAATTTATAAAAGTAAACCATTATAGGTCAAAGTACGGTCTTCAACACGGAGCCTTGGCTCACACCGAACAGCAAGCTATAAAGGGCCCCAAAAATTACTAGTGTAAAACCATTCAAACGGGAAAACCAACGGTCTAATCTATATAAAAAACAAGAAACGAGAAACACTTATGAACCACATCAACAAACGACAACTACTGAACATCAGATTCCTGTCTGAGGACAGGTGCAAACAATTGCAGTGGGTATTAACGTTTTAATGGTACCAAACCTTCACCCTTATCTGAAACAATAGTGTAACATCACAACATAGAAAGACACACTATAATGTATAGTTTGTTCTTGTGTTGTGTCTCTGCACCATTGTCCCAGGTTATGGGGAGGGTTTGGCGCCAGCAAACTAGTTTAACCCTGCCACATTCTGTATGTGCCTGTCTCAAGTCAGGAGCCTGTAATTCAGTGGTTGTCGTTTGTTGCTGATCATATTTGTTTTTCGTTCATTATTTTGTACATAAATCAGGCTGTTAGTTTTCTCGCTGACTATGCGATATGGGTTTTACTCGTTGTTGAAGGCCGTACGGTGACCTATAGTTGTTAATTTCTGTGTCATTTGGTCTCTTGTGGAGAGTTGTTTCATTGGCAAGCATACCACATCTTCTTATTTTTATAATTAGTACTGTTCAGTATGTGGTATAAAAATAGAAAGTTAAATATTCAGCGCAAACCACGAAAAAAATCCAAATCCTGCACTCAAGCGACAGTGGAATACATATTTGCAAATTAAGTGCATATTCAGGACGAGATCGTGATATGCAATTAAAACCCTGCTTTGTACTAAACCGACACGCTGAACCGGTTAGTTAACGTGCTCATTCACAAAGTAACAGTTCGAGCCGACCAGACCTAAATCTTACTTCTAAAGGCCGCGTGCTTAGCGGAGAAGCAGCAAATACCCATTTTCAAGTCTTTGGTTTGACACAGCCGGTTCGCACTCGAAATGAGACCACCGAGGCGAGCACCCTACCACGAGATCTCCGATGCGGTACTGGAATACAAAGGAGTTAAGCTTCTAGTGTATCTTGCTCGCTTTTCAGTATAGATTGCAAGGTAGGTGTCTCCTCATGGTTGCATGTGAGACCACATTTTGTGTTATTGCTAACATATGATTCTGGTTCTTAATTCGTCCGGACATGACCTGGCTTCTATTAGCAAGTTTCTGACGATAATCAGATTACAAGAGTTCCAATACATATATCAAATTAACAAAAGCAACACAGTTTTAAGTTAAAGAAAGTCAAAACAAAAAGTGTTCAAAAAAGATCCCTGGACGAACCTAAAGGAGACCTTGCTTTAGAAAGATCTGAAATCATGTAGCTTACATAGACGATCACTTATTTAATATTCATACTTGTTGGTGATGAGTGCACACTACAAGAGTTTCAAAGTGACTGTGTCACACGGTAAAATCAAGAGACAAGACTATATCATAATCAAACAAAAAAGAAGACGCAAAATTACATACACTGATACACACAATCACAAACACATGTACAAATGGCCGTTTTGGTAATTTTTGTCGTTGTTTTGCTGTCTTGTTGGCATATTACTTACGTCTCTGTTTATTAATACACATGTTAACAGTAGGCAACGATACAAATTTTAGTTTGAGAACTTGAATCCCACGCATTAAAAGATTAGAAAAGTTTGAAATGATAAAGTTAGATGCTTTGAAGGGTTCTGCAGGTACTAAACAGAAGAAGGTAGTTTTAGCTGTTTTTTTTAATGGTAACAGATATACGCTTTACTGGTAAAAACCTTTTGTATTTATTAGCATCTTTTATAGTCATAGCAGATACCTTTATGGACCTAACTTAATAATCGACACTGAATGATCTTAAAATAGAAGAGACGGATACCGCGATGATGTACTAGCTGTTGATAATAGAAAATTGTCATAGTAGTCCCCTTGACGATTAGATGTACTTGTATATTATTGTGTCTTTGGGCCTTGTGAGTTGAAAAATGCGCACACTTATATTTTCTCATCCGTTACTTATTACTTATTATGAATTAATTTTATGCTGAAAGTCTTTAATGTCAAAGTCTTACTACATGTATATCAGAAATTTAACATCTAATCTAATCGAATCTAACTTATCTTTAAACCCCCTTTGAAGAGGAACCATATTTATCAATGATTATCAATGATAAAAATGAGGTCAGGATCATATGAATCACCAAATATAGTTGACATGTTGCTTTCAGTGTCTGAGAAACGAACCTAATCATGACAATATAATGTTGACCAATGAACAACGAAAATAAGATCAATGTCAGAACAATTCCGCCAGAGGAAATAAAGTCATTACACACATCAAATATGGCTGACCTACAGTAGTAATACTTATAGTATCTGAGAAAGACATAATCACCAATCTTGATGAGGTAATGATTCAGATCAACCCTGCCAGAAGGACATATACACTTTATACTGATTCCAGGATCTGACTAGCCTTCTGGAGCACCTGCGATCACCCCCGTTTTTTATGAGGTTTGTGCAGTTCAGTCTATAGTTTTCTATGTTGTGTTTTGTATACTGTTGTTTGTCTTTTGGTGGTTTTTGTTTTTTGCCAAGGTATTGCCAGTTTGTTTTCGACTTATGAGTTTGAATATTCCTTTGGTATCTTTCTCGCTCTTTTCCATGCCCTAAATATAACGGACCTACTGTTTTTGTTATCAAGAAACGGACCTAACGACAAATTATTAACATTTATCAACGACCCTTGAAAATGAAGTCAAGGTCAGATTAGACCTGCCAGACGGATAGGTACACCTTAGTATCATTCCATACACCAAGTTTAGACCTGCTTTAATACTGTATCGAACCATCAAAACTTCATGTTCATCTATGATCCATTAAATGAGGTCAAGGACAGGTGAACCCTGTCAGGTTGACATGTATACCTTAAAATGATTCTATATACCCCATCAGAATAGCATCCATACGCCTGGCATTCTGCAACATTTGTGGAAGGCATCCAGAAATTGCCATAGTCCCATATGAATCTCATGAAATTGTCAAATCAAAATGAAAGTATAGCATGGTAACAATTATGATTTATAAGTAGAGGTGAATTATCATGTCCAAGTTTCATTACCAAACTCCAAGGGGTTTGAAAGTTAAAGAGCGGGGAAAAATTTTCTACACTTGCGCAGAGGCTTAGTTGAACAATTTTTTTTACCTTGACCTTCACTGTAGGGTTTCTTTTTACCTTGCCGATCATCACTGTAGGGTTTCCTTCCTCGAACAATACACACCTTCTAGTACTGGTAAATAGTCCTGTCAAGTTTCATTACCAAATTTTAAAGGGTTTGAAATTCAAGCAGAAACGGTTTTTCTACACATGCACAGGGGTGTGACTAAGTTGAACCAAGTGTTTGATCTTGACCTTCACTGTAACTTTCTTACATGTACTATAGGCCTTCAGCCGATCAATCGAAGGGACCCTTATAATAATAATCCTGATAATATGCACACCTTTAGAACATTATATGTACTAGCTTGAAAACTGTAGGAGGATTTAGCTGGACAATCCATTTACAGTGATGACATTTTGTCGTATGGGAAAACAAAATGGTCAAAGTCCCATAACTCCATAAAAATTATCGATTCAAAATGATGATATAGCATAGTCAGAACAATAGGATGACTGATACTACTACTAAATATGAAAGCTTTTTTTCAGACTGAGTGTTGTTCTGATTCAGACATAAAGACTATCAATATGTCCCCTGCAGTGTGCACCGTGGGGTACAATAATTGGATGGCCTTTAAAACTAGCAATTTGGATTAGTTATGCAGGAATAACTCAAAAATGATTCATATTTGTTCTTTATTATTCATAAAGACTTGATTATCTGATTAAAAATCATTATAAAAAAAGAATCAAATGACATATTCAATATGCAGTACAGTAGAATTGTTTTATCTGAATGATAATAAAATAAATCAATATGCAGTACAGTAGAATTGTTTTACGAGTGATAATTAAATAATCAATATGCAGTACAGTAGAATATTTTCATCCAAACGATAATAAAAAAAAAATTGGTGAAGAAGTATACATTATTATTATAAAATCTAATAGTTCAATTTTGTTACTTCTCTTAAAACTAAAATATCATTTGTAACCAAGACAGGAACCTACACTGTAGTTTTCATATCTTAAGATGCACCAAACTTATCAAGTGCTTATTTCATTACAGGAAATGGGCCATGTCAATGATTTTGCATATAATTTTACTATGTTAACTTGAACTAAAAAAGCAAATAAGTAATGCACTAACATATTTTATTTTCTGAAATATTATTGAATAAAATTCTTTCAAAATAGGTGTTCATTTGCATAGCAAGTACATAATGATGAAAAACATTCTCAAAATTGTCTTAAAATCAAATCTCCAAAACCCATCAAGTTGACATGTTGTTTGCTTTGATTGATTTATATAATCATCGAGTCACTCACATTGTTTCTGATGTATTAACCAACCTGTAACCCTGTTGGAGGGCTTTACATTGTGAATATGTTAACTTTATTTTTTTCACAAAGAACACCACATTACTGTTGTTTACCCAAAAAGCAAAGTTGTTGACCCTATAATTATTTTACCTCATCAGTACTGAAATTATCTGGCAACAACATATCAATTTGATGAAAAATCTATTGAGTGGGTGATCAGAAATTTTTTTTTTTCAAACAATAATTTTTTACCATGTTTTTAATAGATTGTTTTGTACTTACTGTACAAATGTTGAACTATTTTAAAAATTTTACCAAAATCTGTGACATAGTCCATTCACATATCCTTGACCTTAATGTTTTTCATTATTTTGGGAATTGGGTATAAATGGCTTTGATTTTGTTTCTGTTAAGTACTAAACATTTGTATAGACACTTGTCCATTGCTGGAGACTATGTTGCCATCTAGTTTTTCGGAGGTTTATTTTTGTCATTGGGTTGATATCTCATTGTATATACACTGCACCTCCTTTTATTCATACTAAATTTTTACTAGAATTTAGTAACAGCTTCCATTTCAAAATCTTGGTCTGGAATTATTGGTTGTTATACATCAAAAGGACCTATGAATTGATGTTTTTTTTTGTTAACAAAACAAATAAGTAAATGTACTTACATTTCTTTATAAAATTACGATTATCTGAGTTTCTCCCCTTATATGGCAGTGTTTAAAAATATTTTTGCAAAAACAGATCAAAATTATTCAAACTAATTGTATCATTTTTGAAAAATGTGCATTTTACATTTAAAAATCTAGACAGATTTTACTTTACTATCAAAGATCGATAAAGAGAACAGATCTACCTTAATCAATTATTAAATTAAAAAAAATAATAAGTAAGTTTTCTGCTATTAACAAGGAAAGGGAATTATTAATTAAAACAATAACAGATTTTTGGCCAAATACAAAGAAGCTTGGATCTTTTTATAGCAGGTTATATTTAATATTAGCTGTAACTTTATATATTAAGTACTGTAATAATGTCCCCAGCAGATTTTTGTATTGCATGAGCTTGTGAATACTATACAATTCTACGATTGATTGTTGGTGTTTTAACTATTAAGCGCCACATTTGGGCTATTTCGTGGCGGCCAGTTTTTATTGGGGGAGGAAGCCGGAGTGCCTGGAGAAAACCACGACCTTCGATAGGAAAACTGACAATCCTAGTCAATTAAGATTGGAGTTGAGTGCACCCGCACAAGCGGGATTCGAACTCACAACCTCAGTGTTGACTGGCTAGTGATTAAAGTAGTAGAACTACTTAGACCACTTGGCCACCGAGGCCTACGAGGGATAATATTCATGCAATAACTCTACATTTTTAGCAAAATTTGCTTAAAAAATATTATTGTCACTGATGACCTATATAATTTGAAGTTATATATGCACCAGTGCATAACTTTTATTGCTATACATTAACCATTGTTGATGATCAAAGGGAAAACAGGAAACACCCATATATCATAGGCGGATCCAGGGGGGGCCCCCCTTTTGTGGGAAAAATTTGGTTGATTATATAGGGAATCACTGAAGCATGACTGGAGCGGGCCCCCCTTAGGTCAGTCAGCGGGCCCCCCACTTATACAAAATTCTGGATCCGCCACTGTATATTATGGTTATATCTTGCATATGATATTGAGAAATAATATTATTTTATTGAATCTGGAAAAAATTATAATGGGATATGGATAAAGAAAAAGGGTTGTATATCAATATGTATATACACATGTATTTTATTTTATCAAACACAGTAATAATTAATGCATTTTCATCAATATACATAATCATGGATTAATGATGCACCAACTAAATGCCCAATAAAAATGCTGCCTGGCCATTGGTTAAAAATGAGTGATGTGCACCAATAAAATGCCAGATAAAAAAAAGCTGCCTTATCATTGGTTCTTGATTTGAGATGGTTAACAATAAAAGATCTCGTTTAACTGGTTGATGATTTTAATAATGCACCAATGAAAATATGACAGACAAAAAGCTGCTTTTAATCATTTAAATAGTCACAACAAAATTCACTTTTTGCACTGTTTTTTATAAAATGCCACATGAAATGAATTATAAAAGATCAAATAAAATATATAAAGCATTCATACATTATATATCAAAGTCATATGAAAATGGCAAACCTGTTCCATAAATGGCTGACACTAGCTTGATACAATAAGCTGTCAACATGTACTTTGTCAATCTTTGTAACTTTCAATACACCTTATTGCTATTTATTCCATTCTGATAAGTTCTGAAATTACACAACTCTTTCTAACCAGTTGACGCCATCTGGGGCCCTGTTTAAACAATGTACTGTGCATAAAAATTTTCAAAGAGTTATGTTTAAACCATTGTAAATACTTCAAACAAAGCATTTTTCTTACTTTAATTTGTGTTTAAAAAATTGGATCATAACTATACAAATTTCAAAACGTTTTCCTCCCTCAGCTCATTACTGATGACCTTTGTGTTTGTGACACTTGACCCAAACAGGAAGTTGTCTAGATGACTGTTTTTTCCGGATTGGACTAAATAGCGATAAGGTGTTTAGGTTACTATTTTCTTCTATTATCAACACCATTTCCGTTTCATAACAAAAATGGTGAAACTTTAAAGAGCATAATATTTTTTTTTGTCTATGTAAATTTAAACTTGATAAGGCATTAATAATAGATCACAACCATCACCCTAAAAATATTTACACAGGAAGTGTTTTAAGTGATGATCTAATTGCTGCCAGAACTATAATTTTGGGCAATGCTTGAGCTCTACATTATTAGCCAAAAGTCAAATTTTTCCATTATCTGATTTCTGAAAAAAATCCATTATCACTTCATTTACAGACTTTACGTTATGTATGTTACTTATCCTTTTACTTACTGGAAATATATTATAAATAATTTATGAGATCAAATTGAAGTCTACAATTCAAATGTCAAAAAAATACACAATACAGCTAAACTTTATAATAGGACTGGAACTCAAAAGTACTCATCATCAAATTTCAAAACCATAAAAAAATAGCCAAAAAAATTATATACATTTATAAAGTTTAACCATCAAATTGCTTTTGCAAATGATCTTTTAAGTTCTTACTAGTACTATTCAAAAAATTTAAATATAAAATTTGACCACTTGGTCCGAGTACACAGTTATTTCGTAGTGCATTTCTTTTAGACAATAAATGAAAATAAAAAAAATCCCACCTGCGCTTTCTCAATAATATTTTTACAGTGTGTTGTACTACTTTTGGGACAAATTATATCAAAATTATAGAAAACTTCATCGGCTCTAACTCAAAATATGGACAATTCTATGTTAAGGGGGTCTTGAAATCTTTTGACAGCTTCCGAAGTGCTAATTTTTAACCTTTTTCAGCTGGACCAAATCACTACTTTACTTTACAATTCATGACCCAAATTTTTTTACAGTGTAATTTCATCCCCCTACTTGCTATTTGAGGCATAAAACATGAAGGAATACATTTGGAAGGGGTACTAAAAAAATTGGCAAGCAACACACTGTCCACACTAGGGACTTTATTCGTGGACAACGAAAATCAAAGGACGATAACTGTGTACTCGGACCTAATAGGATAGAAAAATTTGACCAATCTTAATAAAACTTGGTATGACTAAAGCTTAATAAATTATGAGACTGCTGACAAAGTTTCATGGCAATAGGATATATATTATAGACAATATGATAAATTCTATATTCAACTTCGCGTGTTAAATTTTGACGTTTAAATTGAAAAATTTCAACTATCGACATTTGGGGCTTTAAAAATTAAAATATTGCAAAAAATTACATTTTAAAGGGCTTTATATATGACATATTATGTATTTAAAGCAATAGAATACTCATTTGATTTATCAGACTTATCACAATTATTTAAAAGTCAAATTTATATGAGCCTGTGCCAAAAAATGGAGGTTTTCCAATGAAGGGGGCCTTACATGAAGATGTATTATTTTCCAGCAATTTTAAATTTGTGGAGTTTTTTGGTTATAAATAATCCTTACATATGTATTAAATGTACTTTAAATGGAAAGAAAAATTACAAATAGCATACCATATTAGTATAAAAGGGTCTTAAGCCAAGTAAGACTGAAAATAATTTAGGGTCAATTTAGGCCGTAGCACATATTTACATTTAAAAATGCATACTGAAGCTATAGGAAATAAAAATTTGTGTCTCTTTTATAATTTCTATACTCAGGTTACATGATACAATAAATCTGAGAATAAAGGGACTCTTGCATTCTACTTTTTTTGCAGACAGTATGGTCTGATACAAAGATTTTTCACTTTTTAGTGAAAAACTCGCATGCAATTTTAGCCTCAGCAGGCTTATATTTGAACCACTTGCTATTTAACATAAGAAAAGAAAGATACTATGTGAAATGAAACAGGTACAAAAGACATTGTGAAGTGCTTTTAATACAAATTTAGTGAAATCTTTATTATGGACTTCAACTTTTATGTACCTAGGTCCTCACATTTAACTTGATCCAAACAGGCCGTTACACGAGGGTCATTTATACAACACATTTTGCACATATTGTCTGAGATAATCTTATTTTCTGTAGATTCAGAGTTCACAAATGAGTAATACAACTGGGTTAAAGCATAGAAACACAAATATTGACACAGGAAAACCTGTCACATAGAAAGTCAGAATGCCATTTATGCATCAAAATTGAAAAAGCTTTGAAATGCTTATTTTGACCATATAATGCCAAAATGGGTAATTTTTGCAGAATTTCTATCAAATAAAAGTTTAAATCCTTTAGTTTCATGCTATCTGACAAATTGACACCATTAAATCATTCAGGGAAGTTGCCAAAGTACAGATTCTATATTTACTGATTTCGCCTCTTAGGTCCGAGTACACAGTTATTTCGTAGTGCATTTCTTTTAGACAATAAATGAAAATAAAAAAAATCCCACCTGCGCTTTCTCAATAATATTTTTACAGTGTGTTGTACTACTTTTGGGACAAATTATATCAAAATTATAGAAAACTTCATCGGCTCTAACTCAAAATATGGACAATTCTATGTTAAGGGGGTCTTGAAATCTTTTGACAGCTTCCGAAGTGCTAATTTTTAACCTTTTTCAGCTGGACCAAATCACTACTTTACTTTACAATTCATGACCCAAATTTTTTTACAGTGTAATTTCATCCCCCTACTTGCTATTTGAGGCATAAAACATGAAGGAATACATTTGGAAGGGGTACTAAAAAAATTGGCAAGCAACACACTGTCCACACTAGGGACTTTATTCGTGGACAACGAAAATCAAAGGACGATAACTGTGTACTCGGACCACTTCAGGTACTATATCATTTTATTCTTTTTATAAATTATCAAACCTACTTCCTTACTTGACTTTTCACAACCATTTCCAAGAACTTTCTAGTTTTATCTATGACACATTCATTTGTCAGTTAGTATATTTTATAGCCATCTTTGTATATAACGTTTTTGTATCTTCCATAGAAAATTTGAATACCGTAATTCCATATTTATTTTTTTAATTTCTTGCTTTTTAAAAAAAAGATGTTAAGCTTTTATTTTGTCTCTACAGTTAGGAACAAGGGCTTTAAGTTACTATAATTCAAATGAAGATTTTTTCTTGGTAGATCTTTTAATTCACCTTTTCAAAATCTAAAGGACAATGGGTGATCTCATTGTTCGTAACCCAAAATGAAGATAACATTACGTCATTAGTTGAATTTCCATTGTATAGTACGTTTTAAACCAATCACAATGTTTTGGTTTAAGTCTCTGAAAATATTACCCAGAATTCATTAGATTCTGAAACGGTAAATTGTGCAACAATAAAGTAAGACATTTTGTAATCTGGAGAGGAAAAATATAAATGTGTACTCCTTTCTGCAAAAACTGAGCTTGAAAAATCCAGTCCTATTTTAATACTATGAACAAACAAAAAACAAATCTAGAATACAAAGATTGAAGCTAAATAAATATAATATTGCAAAATTAAGCACTTGATTCTTCGAATCCACTACAAAAGTAGAAACATAATTAAATAGCACTCTTCACAAGATAGCACTTTTACATATAGATATATACAAAATTGTAAAGACTAGAAAACGGACATTTTCTCCACAGTCCTAAAAGAATAATTCCATTGAGCATTATAAAAGTTATATTTTTTTCAATGAAAATTGTACTACTTCAAATATAATTTGATTTAAATGATATAATGCTTTATCTTTTTACAAGAAGTACTTTTGACCAAAAAAACCCTAAAAACAAAAAAATAACATATATTCCAACAGTTCAACAACAGACAAATGCATAGCACTAGACTTCATACAATAACAGTTAACAATGATACATACTTCTATATATATAAGTAAAGTGATATTCCTAGCTCATAATGGTTGAGATCAATTTTCCTTGTAAAACAATGAACCATTCCCAGAATTGTCAAAGCTATTGCCAATGTACTTTTACTTATTCTAAAAATAATATAATTCTATATTGATTGTTTGTTTGTTGGTTGACTTACGTCCAATGGCCAATATTTCATGTATGTTCAGGACGACAACAATGAGCATATTGGTAATGACTGAAGATTACCCTATAGCATTGTGTATATAGGACCAATGAGGTTCTCTTCGAAATAGAATAGAACCTCCTTGAGAGGATAATGTATGTTTCTTTCTTTAGCTGTCAGCTAGTTTACAAACAGGTTTTGATAATATATTATAGGTAATTTCATTAAAACAATAGAAAATGTTGATATTTTTGTGTATATCACTGGCTATATAATTGAACACAAGTCTGAGAATGTTCCACTGTAAGCTGGAATTCAACAACCTGACTAACATGTATGGTATATTAAAACCAACATATAAATATACTATTAACTTTAAAAGTATTCACTAAATAAAATATTCAAGAACAAATATTCTGCAAACAAAAACAAAAACAACTAGAGGCTCTCAAGAGCCTGTGTCGCTCACCTGACTCTACTTTGGTTTTAGAAATCATGTAAAGATAGATAAAAATCATAACAGATACCCAAATAATGATTGAGGCCAAATTTTGATTAATATTGGTCCCGTTATTTAATAAAATATCCTGGTGGCAATCTTGAACAGTAAATCGGCAACAAAGTAGCAACACTTGGTCAGCACTTCATAAGGAACATTCATGCCATGTTTGGTTTCATTCCATTCAGTGCTACTCTAAAAGAAGACATTTGTATGTATTTCCCATAGGGTCCTATGTTAAACTAAGCCCCCCCCCCCCCCCCCCCCCCCCCCCCCCCCCCCCCCCCCCCCTAGCGGCCATCTTGGATGATGGATCGACTGCAAAGTAACAACACTTGGTCAGCAACTCATAAGGAACATTCATGCCATGTTTGGTTCAATTCTATTCAGTGGTTCTCTAAAAGAAGACAATTGTATGTATTTCCCATAGGTCCTTTTTTAAACTAAGTCCCCTGCTGTCGGCCATCTTGGATGATGGACCGACTGCAAAGTAACAACCCTTGGTCAGTACCTCAAAAGGAACATTCATGCCATGTTTGGTTTCATTCCATTCAGTGGTTCGCTAAAAGAAGACATTTGTATGTATTTCCCATAGGTCCTTTGTTAAACTAAGTCCCCTGCTGTCGGCCATCTTGGATGATGGACCGACTGCAAAGTAACAACACTTGGTCAGCACCTCATAAGGAACATTCATGCCATGTTTGGTTTCATTCCATTCAGTGGTTCTCTAAAAGAAGACATTTGTATGTATTTCCCATAGGGTCCTATGTTAAACTAAGTCCCCCGCTGGCGGCCATCTTGGATGATGGATCGGCTACAAAGTAACAACACTTGGTCAGCACCTCATAAGGGACATTCATGCCATGTTTGGTTTCATTCCATTCAGTGGTTCTCTAAAAGAAGACATTTGTATGTATTTCCCATAGGGTCCTATGTTAAACTAAGTCCCCTGCTGGCGGCCATCTTGGATGATGGACCGACTGCAAAGTAACAACACTTGATCAGCATCTCATAAGGAACATTCATGCCATGTTTGGTTCCATTCCATTCAGTGGTTCTCTAAAAGAAGACATTTTTATGTATTTCCCATAGGGTCCTATGTTAAACTAAGTCCCCCGCTGGCGGCCATCTTGGATGATGGATCGGCTACAAAGTAACAACACTTGGTCAGCACCTCATAAGGAACATTCATGCCATGTTTGGTTTCATTCCATTCAGTGGTTCTCTAAAAGAAGACATTTGTATGTATTTCCCATAGGGTCCTATGTTAAACTAAGTCCCCCGCTGGCGGCCATCTTGGATGATGGATCGGCTACAAAGTAACAACACTTGGTCAGCACCTCATAAGGAACATTCATGTCATGTTTGGTTTCATTCCATTCAGTGGTTCTCTAAAAGAAGTCAATTGTATGCATTTCCCATAGGGTCCTATGTTAAACTAAGTCCCCCGCTGGCAGCCATCTTGGATGATGGATCGGCTACAAAGTAACAACACTTGGTGAGCACCTCATAAGGAACATTCATGCCATGTTTGGTTTCATTCCATTCAGTGGTTCGCTAAAAGAAGACATTTGTATGTATTTCCCATAGGTCCTTTGTTAAACTAAGTCCCCTGCTGTCGGCCATCTTGGATGATGGACCGACTGCAAAGTAACAACACTTGGTCAGCACCTCATAAGGAACATTCATGCCATGTTTGGTTTCATTCCATTCAGTGGTTCTCTAAAAGAAGACATTTGTATGTATTTCCCATAGGGTCCTATGTTAAACTAAGTCCCCCGCTGGCGGCCATCTTGGATGATGGATCGGCTACAAAGTAACAACACTTGGTCAGCACCTCATAAGGAACATTCATGCCATGTTTGGTTTCATTCCATTCAGTGGTTCTCTAAAAGAAGACATTTGTATGTATTTCCCGTAGGGTCCTATGTTAAACTAAGTCCCCTGCTGGCGGCCATCTTGGATGATGGACCGACTGCAAAGTAACAACACTTGATCAGCATCTCATAAGGAACATTCATGCCATGTTTGGTTTCATTCCATTCAGTGGTTCTCTAAAAGAAGACATTTTTATGTATTTCCCATAGGGTCCTATGTTAAACTAAGTCTCCTGCTGGCGGCCATCTTGGATGATGGATCGGCTACAAAGTAACAACACTTGGTCAGCACCTCATAAGGAACATTCATGTCATGTTTGGTTTCATTCCATTCAGTGGTTCTCTAAAAGAAGACATTTGTATGTATTTCCCATAGGGTCCTATGTTAAACTAAGTTCCCTGATGGCGGCCATCTTGGATGATGGATCGGCTACAAAGTAACAACACATGGTCAGCACCTCATAAGGAACATTCATGCCATGTTTGGTTTTATTCCATTCAGTGGTTCTCTAAAAGAAGTCATTTGTACGCATTTCACATAGGGTCCTATGTTAAACTAAGTCCCCCGCTGGCGGCCATCTTGGATGATGGATCGGCTACAAAGTAACAACACTTGGTCAGCACCTCATAAGGAACATTCATGTCATGTTTGGTTTCATTCCATTCAGTGGTTCTCTAAAAGAAGTCAATTGTATGCATTTCCCATAGGGTCCTATGTTAAACTAAGTCCCCCGCTGGCGGCCATCTTGGATGATGGATCGGCTACAAAGTAACAACACTTGGTGAGGACCTCATAAGGAACATTCATGCCATGTTTGGTTTCATTCCATTCAGTGGTTCTCTAGAAGAAGTTCAAAATGTAAAAAGTTAACGCCGACGACGGACGACGCCGGACGACGGACGCCAAGTGATGAGAAAAGCTCACTTGGCCCTTCGGGCCAGGTGAGCTAAAAAGGACAAGCTATAACATATCTTTAAATTTCAGTTTTACACCTAAGTCCAGTCCATAATACCTTTTGTACAAATCTAAATGCAAAGATATAATAAAAGAGTAGTGTATAGAAGTTCACAAATCTATAATTTCTTTTCTGCTGCAAAAAAATCAATTTATATAAGCACTATATAATTTTACTAACTTAAAATTTCATTATAAAATATGACATTCAAAACTTAACATTTCAATATCCTGTATACAGTTTGGAGATAAAATGTATTCACTCAGCCAAAACAAACATTCATATAAACAACCATTTACAATAGCAATTAATAGATGGAAGGGCTATTATTAAAACATGAGTAACATCATTTTAAATATTGTATCTCATTAAATAAATCAAATAATCAAAATCAAGAAAGCAATAATTTTTTCTATTATACACTGAGCCTTTATTGGGGTGTTGTATTTTCAGTAAAAATGCCGTTAAATGAGACACTTACTTTAGTTCATTCAACATTAACACTAAATCTTTTAATAACAGGAATGTTTTTTTCTTTTTCAATATACCTCTAATAAAATGACCCTGTTCACAGAGATTCTGAAGTGAAGTCTGGCTCTAACCTTGGTTAAATAAAGTGATAATGTCAGGTCTCAATAACATCCTGGTCAAATAAAGTCATTATGTCAGGTCTCAATCACATCCTGGTCAAATAAAGTGATTATGACAGGTCTCAATAACATCCTGGTCAAATAAAGTGATTATGTCAGGTCTCAATAACATCCTGGTCAAATTAAGTGATTATGTCAGGTCGCAATAACGTCCACTTATCAAGGTTTGAATTTTAAATAAAGTAAAGTCAAATTTAATGTATATTCTCAACTGCCTGAACCTTTTAGATTCAGAAGATTTCATTTCGATAAAGCAAAAACTGAACATGGTTCTTAATATACAAAGTCAAATTTCTATATTGATAAAATAATTGCATGTAAAAAGCCAAAACGATACAAAGAAATATTTCTCTCCTTTGAACACATTATAAGACGTGATAAAAAAACAAAAACATATCAACAGTTCAAGTCTGATTGACTTTATATAAATATATAAATATCAAATATAATAAAATAGGAACAATCATAAAGTCATCAAAATTAAATAGGAATGTCGACAGAATAAAAATAACAACAAACTGTAGATTCTTATCAAAGATTATTCATTTCCTTTGATATTCAAAGAAGGTCATTCATTTAATAGGGTGCAAAATCCTAAAATTTTAACAAAAACAGAATAAATAGAAATATCTGTAATTTTGAAATACTTGTTTTTTTGTGCAGATCTGTTAACATTCTAGTTAACTTAAACAATTTATTTGTTCATAACCTGAGAAAAATCGGCCCTGAAAATACAAATCTACATAAACTGATACAGGAAAACTTTAGTTATACAAATGTAGATACAGATATATACATCTCTAAATTAAGGGACAAAGGAAATCTTGAATTCCATAAATTTTCCTGAATAAACTAGTTAAAAATCTAGCAGTTTGTTGTGGAAAACTATCTGACTACAATACTGAGCTTTGCCTTTGTTGTATTACTGGGCCTCCATTACGTTGTAGTTCACTATGGCAGTGATATAAATATGAGATCAATCTAAAAAAACAAAAAAATCAGAATAAATGTAAAAATGCAATGGGGAATCACAACCTAAATAATCAAAATTTGTGAATCAGAAAGTCAACAATATGTTTTACCATCCACCAATCCATTTTACTTTTACTATCATGTTTTATAAAACGTGTCTATTGTGGAAGACCTTAAGTTGATCTGTAGATGTTGTTTACATTTTTGTCGTTGGGTTGCTGTCTCATTGACCACACATCCTCTTTTTTATTTATAACAAAAATACTAGATTTAGATGAAATGAATGGATTTTAATGAATTTGATTAAGAATTCATTCACAGACAGGTGAGAGACTGTATGTAGTCTCTTCATAATAATCAGAACTCCTGTAATTTAAGGATATCAACAGTGAGATAGATTGAATGCTAGAAGTTGAGAAAAATCAGGAAAAATCTGAAGATTGGTCAAGGGTCCAAAATGAATACAATAATAAGTATTGGTAAGTAAAAGAATGAAGATATTTTTACATACTTAAAATGTAATGTTTATGCAATATAAAGTATCAAAATGTGAGTTTTGTTCTTCGTTCATTAATTGCCTTCAAGTAGGACTTAAGATACTGAGCAAACACAATTAATGAATATGGAAGTAGGGTTGGGAATTTTGTTTTAAACCACATAAAAAAGTGTAAAAGAATAATAATTTTTTTCCTCTATCCACCAAAATTGGTATCTTATAAAATGAATGAAACCACAGTAATATCTGTCAACAAAAATAATCTCACATGGCCAAAATCTTCTCCACAGAATCATTTCTTTCTCTTCCAACAATCGGGGTGAATCTTTTTCTGTTGGTCTGCCATCAGTTTAGCTTTTTCTGAATAGGCATGGCGATGGTTTAAACCCATTTTCTGCCATTCATCACCTAATAGAACACTAATGGCTCTGAAACATTTATATTCTTCTGATTAAAAAGTAAGACATTGTTATCCTACAAAAGTTGACAATACTTCAAGGTCTTATATTACAGGAAAGATAAGCTTGGTGACAAGTTTTCTTCAATTGCTATCTTATCCTGAAACATACTGTGTGACATGTTACAAAACAATTAACATTTCATAAATTGGTAATTTGCTAGTATTTCTAGAGATTTTGGTGAAATGTCCAGCCCTCTACATGTTCTTCTAGTGATGTATTAATAGTGGTTGTATTAAGAGATGTATGAAATTATGATTAGAATGCAAACATGACACATTCATTGTGGAACAAAATAATAACATTTTTTGATACTTTAAATTTTTTGCACTTCTTTTTGATTCAATGCTTCATTTTGTGTATTGCACCCCTAAACATGCTAAAAGGTAATTTCTCTAACAGACATAAACAAGAGGCTCTCAAGAGCCTGAATCACTCACCTGTATTTCAGAGGAGAAGATTTTTAAATGTTAGCAAACTTGATGAACAAATTGTGTAAAATTGTCTTTAAAGGGCAATAACTCCTTAAGGGGTCAATTGACAATTATGGTCATATTAACTTTTTTGTAGATCTTACTTTGCTGAACATTATTGCTGCTTACAGTTTATATATATCTATAATAATATTCAAAATAATAACAAAAAACTGCAAAATTTTGTTAAAACTACCAATTCGGTGGCAACAACCCAACAATGGGTTGTTCGATTCATCTGAAAATTTCAGAGCTGATAGATCTTGACCAATTGAACAATTTTATCCCATGTCAGATTTGCTCTAAAAGCTTTAGTTTTTGAGATATAAGCCAAAAACTGCATTTAACCCTTATGTTCTATTTTTAGCCATGGTGGCCATGTTTGTCGATGGATCAAAACTTCGGATACAATTTATAAACTAGATACCCTAAGGAACATTTATTTAAAGTTTGAAGGTATTTGGCCCAGTAGTTTCAGAGGAGAAGATTTTTGAAATAGTTTACGAAGACAGACGACGGACGACGACAGACGCCAAGTGATGGCATAAGCTCACATGGGGCCGGTGAGCAAAAAATGGTAAAACATGTTTATCAAATATATTGAGATCTTACACAAACGTGAAAATTTGTTTAGTTTTGCAGTTTCTGAGTACCGGTAGAACCATACCTCATAAGGAAGACTTCTGACCTTATATCTTCCTGAATATGCATGAAATATTTGCTGCTGGAACAACAAACAATCAATCAACCTTACCTGTTATCCTTTCCAGGATATTTCTGGGTGTATTCCTCTCTGTGGTCCTTGGCAAATAACATAAAAGCATTCATGGGCCTCTTTGGTTTAGGCTGATCCAGTTTTAATTGCCTTTTCTTGGTTGGAGAACTATGAGGACTTTTCTTTGGACTAGATGTCTTCTACAGATACATAATCACACTTTAATTTTCTATTTACCTTCTTTAAATGGTCAGAAAAAGTTTAAGTTGATAACATTGATTGGCCAGTTAAATATATCCATATTGTTTTTGCTAAAAATGTGTTTTTTATATTTTAAAAGATAGATGATGTAATTACAGCAGATTTTTATCAAATATGTTGTCATGGATATTCGAGGATAGATTATGGTCCTAAATTAAAATTTCTGAACTATTCTGCATCAATTAATTGACATAATACACCCTGAGCTTGGTTGGGCTGCCATAAACAATGTTCTTTCAAATAATATGAGATGCCTTTCACATAAATGTTTTCACATTGTTTTTTAATAAATCCTCTGTGTGTCTAAATTTCTTGACTTCATTTCATTTAAAAACATTGCAAAAATATCCAAATTTATATTTAGTCTCCCACTGGCTACAAAAGTAACACCTCTTTGTACTCTTAAAGAATTTTTTCAATCATTGAATAGGATCACTTGCAATACATCTTTGAAGCCAATATTGGTTGTTATATATCCTAGAATTAAAGCAATATATCACAGAAACCCAACAATAAGATAATTAACCTACCTGTGCCATTGTACTCAAAGTGTACACAGCAGACCGGTCCATGGGGGTAAACTGGTCATAACTGTAAAATGTTAAAAGTATACATAAATCATACTATTTCATGTACTGACTATACTATAATATATACTGTAACTGTCAGACCATATATGTATGTTATTTTGTGTCTCAAAGAAACAGACACCACAAGGATTATAGATACTTTTCATAATGAAAACTCGCCGCAATATAGCCCTTTTGTGCTAAGGCAGAGTAAAGCAAACATCAATAAATAATAATGAAAACATTTAATTCTTAATTAGCACTTTTCGTATTATTTAAATTTCTTAAAGAAGATGGTGCTGATCCTGTAGTGTTTTTATTTTCTTCAAAAACAAGTTTATACATATACTTACATGTACATATCTTTTCTGATGGTTACTGGACAAAAAGAAACCCTATCTACCTCAGAAATATGGTAAGACTGTCATGTTTAAGCTTATTGTCTATATCTTGCACATAAATGCCCAAACATGCATATAGTCTGGGACATAATTATACATATAATGGTATAATAAATCACTTTTCAATATTTAAATTTTTTTGGGTAAAATTACTGTAAGATATTTAATATTTGTTCTTTCAAAATCTTCTTTTTATAGTTTTAAGGTCAGTCAGGGTTTGGACTAGACAGGATCACATACTTATTCTGAGAAACAAATTATATTTACAATAATGCCCTTGGTAACAGTAGCCATAGCTGTCAACTGACCCGTATTCTGCGGGTTATACCCAAGAATTTCCCCCTTCACACAGGATTTTTTAAATACCCACCTGGTATTTAAATAACCCGGGAATTTCAGAAAATGACCTGTTTTTACCCGTATTTTTTACAGGTATTGTTTCCAGTATTGAGAAGTCAAATATACTTTTGGTTTTCTCGTTATTTTCCTTTGAAAAGGTAAACAATTGAAATTAGAATTAGCCTGGCATCCTGACCCAATCTAATACTACTGCCGAGCAGTGAGCCAGGATCCCAGGCTAAATTAGAATTTACTTATTTACCGTGCCAATGACAGCTATCAAAACCATTACATTTGATTGAAAAGTAACAATTCGAGGATTTTTTGTTAATTGTACCCCAGAAAGTTGAAGCCAGTCAAGCTTGACATACAATTCTATGTCTTGATTAAAAGATTTGCTGTTTGCAAATATCAAATATCCTGTAAAAATCATTTTAAAACAATTTGAACCTTTTAATACATTTCTGTTGGAGAGAATAATTTTGTAATCACTTAAATGTAAAAGCTTTAAATCAAATCCATATGCTCTAGATATTACACTGAAAGGAAACACATTAACTTCTTTCTATTTATCTTCCTCCTGTGTATAGGAGCACATTAGCTCTAATTGATTTCTAACTACATGTATAGCTGGGGTTTATGACATTCATTAATAAAAAGAAGTAAACTAGTGTGAATAAAACAATAAAAAGGCATTGCTTTAGAAAGATATTTAATTAATGATAAATATTTATATACTTAACAAATACAAAAGTGATTATTTTTAGGAAACTCAGTGGTACATGTATATAAAAAAAACCTCAATACTAAAATTGGACCGAAAAAGTTTGTACGCGTTTTGACCTGACATTTTCTTCTTCAATGCAGGTCATGACCTGCATTTTCAGTTTCAGAGGTTGACAGGTATGCCGTAGCTAAAGGTTAGAATAATATGACAATGTCTTACTTAGTTCTTGTTTCCATTGGTTCACTGTGAGATGGTTGCAGACAAACATCATTTGTTTCCAGTGTGTTACATGGTATCCCATAATGCTGTTCTGTCAATACTGGGGCATTAGAACACCAACCTTCAGAAATGATAATTGAGAATGCTGTAGATTCTGATATCTAATATCATTTGTTTTCAATCATAAATATTTTCAGAAAAAGATGACCTCAAATGAATTTGACTATTCCTTTAATGTCCTTTTTTGGTCATATAACTTCAAATTTAAAGTTCTACAAATACGTTCTCAGGTAAATAAAAAATCATGTAATTTAGCTGTTATGGAAGCTAGGTCGTACTCCATTGCTTATTGACATTATTTGTTCAATTTTAAAATTTTTACAAAGAATTCATGGTTTAGAAGAGGGTCATTTGTTAAAACAAGCCCTGGTCACAAGTAATGACACTCACAAATGTAATAAGTCATCTTGGTATTCTAGTATTGTATATATTTTAAGATGTATTGAGTTGATGTAAAAAGGTTAAAAATATTTTGATTAGTAGATATAGGATTTACTGGAAAAATACTATAGATGATAATGCAAGTGTTAAAGGAAAATTGCAAACTTATTTTAAATTTAAAAACATCTTCAAACAGGAAGCATATTTATGTCAAGTTAATTAATTTCAGTATCGAAAAAGCCTAACTCAATTTAAAATTTGTGCTCATCAGTAAGCTATTGAGAAAGATCGATGTACAAGAATCGATAAAGATAAAAGATTTTGTGGGCAGTGTAAAAATATGCAGGTTGAAGACAAGTCTCATTTTTTAATAGAATGCACTGCATATGAAAAGGTATTCAATGTAAAAAACTTCCATTATATTTCAAAGTATGAACTTTTTATTTGGTTAATGTCCAGGGAGTCTGAAAAATTCGTAAGGGTTCTGCGGATCCCAGTGTCTTGCCTACTTTTGCTGTTAGTCGCAGGCTCAACAAAAATGGGGAAATAATTATTAAGTTTTCCTCTAGATACTATCTTTTGAATGTAAGAAGCTTCTGTTCAAGTTTGGTAAGAATCCAGGATGGTTTATGAATCTAATAAATGTTTTAAAAACTTTAACTGCAGACTGTATGTAATGTTTACTGGAAGAAAAACTAAGTCCATTTATAAGTAATATACGGAAAAACAGGAAATTTTTTTTTACAAAATTTCCTTCTAGATACTAGCTTTTGATCATAAACAAGCTTCTGTCAAAGTTTGGTACAAATCCAGGATAGTTTAAGAAAGTTATTAAAATTTTGAAAACTTTAACCACAGAGTAAATGTAATGTTAACTGGCAGAAAAACTAAGTCCATTTATAAGTAAAATACGGATAAACAGGATTTTTTTTTAACAAAATTTACTTTTGAATACTATCTTATGATCATAAACAAGCTTCTTTCCAAGTAAGGTACAAATCCAGGATAGTTTAAGAAAGTAATTAAAATTTGAAATAATTTAACCACAGAGTGAATATTTGTGGACGCCGCGGCCGACATCGGAATGTAGGATCGCTATGTCTCGCTTTTGCGATGAAAGTCGCAGGCTCGACAAAAATCAACCCACTAAACCAAGATCCACTTTAGTGTATACTCAGAGAGAAGTTCTTTATATTACTTTGTTTTTCCAAAGATTTTATTGAATTTCATTGTGAGCAACTTCCACAAAAATGTTCATTTTAATATCCAGCGTCCTTCAAAATAAACGAACACTGCAAATTCAATTGTGACCTCAGGCACATCTACACTAAGTTTTGTTGGAACTAGAACATGGCTTTGTTTACAAAGCAAAAAGACATCATATTAAAATCTTGACATAATAAACTTAATATTGGGGCTAAAAGAGCACCTACTCCTTTAAATATTGCAAGTCTATGAGGAATACCTACCTTTTCCTTTCACAAAGAAGGGATGATCTATTGTACATTCAGCACACATATTATGTTGTGATGGAATGTCTGATGTAAAGTACAAGTGTACTAAAGAGTTTGATATATTGTCCAGCTGTGCAAATTTTCTTATTTCTATCAGCCGTAAACCGTTAGGTGCAACATACCTGAAATAATATAATGCAAAGAAAATTATCAGATTTATATTTTTTTAATAACATATTTACAAAAATATACTCCTTTTAATATTGTTTTTTTTTTTCTGTCATCAAAAAAATAAATATGAAAGAAGTGTTCTTCATTTATCATCTAAATGTGATTTACCACATTATCACCAAATTTGTACTTACATGAGGAACACCACGGGTGCCACATGTGGAGCAAGAACTGCTTGCCCTTTTGGAGCACCTTAGATCACCCCTGGAGAGGGTTTGTGTTGCTCAGTTTTTTATGTTGTGTTTTGCAGACTGTTGTCTGTCTTTTCATCGTTATTTCTTTATTGGCATGGTGTTGTCAGTTTGACTTTGACTTATGAGTTTGAATATCCCTTTCTTATCTTTCTCCTCTCTCGTCAAATGTGCATGCATAGACAATGGACAAATGCCACATGATGGTATATAAATTATCATAACTTTCATTCATTATATTTTGCTTACTTCTCCACAAAGCCATTAAGACCAGCAGCCCTCTGAGCTATTGATTCCTGTAATGCTACATATTCTACATCTTCCCACTGTATAAAACCAATACAAACTTTTGTTCCTGAAAAACATATTTTTTTCAGAATCAATTAAGTACCACACCTAAAAATCTTGCAAAAGATGATTCATAAATGATATTTTGTTCAGAATGTAAAATCGTATTAAAAGCTACCTATAATTTATTTTTATCCTGTGTAAATGTCATATCAATTATATAGAATATACTATGAAAATTCTGTAAAGGGAGATAAATCCATGATATGCACTGCATTTCTTTGTAATTTTCTATTCAATTTTATTCCATCAAAAGGCAGTATTAGAAGAACCATTACCCATTCATGATGAGTATCTAACAGTTTGTTGATTAACAAAATTAAGTTATTTGTAGGCTTTATTCATGTTAATCGCTTTTCTTGAAAATTGAATGATTGTTACATATTTATGGACTTTATGATACTTAACTAATTATTCTTTAAGCAAGGTAGGCAAATTTAATAAAAGAACAGATTTCCATTGTCCCCCGCGTTGCACATATTCTATCTATCCAGGGGCAATAACTAAAATAAACCACTTTTTTTTTGTTGTTCTTTAAAACTAAAACAATTTATAAATAAAAATCATGCGCTGGAGACAAAAAAGTTTTTTATATAATTGTATACTAAATATTTCATACAGACCTTCAAGGGCATTACTTATAGTATACTTTAAGTTTTATTAAAAAATTGTACCCTTGAGCATGTTGAGAGGCCATTTTCCATAAATTTAATTATTTCCAAGGGTCATTACTCTTTTAAAAAATTGTGTTAACTGTACATTAACCAGGAAACCCTTGTTTCCCCCTTTTTTTGCCCCTAATTCCTACACGATTTGAGCCGTAACCCCCAAAGCCAATACTAACCATCCCTTTGTGGTATAGAAACTTGTGGTATAATTTCTGAAAGATCCATACACTTAAACACAAGTTATTGTCTGGAAACAAAAAAAATGCTTATTTGGGCCTCTTTTCGGCCCCTAATTCCTTAACTGTTAGCACAATAACCCCCAAAATCAATCTCAACCTTCCTTTTGTTGTTATGAACCTTGTGTTTAAATTTCATAGATTTCTATTTACTAACACTAAAGTTATTGTCCGGAAACCAAGTGTCTTCGGACGACGCTGACGACGACAACGACATGATACCAATATACGACCGCAAAAATTTTGCGGTCGTATAAAAAGTCGATCGTCCACCATTATAAAAGTTGTCCGAGATAATGCTGCTATTAACCTATAGTATAGGTTTTATAAAAATCTGGCAAGAATTGTACCCGTGAGAGCGCTAACAAGGCCATTTTCCATAAATTTAATATTTCCAAGGGCATAACTCTTTTAAAAAAAAGTCAATCGGCCACCATTATAAAACTTGTCCGAGATATTGCTGATATTAAACTATAGTATAAGTTTTATAAAAATCTGGCAAGAATTGTACCCGTGAGAGCGATAACGAGACCGGACGGACACACGGACGACTGGTATTTCCATGTCCCCCGCAGTGCTTTACACAGGGGGACAATAATTATACGGGATCTCATTATTTTAAGATTTTATTATTGTATAATATATACAATTTTTTTCATATTTAAGAATTGTTGAGTAATAATTCAAATTATTTGTACATTGTTTCTGTCATGTCAGTTAGGTATATAATCATCTCTCAAAACAACAAAACAACAAAATATTGTTTTGCCAAAACCTTGATCCTCTATCAAGCATGGCTACTAAAAAGTAAAGCAAAGAACTGTGCTTCAGCCAACTCATTATAGAAAACATACAAACAAAAGATTCTAACTCACAACTACTACATAAAAACATTTACTCAAATATGAAAAGCTAACAAATAAAAATATCAAACAATGAGTGTTGAATATTCATAATATTTGTTTTGGGTAATAAAACTTGAATCATTTACCTTCATCTATTTAAATTTTCGTATATTTAAATTATCACTCTAAAGTTTGAAATAAACAAATTCTTACCCCCAAAAAGTATTTTGTGAGTATAAAACTTCACCTGGTGAAGATATGTGAAGATGATGCTTGTAATACTGTAGACAGATCCTTTTCCCTTAGTGTGAGTTGTGTATTAGAAATACCATAATTATGGCAGCTATTGACACCTCATTAACACAAAAATCCTCCTTAAAACTTGAGTTAAACTGCCTCAGTTTACTCCACAATGTTAGAACACCTGTCTCAAGTTAGAAACCACACAGTGATTATCTGTGGTATCTCATTAGTAATTTTTTCCTTCTGACTGCACTTTATTGTATTGATAAATTTGATATTTTGATTATATATTTCATAAGTTTTTATTTAATTGAACACAGAAGTCTGAACAATTTAACATTTGTGTGAACATGATGATAAATCCCAATAGTGCACACAGCCACCGAGGAACACATCATACTTACATGTCAAATCCTGATCAGCCAAAATAAATCAAATATCAATTTTGCATGGCTTTTCCATTGTGTACAAGTTCAATAGATTTAGTGGTTCAAAGTATCTAAACTCCCCATCTCCGATTTATCAATGAAACTTTCATGTCTAAAGATGTACAAAGCTTGTATCAAAACTTCCCATCTCTGATTTATCAATGAAACTTTCATGTCTAAAGATGTACAAAGCTTGTATCAAAACTTCCCATCTCTGATTTATCAATGAAACTTTCATGTCAAAAGATGTACAAAGCGTGTATCAAAACTTCCCATCTCTGATTTATCAATGAAACTTTCATGTCTAAAGATGTACAATGCTTAAGTACATCTATGAGAATAAATAAAGATGTATGGTATATGTCAATGACAGCAACCATACAACACAAAAGCACCATAAGACAACTAAAAATGCTTCATTAGATCATCTACATGTACTTCAGTGAATTTTAAAAGTTACAAATTTGGTGTTTCTGGGGGATAAAGTTCGAATTCACAATTAATTTTTGCCATTCTAAGCTGCAATGACAAAACAAAGTAAAATCATTATTTCTTGTCAAACATTTTCAAAGACAAGAGTGGACACGCTGAAATGTCTCGCCTGTTTTACTGACCATTGATTTTATGTTGAAAGTCTGGGATAAAGGTTTTACTACAAGTATAACATAAACTTAACATTTTTAAAGATCCATGACAATGACGTCAAGGTCAGATAAAAAATGCCAAACAGACATGTACACCTTACAATTATTCCATACACCAAATATAGTTGACCCATTGCTTATGGTTATTGAAAAACAGTCAAAAACACAAAAACTTTATATTGACCAATGAACCATGAAAATGATGTCAAGGTCAGAAGACACCAGCTAGACAGACATGTACAACTCACAATCATTCCATACACCAAATATAAAATTGAGAATGGAAATGGGGAATGTGTCAAGAGACAACAACCCAACCAAAGAGCAGAAAACAGCCGACAGTTGACCTTTTGCTTATAGTACTTGAAAAATAGACCAAAACACAAAAACTTAACTTTGACCAATGAACCATGAAAATAAGGTCAAAGTCAGATGACACCAGCTAGACAGACATGTACACCTTGCAATCATTCCATACACAAATTATAGTTGACATATTGCTATGGTAATTGAAAAACAGACCAAAACACAAAAACTTAACATTGACCAATGAACCATGAAAATGAGGTCAAGGTCAGATGACACCAGCTAGACTGACATATACAACTAACAATCATTCCATACACCAAATATAGTTGACCTATTGCTTACAGTACTTGAAAAACAGACCAAAACACAAAAAATTAACAATGACCAATGAACCATGAAAATGAGGTCAAGGTCAGACAAAACCTGCCAGTCTGACATGTACCCCTTACAATCATTCCATACACCAAGTATAGTTGACCTGCTGCTTGTAGTATCTGAGAAACGGACCTAATCGCGTAACTTTAACCTTGATCACTGATCCATGAATTGAGGTCGAGGTCATCTTACAGTATAGCATTTTCACATGAAGCTTGATATGAAATGTCAGGAAGCTCTAATTTGTAGTCCCGTGGAAATATGATGAAAACTTCATACTTTGCAAGTATATACAAGAATATATAAGTATTCTTTTAAAACGAAATTGATGAAAGATGTATGCGAAAAAATGCATCACACAGTAAAATATGCTAATGTTAAGCTTTATACAAAATTTCATCAAGCTTCGAATTGTAGTTATTGAGCAAAATGCAATGAACATTTTAATGGGACTAACAGATCGACAGAGGTAAACAGTTAAGAGTAGGGCTATGAAGAGGATTTTTTTGTTTGAAATCTGATAATTTTTTTTTCATATTTTGAAGGTTTTTCTTGTTACTTGGTATCTTCAAATTTTTGAACTCAACAGTTAACTTCAGAGAGTTGAAACTTGTTATAACACTACTGCACACATAATAATTACATTGAGGAATTTGCATGGATAATTAATAAAATCCTCTTGGAAAATGAAAAGAAAGATACTTTAATTCATTGTATATATACTGAATAGATAACAAACCTGCTATGAAACACTGCCAAACTGGTTTAGGCCATTGGTGGGACCACACACCATTTTTGTTTCCTATGGACTCAGATGAAGATGTCACTTCGTTATCACAATAATTTCTAAATAAAATACATTAAATCATATCAGATATATATACAACTTATTCATGTAACCAGTCATGTTTCCATCTTTAATCCAAAGTAAAAAATCTATTAGGCATTATAATGTTAATGCAAGCTTGTGATTTAATAGTTGAATCCTTTTTTGCCTAAAATTTCAGTTGCTTCAATGAAATAACTCCAATAGTTACTTATGAAAAAGGTATTATATAATGTAATCTGCCCGTGAGAGAGAAGTATTAACTTTAACATTGATAACATTCTGAGGTTAGTGTTTCATCTGTTATTATAACTCCCGTGAGAGAGAAGTATTAACTTTAACATTGATAACATTCTGAGGTTAGTGTTTCATCTGTTATTATAACTCCCGTGAGAGAGAAGTATTAACTTTAACATTGATAACATTCTGAGGTTTGTGTTTCATCTGTTATTATAACTTCCGTGAGAGAGAAGTATTAACTTTAACATTGATAACATTCTGAGGTTTGTGTTTCATCTGTTATTATAACTTCCGTGAGAGAGAAGTATTAACTTTAACATTGATAACATTCTGAGGTTTGTGTTTCATCTGTTATTATAACTCCCGTGAGAGAGAAGTATTAACTTTAACATTGATAACATTCTGAGGTTTGTGTTTCATCTGTTATTATAACTTCCGTGAGAGAGAAGTATTAACTTTAACATTGATAACATTCTGAGGTTTGTGTTTCATCTGTTATTATAACTTCCGTGAGAGAGAAGTATTAACTTTAACATTGATAACATTCTGAGGTTTGTGTTTCATCTGTTATTATAACTCCCGTGAGAGAGAAGTATTAACTTTAACATTGATAACATTCTGAGGTTTGTGTTTCATCTGTTATTATAACTCGGTGAGAGAGAAGTATTAACTTTAACATTGATAACATTCTGAGGTTTGTGTTTCATCTGTTATTATAACTCCCGTGAGAGAGAAGTATTAACTTTAACATTGATAACATTCTGAGGTTTGAGTTTCATCTGTTATTATAACTCCCGTGAGAGAGAAGTATTAACTTTAACATTGATAACATTCTGAGGTTTGAGTTTCATGTGTTATTATAACTCCCGTGAGAGAGAAGTATTATCTTTAACATTGATAACATTCTGAGGTTTGTGTTTCATCTGTTATTATAACTCCCGTGAGAGAGAAGTATTAACTTTAACATTGATAACATTCTGAGGTTTGTGTTTCATCTGTTATTATAACTACAATTTGTACTTCTATCCCTTTACCATAAAATCCACAAAAATTGACACCCAACATACAAAAGTATCTTACATGACTTAAAAGACCTACTAATTCTTTCCAATTGTTGAACACTTGGAAAAAAGTTTGCATAGCCATATTTTGTTGAATATTGGTATTGATGTGAAAAAGATATTGATCAGTTCACCATTCCTGTAGCCAGTTACATTATAAATACTCTTTAACACCAATGTTTTTAAATTGTTTTCACCTACCCATTTTTATCAGTACTAGATAGTCTGGTTTCCTGTAAGCATGGCAAGGTTTCCATTTCTACCACATTTCCTGTTTCACATTCCTGTTTAACTCTTAAATATGACTCAAGCTGTCCACTGTAAGCAAGCACACATTTGTACAAGTGAGTAAAGTTCATAACATGAAACTTAATTAGAAGTTGAATAATCATACAGAATTTTGATAGACATATCAACACTGCATTCTCATCCTAAATACAAGTATTCAATGTCTGAAACTGGTACTGCTCACTGTTGACTGATCTCAACTGGAAAACTTTAACAATCCCAGAACAATAAAACTCAATGGACAAGTATTACGCTGTTACTGATTTCCATTTTAAATTAGTTAAAAACAAGAAATGATTGTAACAGGATGCTGTTACGAAGTCTCCCAAACGAAGCTCCCACAATTCGTAATTCCCATTAGTGATGCCTGGGGACTAACCCTGTATATCATTCAAATCATCTTGGCATGACAAACCAGAATATATATGGTTTAGGGGGTGGGGATCTCGACCATTGACAAGATACTAGAACATTGGGGGTGGGGGGAACCCCGGGGGACTGACCCTAAATGTCATTCAAATGTTCGAGACATGATGAACAGGAATATATATGGTTTAGGGGTGGGGATCTCGACCATTTACAAGATATTAGAACATTGGGGGTTGGGGGAACCCCCGGGGACTGACCGTATAAGTCATTCAAATGTTCGAGACATGATGAACAGGAATATATATGGTTTAGGGGTTGGGATCTCGACAATTTACAAGATATTAGAACTTTCTAAAATGGCAGGGGGTCGGGATGACCCCTGGGGACTAACCCTATGTATCATTCAAACCATCTTCGCATGAAAAACCAGAATATATATGGTTTAGGGGTGGGGATCTTGACCACTTACAAAGATATTAGAACTTTCTAAAATGGCAGGGGGTGGGGGGTGACCCCTGGGGACTAACCCTGTATATCATTCAAACCATCTTCGCATGACAAACCAGAATATATATGGTTTAGGGGTGGGGATCTTGACCACTTACAAGATATTAGAACATTCTTAAATGGCAGGGGGTGGGGGTGACCCCTGGGGACTAACCCTGTATTTTATTTGATGTGCTTTATCATGACAAACCAGAATATATATGGTTTAGGGGTGGGGATCTCGACCATTTACAAGATATTAGAACTTTCTCAAATGGCAGGGGGTCGGGATGACCCCTGGGGACTAACCCTGTATTTCATTTGATGTGCTTTATCATGACAAACCAGAATATATATGGTTTAGGGGTGGAGATCTCGACCACTTACAAGATATTAGAACTTTCTTAAATGGCAGGGGGTGGGGGTGACCCCTGGGGACTAACCCTGTATTTCATTTGATGTGCTTTATCATGACAAACCAGAATATATATGGTTTAGGGGTGGGGATCTTGACCATTTACAAGATATTAGAACTTTCTCAAATGGCAGGGGATCGGGATGACCCCTGGGGACTAACCCTGTATATCATTCAAACCATCTTAGCATGACAAACCAGAATATATATGGTTTAGGGGTGGGGATCTTGACCACTTAGAAGATATTAGAACTTTCTTAAATGGCATGGGGTGGGGGTGACCCCTGGGGACTAACCCTATATTTCATTTGATGTGCTTTATCATGACAAACCAGAATATATATGGTTTAGGGGTGGGGATCTCGACCATTTACAAGATATTAGAAACTTTCTAAAATGGCTGGTGGTCGGGATGACCCCTGGGGACTAACCCTGTATATCATTCAAACCATCTTAGCATGACAAACCAAAATATATATGGTTTAGGGGTGGGGATCTTGACCACTTACAAGGTATTAGAACTTTCTTAAATGGCAGGGGGTGGGGGTGTCCCCTGGGGACTAACCCTGTATTTCATTTAATGGGCTTTATCCTTTAGAACATTTTCAATTGAAAAGATTGTGTCTATCACAAACGGTTTTCAATTTATAATCATTTGAAAATTTAAAAAAATAGAATCCCATAGGGTTCTATAGTAAAACCCTCTTTTCTTTTTGCCCCTCAAAGTACCCCTTTATAAACCCCATTGCACAAACAAAACCCTGATTGCACCACTAGACATGTTAGTCTAACATATTGTGAAACCCTAAGTTAATCTGACAAGCGGTTTTGGAGAACGGGTGCGGACAAGTTCAAAAATTAAAAGCGGCGGAAGAAGAATAATAATAATAATAAGAACTGAGCAAAAACAATAAGTCTTCCCAAACTTCGTTTGGGAGACTTAAAAATGGAGAATGTGTCCATGGGACACAGATAATGCCCCCACTTACATATAATGTTATAAAGGGACATAACTCGAGAACAGTAAAAGTGACGCCACCCAAATTTGAACTTGATCTGTATTTTGTGGTAATAAGCATTGTGTATAAGTTTCATAATATTTGGTTGAGGCAAACTAAAATTAGAGAATGGAAACCAAATTCGGGGACAGATTGACAAAGGTAACACTTAATGCTCCCTCCAATAACGGTGGGGGCAAAAAAATATAATTATAAATTATAAATACAGATATTGTCAACAACCGCAGGATCAACCCAATAGGTCTTTATTTCAATTTATAAAAGTTTTTTTTTAATTTTTAAGCAATTTTCTATGTCTAATGACCTCAATGCCTGAAAACAAATCTAAATGGGAACAAAACATAACTGCTTATGATAGGACTATACACCATCTTTTAATCAATTGATTCAGGCATTACAGAAAAAAGGGGTAGAAGCTATTTTCTCCTGCAAAAATTAATCAACCAGCACAAAACATCTCGGACTTGCCTTCTAATGATAAGGATATATAATAAATGTCTAATAAAACTTTTGGCATTTTAGAAAAAAGTGGAAAACTGATATTTTCTTTGTAAAAGGGCCACCACTACCACAGAATATCCCTTAACCATAACATAACTCACACTAGATCTGTCATCAAATGACTATATACCCAATTTCTAAAAGAAAGAAAGAAAAAGTTAGGAAACCTTACCTGACTGAAGTGCAAAACCAAAAGTTTCCTTAGTCTTCACTGGTAGGGGATTAATAAATGAATTTATTATACTTCATGTCAAAATGCCAGATTTTGATTGGTTAGTACGAGGGAGACAATTTACTCTGTCCTATAGTAAATACTCTATTACCCTTCACATAGACGCTTGCTCAAGTGTGTGCTTTATTAAATACGGATGGTTGTTATGTACAAGACGTCATAGTTTATTACTTTGAATTTGAAATTTAATAGACAGTAATAACAGAACATTCAGTATAATAAATTAAATAACACATATCTGAGAGGGTGATAGAGCAGATTGTTACCCCTCGAAAAGACATTGTCAACCTTGGCTTCGCCTCAGTTGACAATGTTTTCTCGGGGTAATAATCTGCTCTATCACCCTCTAAGCTATGTGTTATTTATCTAGTGTTTACAGTTGTTACCTTGGTATTTCCCATGGCTTCAATGGTGCTCTCTGTACCAATGGACTTGTGGCAATTATTGCAAATTCTGTAAGTCTTTCTGTTCCATATGCAGGGTCATTTAAATTTCTCAAATCAAGTGCTGGTGGAATTTTCTTCTCTACAATATAATTATAATGCTTTGAAATTCAGTCAGATGTAAAAAGTAAATCAACATTTTTGTCTATTCCCATGACACTTTTATTCATTCTATGCTGAAATCATAGATTACCGAAAATACTAGTCAATTAAGATTGGAGTCAATGGCAACTGCCATATCGGGGGTTTGAATGTATACCCTCAGTGTTGACAGGCTTGTTATAAAGTAAATGAACTAGTTAGACCACTAGGCCACTGAGACCACATAAAGTGCTATCACTGACCTAAAGTAATTCATGTTACAATTGTTTGGAGTGTATAGAAAACATATGACTAAAATGCATGACATTGATGACCAAAACTAGTTACAATATAATTATCTTCTTCATTTACTTGTTACTTTTTCCTGTTTAACACCAGCAGCCCCATAGCCTTGAATGAATTCTGAGGACGGTTCTTCATCTGAAGCGGAATCTGTTCTCCTGGTTCCCTCTTCACATCGACCTCTCTCACAATGATACCTCAAACCATTAGAACTAAAACATATGAATGGTGAAATATGCATGTCATTATTCATAACATTTTCTAACCATGTAATGAAGGCTCATGCTGAGGCCAAGTTTTTTTTTAAAAATTTTGGCCCCTGAATTTGAATAAATGTATTTAGAAATATAATAAATCCATCAAATAACATTCTCCAGATTCCCACAAGTAATATGTCTGACAGATTCTGCATCCCTAATCAATATATTTCAATTTGTCTTATATACTTGCTTTAAGCCTTAAACATTTTTTCACTGGAAAAACAGCATAAAAGCATAAAAAACTTCTGACAAAGGCTGTTGCTTATTCTTAATGTAACTAGTAAGTTTGTGTAAAATGACCATTCTTGGTCAAATTTGTCAATTATCACACATTGAGAACGTCACAGGGACATTACACGACATATCCACATAACAAAGATGACTATATTCAAATTAAATGAATGTGTTTCATGCAAGAACTTGAGGAAATGATACAGAAAATTAATGGGGAATGTGTCCATGGGACACAGATGATGTCCCTGCTTGCATATAACGTTATAAAAGGAGCTTAACTCAAGAACTACCCAAATTCGTACCGGATCTGAGTATTGTGGTAATAAGCATTGTGTATAAGATAAGATAAGATATTTTTATTTCCAATTATGGGCCCCAAAGGGCATAAACATTACAACATCAATAATTTTTTCATAATACAATACAAACAATGAGATAAAAAAAAAAAAAAAGTTAAACGAGAACTATTTAAGTTCTTAAAGAATACGTAGATAAAGAATCTATAGTATGTTGTTTTTTTTAATACTAATGCATTTTATTGCAAGTGTGGTTGATATAGATAACAAACAAACAGCCCAAAAAGAAAAAAAGAAAAATAGATATCCACATATGTATAGTACACAAAAAGTTGGATCAATTAAATATATAATAATTAGCCAAAAAGAAAGTAGAAATTAAACATGTCCATGACTCATCCTGTGTCAGCAGCAAATAGGAAAGCATTATGGTTTCCTAAAGGCAGCTGACACCAGGGGGCGATACCTTATGGGCCATAGGCATGTAAAATGTGTGTAAATGTCTCTTTCCTACCTGTATCAAAAGCAAACAAGGAAGCATCATAGGTAACTTGAATGCAGTTGATACCAGGGGACGATGCCTCAAGGATATAAGAGAACATTTGAATAAATAATATATCTTAACAATTATTTTTTTTTTTAATCGGCTAGTATGTTTGTGATATTCAGATGAATATAATTTTCTATGTCCAATCAAATGTATATACACACATAGATTTCCTTTAACTAATCTTCACTAAGGAAGATGTTTGTATATAAAATTACATATTATTTTAAGTAACTCAACATTTTCTACACTAAATAACCAGATAATTTTGCTTTGACTGTTCATATGATTATAATAAGAATTATATTGTGCAATACTAGCTAACATACAATTTCTATCATCCTCAAATTTGTTACAATCAAATAGAAAATGAGCCTCATCTTCGACAGTATTGGAAGAACATTTATTACATATTCTGTTAATTCGGGGAATACCCTGATATCTACCTAATTCTATTTGTAATCTATGAGAAGATACACGTAATTTAGTAAAACTTCTTCTAAGTTCAAAATTCTTGATCAATGTTAGATATTTTTCAAAACCAAAATTTGTTTTATATAAAAGGTAGGTTTTCAGTTTACTGTCTGAAAATTTATCTATTTGTTTTTTCCAACAGCTAATAAACAATATTGATAGCTTGGTTTGTATATATTTCTTAAATTTGTATAAGGATTCACTAAATGGAGCATTTATGGCATTTGTATAGTCAATACCAAGTATTTTAAAAACAACATTTATTGAACCATACCATGATGTTATATTCATGTGATGTAGTGTCTTTGATTGTGTATATGCCTCTTTTAATAGAGGAAAATTATTACCTAAATTCTCTAATCTATACCAGTACAATAACATTCCTTTTATAATATTAAAATATATTGGAAATCTTCCAAGTTCAGATAACACTGCAGCATTTGTTGTTTTCTTGTGTACCCCAAGTATAAATTTACAAAATTTTATATGAATTTTCTCACAGGGTAAACCTGAATATAATTTTTCAAAAGATATATCTTCCTTCTTACATTTAGAGGAAAGAGAATTAAACATCCCCCATATTTCGCTACCATATAATAAAATAGGTTTTACAGTGTGGTCAAAAACATGAATACTTGTTTTTACATCAGGATTAAGTGATAAAAGATCTTTCCTTAATTTGAAATGAGCTTTCAGGGATTTTTTGTATAGTTCATTTTGAGCATAACTGAATGAACCAGATGAGCTTAAATATAAACCTAGGTATTTGTATTTTGAAACACATTCCAGATTTATATTCTGAAATGTGAATATCTGTTTTACATGTCTGCCTGCCTTGTTGAAAATCAGCACCTTTGTCTTATTAGTATTCACATTGAGACACCAATCTTTGCAAAATTCATCAAGCATTCCCAGCTTTTCTCGTAGTCCTTCAGCTGATGTAGATAATAAAACAATATCATCAGCATACATTAAACAATGTAGATCTTTGTCATTGACATTAACTGGGTCTCTAGTATCTGACAAATATCTGGGCAAATCATTTATGAATATCTTGAATAAATTCGGACTGAGGTTGTCACCTTGTTTGACTCCAATATCTAATGGGAAAAAATCACTTACTTGATTTTGAATTTTGACACATGATTTGCTAATTTCATACATACTTTTAATAATGTTATAAAAATAAGACCCAGCCCCAATATCTAGTAGTTTAATCTTGATCCCTGTATGTATAACAGTATCAAAAGCCTTCTGAAAATCAACAAAACAGGCAAACAGTCTACCTTCTTTTGAATTACAGTATTTGTTAATAAGACAGTTTAAAATAAACATATGATCTGCAGTTCTGGCTTTCCTTGTGAATCCAATTTGACTATCATGTATAATATTATGTTCCTGAAGAAATTTGTCCAGTCTTAGACTTAATATTCTATTAAAAAGCTTTCCAATTGCACTTGTTATTGTTATTCCTCTATAATTGTTAGGGTCACTTGTATCGTTGCTTTTAAAAATTGGTGTAATATAACCTTCAGCCCAAGATGTTGGGTATATACCTGAAGACAGACAAGTATTAAACATCTGTTGAAAACTTTTTAAAAGGAAAGTCTGTCCATTCTTTATCATATTATTACTAATGTTATCCAAGCCTGATGATTTATTGCATTTTAAGTGTGAAATGGCTTTGGATATTTCAGACTCAGTGATAACGGAGTCCAACTCGTTGAAACATTTTGAGTTTTCTAACTGTTTCAGTTTTTCACATAGCTCTGTATATCTACTTTGAAATTCACCTTTCAGTTGTGACAACTTTTGGAAATGTGATATCAAAGTTGATGGTTGTACTCCACATTTTTTTTTAGTTTCATTTTTTTCCTGTAGTTCATTAATTAAGTTCCAATACAGTTTTGGATTCTCTTCGTGCAAGGAGTCCAGCTGACTAATCAATGATTGTTTGTATTGTTTGTATTTATATTTCCTTAGTTTGGAGTATTCACGATTCAGTTTATAAAAGTGATTTTTGATAATTGGATCATATGGAAATCTTGAATAAATTTTTCCATAATTAAGCAAGTTAGTTCGAGCTTGTTGTAAACTTGCGTCAAACCACTTTTTGTTTTTTTGTTTGTTTGTGTGTTTTTTTAAAGGTCGTTTAAGTGATAGATTTGCTGCTGATAAAAAGATGTTTGAAAGTTTTGATGATGCTTCATCTACTGATGTCTGAGTAAATTGAATTGTGCTGTTGTTGAATTCTAGTATGTAGTTTTGTAGTGTATCTGAAGAAAGTGTTTCTTGAAATTTTATTGCTGAACAGTCAGTCCAGATATAATTAGGTGTCATATTTTTCAACTGGATTGGAATATCATTTTCTCCAGGAACACAATATTTTGCAGATAATTCCCACTCAAGTTTACAATGACAATCAGATAATGTGGGAATAAATCTGGATACTTTAAAATACAGTACATTTTCAAGAATTTCTTCCGACACAGCAACATAATCAACCACACTTGCACCATTGGGGGTATAGCAAGTAAAATTACCAAATGTATCACCAAGAACTCTGCCATTTAAAATTCTTATTTGTTTACTAATGCAAAAATCCAAAACTTCTTTGCCTCTTTGATCAATTTTTTGGTCTCGACTTTTTCTTGTCATAATGTTTTTGTCAGTAGGGTATGTATCAAAAATTGGAGTAAATTTTGAATCATCGTTTACTATAAAGTCATTTTCAGAGCCTATTCTGGCATTAAAATCTCCACATAACAAAATTTCACCCATTTTTTTATACTGAAAGATATCTTTTTCTATGCATTCAAAAACATCAGAAGAGAGTTCTTGGGTATATTTAGACGTAACAGGGGGGTTGTACAGTACACAAATAAATAGGTCACTTTTAAATCCAAAAAAGGATTTTTCTAATTTAATCCATTGATAATCTGGATTACTGTTAATCAATATTTTGACATGAGGTTTAACGTGACTTTTCTGTAGAATTGCTATACCCCCAAAATGACGGTTATTATTTGATAATTTTCTACATATTGGATGATAATGAAATTTACCAATATTGTGTATTTGGGAATTATATCCCACATGAGTTTCGACTAAAAAAACAATGTCGTAATTCTCTATATGTTTCAGAAAAAGGGGATCCTCTGCTTTATTCATGCCCTTTGAAAATAAGCCACCTATATTCCAATAACCAAATTTTACAGATGATTGGTTTGATTTTGGCATTTTGGTTGATACAATTAAATCTGGTATAAATAATAGAATAGATTTTCTATCTATAAAAAAAAAATAATAAAAATTTGTCTCTAAATAAAAGGAAGAGACAACAAGGAAAATATTCAGAAATGTAAATATTTGAAATAAGTAGATTTATTTAGAGGATAGTTTTTACAATGGTTTTCTAAATACAAATAGTCTATGATATAATGACAGATAATTTCTTTTCTATGTATCCTCTTTTAACTGAATAACTATTAAACTGATTTGGGTTGAATAACCTGATATCCTGGGTTAATTCAAGATCAAAAGTATGATTCAAATGTGAAAACTAAAAATAAAAATGAATAAAATAAAATAAAAAAGGCGAACTTTTATACCTAGCAGAGGTTACATATATATGACCATGTAATAGTGTGACTTCTTCACATAATGGCTGTTTCATTTGAAAAATCTATTCAAATGTGAATATGAATTTATCAGCCCAAAAAAAAGAAGAAATATATAAAGTTGTACATGTATATATAAATTATATGTAAATGACTTTAAACATGTTAAAGGAAGTCAACATAATGATATGGTAATATGTATAATATTAAAAAGCAAGTTATTCATGATGACCTCTGCCACGTCCACGTCCACGTCCTCATGTGTTGCGCGATTTGGATCTACCTCTTGAATTTGGCATGGGAATGTTTAAGGCAGTGTGTATTCCACGCTTTAAGTTTGCCGATAGCTGAGACACGCCAGAGTCAGAGAGATGAAATTTATCTTCACTTAGTAGCTCTGCAATTGGGTTTCCATTTCGCAACATATTGCCATGATCAACAAGTAGAACATCTTTATTGTCATCATATATTTGTTTCAACAAGGCATTTATGATTTGTCCATTTGTGTTGAAAATTACACTGTCGAGTCGAGGAGTAGTAAGAGAGATGATGCAACCACTATTTTGCCATTTTTGAAGTGCAAGCTTGACAATATCTTGTATTTCTTCTACACATTGCTGTGGTGATTTTATTTTCAAATCATTCGTCAGGGAATGAAACACTACTAGATTTGGAATTATATCCGATATCTCCAAAATAGCTTGTTTAGTTTCTTCTAAATTGAAAGCAGTAACCTTATTGGTTGTAAATGATGGCGATAGCTTCTCTGCATTGATACGTTTGGTATTGGATGTACCAATTAAAATAATTGTTGGTTTGTTATCAATGTCAAGTTTAGATTTGTCAGTATATTTCGTATAAGTAAGTTTCATATATATAACATTTAGTTGAGGCAAACTTAAGAGAACGGAAACCAATTTCGGGATGTACGTACAGACAGACGGACAAGGGTAAAACTTAATACCCCCTCCGCTATGGCGGGGGCATAAAAAAGCAGCTAATATAGCATAATAGAAAAGAAAGAACAATTTTTCAAAGCACAAGTATTTTGTTGTTTGTATTGTTGTACTTTTTGTAATTTAAATAGGGTGTTAAAGCATTGACCGAAGCACATTTTGTGTGAAGCATGCATCCACTTCATCAAGCCTTTTATAACCCTATAAAATTACAAAACGAAGCATACAAATTTGATACTGGTAAATAGATTTTTATGCGATAACCATGTAATTACGAGTTAAATCAGGCCTTTTTTTTTCATTTTGTGCATTATTTCAATGTTGTCCCAGATAGCACCTGCAGTCATAACTGTTGCATTTTATTTGGAAATTAATTATATAACTTTTGGATTGCGCCAGCCAATTAAAATTACAAAATTGTGTGAAATATCTATCTTATGTAATTATAACAAAATGTATACAAATTTGGTCAGTATTGCATTTGTTCAGGCAATGAACAACAATATTTTTCTGAAATTTTCTCTAAATCTTTGTGCTTTTCATCTGGTTCTGAAAAGCTGGATAAATTTTTCATAAACTACACACGTACAAAATGTACTGTCATTCACAATGTCCATAGAATCTATTTACAATGGTTGGGTATTTTTGTTATTTTACTTTTTGTTGAAGACTGTATGTTGACCTCTGGGTGTCGTTTGATTATTTGTTTGGTTTGGTTGCTATTTTATTGACAGTAACTCCACTTATAGAAATATATATTATACTGATTAAAAGTAGATTACCTTTTAAAAGATCTTTGACATTTTTCACATATAAATGCATTACTCTGTGGTTGATGATTCCTCTGGATGTGATATTTTAAGCCTGGATAACTTGTAAGTACTTTAGTACATCCCTCAAATGAACAAGAAAAGTGTTTATGTTGTTCTCCTTGTGTCTTAATAAACTCCATCATTTTTTCTGTTTTCACATGGGGCCGCTTTCCCTGCAATGGTTCCTGGAAAGAAATTAGTCATTTGTTGTAAATATTGTATTTTATATTTGTTTACCAACAATTTATAAGACAGAACGGGAGTAAGGTTAATTCTCACAATTCTTATTCCACATAAATATAATTAATGCAGGCTTTAAATAATTAAATATGGATTAAATTGAAACCAGACACTGATGAATACTCAAGCTAAAGTTAAATTGGTCTTAAGTAATCATCTCAGTATCATATTTTAAACTCTTGACATGCTTTTATATACATGTCTGTTTGGGCCATTTACCAAAAGTTACAAGTCAGGATTTAGAATTTTCCTTTTAAAACTTTTGTATATCTTTCTCATGTTTCTATTTTGTGGCCTCATTGACATTAAGCATCAAATACTCAATCTATTTTGTGGCCACATATTTGAATATGTATCATTTAGTCAACTTGCATCGAACTCGAAAGTTGTCTATTATATTTCAATTATTTGTCAACATGGTCAATGTACAATATTTTATTCAATTTTACAAATACTGCACAATTAGAAAAACTGTAAATTTATTAAAATTATTAAAGTGAAAGTATGTCCTCCTAGTTAAAATATGTAGCTTACATGTAGTATTTCACACATGCATGTAGTTAGTCTATTTATGTATATATATGTACTATTCTCTGTAACTTTGTATTTAGTTTATGAGAATAAAAGATTCATTCATTCATTCATACAACATGATGTAATTAATTACATTTCAATTACTTAGTCAATGTACAACATAATGAAATCAATTACATTGTACATTTCAATTACTTAGTCAATGGACAATGTAATGTAATTAATTACATTTCAATTACTTAGTCAATGGACATTGTGATGTAATTAATTACAAATGTACATGTACATTTCAATAAATTCTGTGTTAGAAATTTTTCATATAAGGATAAAATGTGAACCAGCTAGTATGAGGCTTTTTTACATTATATTTTGAACAATGAAATATTTGTAGACACATTCTTTTAAGGTTTAAAATTTCATTGTAACATTTATATGTTTCAAAGGCATCTGTTATTTGAGTAAATTGATTATACTTTTTGATTTTCAAAGCCAAAGTGGCCTCAACATACCTTCTCCTTTACAGACTAAATACCAATTAATTGGTACTATTTATAATGTCTTATATATTTATTTAAATGTGAATTAAATGAAGATTATTATACATGTTATATAAGTTTGCAATATTTAGCAATGATGTATTATTATTTAAAAATAAAATGCTTCGCTGGGGCGCAGCTTGATACGACCGCAGAGGTCGAACCCTGAACAGTTGGGGCAAGTATGGACACAACATTCAAGCTTGATACAGCTCTGAATTTGGATTGTTATTAAATATTTGACACAGCATAGGTTTCTGACACAGAAAGAATGTGGTCTAAGAACTTGAATTTTTTTAATTTACCTATTATGGTCCAATGTCCAAAATCAAAATACATGGTTAGATTCAGCATATCAAAGAACCCCATATATTCAATTTTTGTTAAAATCAAACAAAGTTTAATTTTGAACCCCAACTTGGACAAACTTGAAAACTGGGCCCATAATCAAAAATCTAAACACATGTTTAGATTCAGCATATCAAAGAACCCCAAGAATTCAATTTTTGCTAAAATCTAACTAAGTTTAATTTTGGACCCTTTGGACCTTAATGTAGACCAATTTAAAAAACGGGACTTAAAATTAAAAATCTAAATACACCGTTAGATTTGGAATATCAAAGAACCCCAATAATTCAATTTTTGATGAAATCAAACAAAGTTTAATTTTGGACCCTTTTGACCTCAATATGAACCAATTTGATAGCGGGGCCCACAAATAAAAAATCTAAATTCATGGTTAGATTCAGCATATCAAAGAACCCCATATATTCAATTTTTGTTGAAATCAAAAAAAGTTTTATTTTGGACCCCAACTTGGACCAACTTGAAAACTGGGCCCATAATCAAAAATCTAAACACATGTTTAGATTCAGCATATCAAAGAACCCCAAGAATTCAATTTTTGTTAAAATCAAACTAAGTTTAATTTTGGACCCTTTGGACCTCAATGAAGACCAATTTAAAAAACGGGACCCAAATTAAAAATCTAAAAAAACGGTTAGATTTGGCATATCAAAGAACCCCAATAATTCAATTTTTGATGAAATCAAACAAAGTTTAATTTTGGACCCTTTTGACCTCAATATGAACCAATTTGATAGCGGGGCCCACAAATAAAAAATCTAAATACATGTTTAGATTCAGCATATTTAAGAACCTCATATATTCAATTTTTGTTGAAATCAAACAAAGTTTAATTTTGGACCCCAATTTGGACCAACTTGAAAACTGGGCCCATAATAAAAAATCTAAATACATGGTTAGATTCAGCATATCAAAGAACCCCATATATTCAATTTTTGTTGAAATCAAACAAAGTTTAATTTTGGACCCCAATTTGGACCAACTTGAAAACTGGGCCAAAAATCAAAAATCTAAATACATGTTTAGATTCAGCATATCAAAGAACCTCATATATTCAATTTTTGCTAAAATCAAACAAAGTTAAATTTTGGACCCTTTGGACCTTAATGTAGACCAATTTGAAAACTGGACCCAAAATTAAAAATCTAAATACACTGTTAGATTCGGCATAACAAATAAATAAATGTGATCAAAGATTTTACAAATCTAATGCGCCATACTGTGCAATTAAAGATTACTTCTTGAAATTTTTCAATATTTGAAATTTGAAAAAAAAATGATATTTGAAGAATAATTCTTTTTAATTTCTGAAATCTGAAATGAGAAAAAATTGACCCCCCACAATTTCTTTTTATCCCCCCCCCTCTTTTTTCCCCCAAAAAATTCTTTCCCTCAAGATATGGTCATAATCTCAATTCAAATTTCCAATGGAGTTGGCAACCATAATTACCCATTTAAATTTACCATAGTGCTAACTTAATCTATTTTATAATAGAATTAAAAATATAGTGTCAAATCTTTCATATGGATTTTTTTGTAAAAAAAAAGATGCAACATTTGCAGATATTTTTACTGGTCTTCCTTTATAAATATGCATTTCTTTAAACATAATTTAAAAGCAGAGTAAGGGAAGTAACAAAAAAGTTGTATTTGGATTACCTCCCTTACACTGTTTTAAATTATCTTTATTGTTCATTAACCATTACTTTATACATAATTTAAAAGCAGTGTAAGGGAGATAATTTCAATGATGTATTTGATTTATCTCCCTTACACTGCTTTAAATTATATTTTGTATTAAAGTATTTGTCCATTAACCAGGACAACCTTGTTTTTCCCCCTTTTTTGCCCCTAATTCCTTAACGGTTTGAGCCATAACCCCCCAAAGCAAATCCTTACCATCCCTTTGTGGTATGGAAACTTGTAGTATAATTTCAGAGAGATCCATACACCGTTCCACAGTTATTGTCTGGAAACTAGAAAATGCTTATTTTTGGCCCCTTTTTGGCCCCTTATTCCTTAACTGTTGGTACCATAACCCCCAAAATCAATCCCAACCTTCCTTTTGTGGTATTTAACCTTATGGTCAAATTTCTAAAAGATCCATTCACTTAAGCTTAAGTTAGAGTGCGAAAACCAATGTGTATTCGGACGACGACGCCGGACGACGACGACGACGCCAACGTCATACCAATATACGACCACAAAATTTTTTTGCGGTCGTATAAAAATTGAATTATTTACAATTGAAAGTATTAACAAAGAAATTCAAGAACCAAGTGCATGCATACCTAATGTGATAAAAAAACACATACAGATTACACGTATGAGTGCATCATAGAAACAAGAAATGTTCACAAATTCCAAGCAAATTCTCCATTACAATTGCATGTACATTACCTTAAATTACTATTAAATTTGTAATTAATTATAGGTAATTACAATCATATTTTAATTACCCCATGTCTGCAACTACATGCACATGACTGTAACAGGATTTTACAATTGTTTTTTTAATCTATATATTATTTTTTTGTTAATTCCTAGCAATCAATCATGTTTGCACACTCTATGGAGGAGGGTGGTCAATCTTTGTTTCTGTTGACCAAACAAATTTTTATCAAATTGTTTGTCTTAAAGTTTACATCAGAGGACATACTTCTAAATGTATTCTGATGAGAATAGATGCTCCAAAAATTTGAGATAGAGGAAATGCAATTCTTTTATTCACTTCTTTAGTTTAAAAACAACTGCTCAAATCATCTCTCTTTTGAACCAAAATAAACATCTATAGAACACATTGTATGTTGTATTGCTGTATTTGAAGAAATAAATCATTTTTCAACACAGAAACTTGACTTTCTGTCAAGTGGGATTGTTTAAATAACACACGAACTTTCTGTTTATCTTTGAGGGCAGTCAGATCACCTGAGATATAAATTCCCCCCAGGCTCCCCCCTGCGTGGCAAACAAGTTGGTACGCTCGTGGACGTCTGGAACGGTTACATGTAAGGTGATTTATTTGATTATCCGAAACTTAAAGATGTGTTTCAAATGCACCCGTTATTGTTAATTCACTTCTATTTCACAAAACACAATGATTCAGTATAACGGTTCTCGTATTTGTGTACAATGTTTACAAACATGAAAGGTGTTTACTTTTTAAGTAACTTTGACCTAGTTTGAAATACTACGCCGGTCAAAGTTTGTAAAATCATGTTTACCTGTATGACAACATCAGTTATGCTGTTACTATCACCAATTATGTTTTTTCAAAACATTTGTATTGCTTCAGAAAATTAAAACTAACGTTTTCCCTGCACAAACTAACGTAGTAAAAATTTGAAAGTTTACTTACCAACGCCATCTTCCTTCGACAGGTGCGTGACGGTGTATGACTAAATTTAATTGGTCAAAAAATATCACTCAGAACGTTATATTGTATCTGATTGGACAGTAGGATTTGAATATTCATTTTTTTCTGAAGTTTTTAAAAAGAAATAAAAATCAAGTTAAAACTTAAGCGAGGCCCCATGGGAGCGGGTCAGACATGGAATAATTTGATATTGAAATTTAATGAAGGGGACATGCACACGACAGAACAGAAAGCAAAATAATCATAGTTGGTATTTTTCCCTTCTTAACATCTATGTACTTTTCGCCGCTATGCTAATTTGTATCGACAGGTTGTATGTATTCATATGGGTAACAGTTGCGCCCTTTTAAAATGATCCCATTTAACAGAAAGAAAAACATAAACGTTTCCTTTATGTTATTTTTTATTTTAGATAAGCGAAATTTCTCTTATTACATCGGAAAACAAACAAAGAGAACTGTCTTTAAAAAATCTAACGTAAACAACAAAAAATGTCCTTTACTTGATATAGTGATTTCAATTTCATATTTTTCTATAAAAAATTACGACAAAAAAGTAAATTTTTCGTTCGATATTTTTAATATTGTTGATTTTTCTTTGATGTACGGCGATTTACCGTTCTACCCCTTGAGATGTGTATATTTATTACTTGTCGTTCACTCTTGCCTCAGTTCATATTTCAATGAAAGTTATCTTTGTATAACTAGTATATTATAAAGTCGGGGATTTCGCCACCACAAGTTACTTAAAGCCTTTACGAAATTCTTTCATAGATACAAATATGTTGTTTGGAAGTTGGATGTGACCTGTATGGAAACCTTATTATAAACGGGGATTATGGTGATGTTGTTTCCTATAATGCTCGGAGATCAGATCCTTGTAAACTTATAATCCTTTGAATAAACTTATCCTGAAAGGTTATTTATTCTAAGGTTGTAGTTTCTTGTCTTCACCGGCACTAAAATTGATTCTATTTTAAATAAAGGTAAATTTGCTAGATATACTTTAGTCTTACTGGAGGTGTGATGAGATGATTGGAGGTATAATACCACCAAATCATAATACGTCACAACCGGTTTCAAAGGGTTGGAAAAAAATTTTCCCTTGAATTTGTCAGTTGTAGGAAATAAACAGGTGCATTTCATTGCAGCAAAACATTTCTGAGTCAAAAACGAATATCTTTGGTGTGTCAAAGCACCATTCTTTTTATTTGGTGTTTCAACTATAAAATATTTTGGAAACTTAAAGCTTGTAATTACTGAGGGAAAAAGGGGTGAACATTTAGATACAAGTATCTTGTCTTGGGGAGGGATAAATCCTACTTTGTAAAGAATCACTCTGATTCAAACAAAAAATTCTCTGAAACTGAAATTATCAAGATGCTTGATTTCTTGATTGACAACATATTTGTTACGTTTGGAGGACGTGTTTTTCAACAGACTGTCGGAATTCCAATGGGAACCAATTGTGCCCCTCTTCTTGCCGACTTGTTTCTTTATTATTACGAGGCTGACTTCATACAGGAACTTCTTAGGAAGAAAGATAAGAAGTTAGCAATATCCTTTAACTTTACGTTCCGCTATATAGATGCTGTTCTCTCACTAAATAATACAAAATATGGTGACTATGTTGAACGAATCTATCCCATCGAACTAGAGATAAAGAATACTACAGATACAGTTAAGTCTGCCTCATATCTTGACTTACATCTAGAAATTGACAATGAGGGTCGGTTGAAAACAAAACTTTACGACAAAAGAGATGATTTCAGCTTCCCAATTGTGAACTTTCCATTTCTATGTAGCAACATTCCAGCAGCGCCTGCATACGGAGTATATATCTCCCAATTGATACGATATTCCCGGTCTTGTATTTCCTATCATGATTTCCTTGATAGAGGATTGCTGCTCACAAGGAAGCTATTAAACCAAGAGTTCCAAATGGTGAAGTTGAAATCATCCCTTCGTAAATTTTACGGACGCCATCACGAGTTGGTTGACCGTTAATGAATAACTGTTTCACAGATGATAGCGGATATGTTCCTTATGTCGTAACTACAATACCCTTCCCTTTTTCACGAATGTGACCTACCGAATTAGACTATTTACCGGATTTGTAATAACATAAGCAACACGACGGGTGCCACATGTGGAGCAGGATCTGCTTACCCTTCCGGAGCACCTGAGATCACCCCCAGTTTTTGGTGGGGTTCGTGTTGCTTAGTCTTTAGTTTTCTATGTTGTGTCATCTGTACTATTATTTGTCTATTTGTCTTTTTATTTTTGGCCATGGCGTTGTCAGTTTGTTTTCGATCTATGAGTTTGACTGTCCCTCTGGTATCTTTCGTCCCTCTTTGATTGGTTTAATTTCGGTGATGGTCATTATCTTATATGCAATGAAATGTTATGTGAAATTTTCTATGTAGTACTGGACAGGATAAAACTTTACTCTTGCCAAGTATTTCTTTATTTGAAACCAAGATAAATTCTGCACAATTTATTGAAAAATGCAAACTTAACAAAGACTAATATCGGAAAAACAATGGTGGTATTACTCCTGGATATGTTAAAGTTCTCCTTGACAACCTTTTGTGTACATTTCGGCAATAAAGTTTATTGGCAGGTTGTAGGTATTCCTATGGACACCAACGGTACCCCTTTAATAGCAGACTTGTTCCTGTACTGTTATGAATCACAGTATATGGCCAAACTCAGTAGAGACCCGTGTAAATTCCATTTAATTGATAAATTCATCAACACTGACTGTTATCTTGATGATATTTTTTCGTTAAATAATCAAGAATTTTTTAAATATGCCGCCGAAATTTACACAGATGGACTTACTTTAAATGAATCATATAAACAATAATAACTGTCGTTTCCTCGATTTAGATATTTCAGTTTTAAATGGGAAACTCTACAAACATTTACGACTAAAGGGATACATTTTCGTTCTCTAATATTAATTTTCATTTTTTGATGATGATTCTTTGGCACCATCTTACGGTATCTATTTATTCCAACTCGTTTGCTTTGCCTGTTCTGTTTTGGATTTCAATGAACGTAATCTATGAATTACTGGTAAATAATTAAGTCAAGGATTTCGTTACCACAAATTACTTAAAAACTTCACGAAATTCTTCCAGAGATACAAAGATTTGGTGTGGAAGTTTGACTGCACCTGTTGCAGACTTATTACAAATGGGATAGCACATCCTTAATTTTACTTGATGTTGTTTACCGAGCCCGTTACTTTAGATGCGATCCGAGTAAAATGTTACCAATTCAACACAGTAATTAATTCTTTGAATATTGTTTTTATCGGTATAACTATTGAATTTCTTATCAGTAAATTAAAACCAAACTAAAATTATTGTTATACACATATGTTCATTAACGGTTCTACAATCTGTTGATACCTATATTTTGGTATTGCACAAGGTCATGTTTTTCTCTGATTGGCAATGGTGTCTTTTGTTAGGGATTTTATGTGCTTTGTAACAATCTGATGAGTTAAGCCCTGTTTAACTCATTTTTATAGTTTGTTCTTATGATGTACTGTTACACCACTGTCCCAGGTTAGGGGGAAGGTTTTGCGCCAGCAACTATGGTTAACACATCCACATTCTGTATGTGCCTGTAATTCAGTGGTTGCTTTTGTTGCTGTACGTCAATTTTTTTTTACGTTTATTGTTTTGTACATAAATCAGGCCGTTATTTTTCTCGTTTGAATTATTTTACATTTGTCATTTCGGGAACTTTTATAGCTTACTATGCGGTATGGGTTTTGCAGATGTTTGACGGCCGTTCGGTGACCTATAGTTGTCAACTCCTATGTCATTTGGTCTCTGGTGGAGAGATATCTCATTAGCAATCATACCACATCTTCTTATTTTTTTATATCCATTCACTTAATACTGTTACCATGCAGCTCCTGCGATACAGATACACAAGACTGCCAAATGAGTGATGCATAGATATGCATCATTTGACGACGACGACGATGATGATGATGATGATGATGATGATGATGATGATGATGGATTTGTGCTTAATGGGCATGCATATAAGAGCGAAAAACTTGTTAATGAGATTTGATTATGCATGAACCCTGCTTTGTACTGGACAGACACTCTGAGCCGAATTTTTAACTTGTTATTTCATAAGGAAGACACGTTACCCTCCCCGGACACACTTTTCTGACTCCGAGCTGACCAGTCTTTGATGTATTCTTGAATAATGCAAACTTGGATGAGAAATAGCAAATTCCAATTTTCAGGTATATGGTTGGACTCGGTCGGTGATAGAACCAACGACCTTCTGCACTCCAGGCGATCACACTACTACGAGACCACGAGGCGGTTATTGCGGAATTTAAAAACAGCAATAAGTAATGAAAAAGGTCATATTACTGGACATTTATAACATCAACTCTACCTTATTTGTATTTAGAACCGTGGTTTATTTGCAGTGATATTTAGTTAAATTTCTGCTGCAAAGTTATACACATTGGCGAAAAAGTTACCTGCCTTGGAAATTAACAAATTCTTTGAAGCAGAATTTCCTGTTACTTCTAAACTATAACTTTTGGAGTGAGAACATATATCTTTTGCAGTTTAACTGATCCTACTGGCTACACACCTTTTAAAGTGCGTAATATTGATATCCTAATTCTTAAGGCCATGCAAGTGTACTTTATATAGATAACGTGTAAAGGGTTAACGTGTGTGAATACATGTATATATCTGTATTATTGGTTAAGTATGAACATATCGACACACATCACGGTTCTTTCTGTGCACTGACAACCTATTATTTCCAAAATATCATCCTTCTGCCATCTCTTTTCATATTGCAAATTCCAGTTTTCTCTTTTTTTATACCGTAAAGTTTGACCTGATCGATACCCCTGTGTATGAATGTTAGCCATGAGAGCTAGTTGAATTTGTAGAACATCAAGGGGATAAAAATTAAGAAAAAAAAAAAACCAACAAAGTTTCTGCCTTCTAGTATAAGTTGCTTTTTTCAAGTTTTATAAACTAAATATATTTTTAACTTATTGATTAAGAGTGGACCTCTGACATATTAAACATAGGGGTCATACCTGTTGCATACTTATGTTGCTCCATTTAATAATACATGTTATCGCAGGTATCGACAGAATATTACAACTGTGCAAATGTAAAAATGTCGGAAGTCTACAGCAGTACGGGATCTTTAACATTTCGAGATAGAAAATTCTATTTAGATGGCGAACCATTCACAATTCTTAGCGGAGCAATGCATTACTTTAGAGTTGTACCAGAATATTGGAAAGACCGATTAATGAAAATGAAAGCATGCGGACTAAATACAGTAGAAACGTAAGTTACATAGGTTATATTATATGCACTATCACTGACTGTGTTGGACTGGCATGGATTATGCAACGGTCATTTACTTTGCTGAGTGACAACATTACTAAATAGAAGTAGTTTCAAGTAATACAGAGTATACAGAGATAGTTAACTTATTGTTTTCAATATTAAAATAAACTGAATACAGTCATATTTTTAATTTTTAGGTGTTGAAACTGAGATCAAAACATTAATATTTTTCTTTTACAATGAAAACTTTTTAAATCTTTTTGTTTTAGATATGTGTGTTGGAACTTACACGAAAAGTATCCCAATGAATTTGATTTTTCTGGAATCCTGGATGTGCGGTAAGTGATGTATATGAGGCTATCACTATGGCAAGCCGTTTTGCTATTTATTCTAACTTCAAGATATCTTATAAACTTTGAGCAACATCAGCAATCTTCAAGAAATCTTCAATGTAGATAACACTTTTACAATCCATACCACTGTTTCGTGGAAAATAGTATTTAAATTGATTTTGGATTTATTTAATGGGCAAGTGTTACAATGAGTCGTGTGTAGACGAAATTCGCGTCTAGCATAAAAAATCATAAGCCTTGTATCTTTGAGGTGTTTTTTAACCACTGGGTGGATGTCACTGCTGGTGGACGTTTCTTCCCGAGGGTTTAACCAGCCAAGTAGTCGACACCCCTTTGCTGACATAACTATCACTTATGAAACTAGAGGCTCTAAAGAGCCTGTGTCGCTCACCTTGGTCTATGTGCATATTAAACAAAGGACACAGATGAATTCATGACAAAATTGTGTTTTGGTGATGGTGATGTGTTTGTAGATCTTACTTTACTGAACATTCTTGCTCCTTACTATTATCTCTATCTATAATGAACTTGGCCCGGTAGTTACAGTGGAAAATACTTTGTAAAAATTTACAAAAATTTACCAAATTTATGAAAATTGTAAAAAACTGACTATAAAGGGCAATAACTCCTAAAGGGATCAATTGACAATTTTGGTCATGTTGCCTTATTTGTAGATCTAACTTTGCTGTACATTATTGCTGTTTACAGTTTATCTCTATCTATAATAATATTCAAGATAATAACCAAAAGCTGCAAAATTTTCTTAAAATTACCAATTCAGGGGCAGCAACCCAACAACGGGTTGTCCGATTCATCTGAAAATTTCAGGGCAGATAGATCTTGACCTGATAAACAATTTTACCCCTGTCAGATTTGCTCTAAATGCTTTGGTTTCAGAGATATAAGCCAAAATCTACATTTTACCCCCTATGTTCTATTTTTAGCCATGGCGGCCATCTTGGTTGGTTGGCCGGGTCACCGGACACATTTTTTAAACTAAATACCCCAATGATGATTGTGGCCAAGTTTGGTCAAATTTGGCCCAGTAGTTTCAGAGGAGAAGATTTTTGTAAAAGTTAACAGACGACGCCGGACGACGACGACGACGACGACGGACGACGGACGCAAAGTGATGAGAAAAGCTCACTTGGCCCTTCGGGTCAGGTGAGCTAAAAAGTATACCGCTGTTCAAAAGTCATAAATCGATTGAGAGAAAACAAATCCGGGTTACAAACTAAAACCGAGTGAAACACATCAACTACAAGAGGAAAACAACTGAACAACAGAAACACTGTCTTTCAGTGAAACAATGACCACTTAAAGTGTCCATACCATATATATGCAGTCATATAAAAAAAAACCAGATTTCTTATTATTTTAAGATTTATTCTTCCAGTGAAACAAAAACAAACGCCAACATACATAGAAACGAACTATTTGATAACAACTGGCATATTCCTGACTTGGTACAGGACATTTTAAGAAAAATGGTGGGTAAGTCAGTTTTTGGGTAAAGATTGCATGAACCCTATGGTACTGACTTGATATCTAAATCTTCCAAAGTTTATCACTACTTTTGAGATACACAAAATATAGTGCATTGATCATAACAATCTGAACATCCTATCCATGAACATTTCCAGAAATCTATCAATGAAATATGTGCTCAGATATTCAAATTACAAAATGATGTTATACATGTCAAGAAAATTACATAACTTGTGCAAGATGCAGGAATCTAATATCTGTTCTAAAAATATCAATTATTTCCTGGTAAAGTAATCTTTAAAATTAGAGTATCAAATTTAAAATCATTTGAAATACTAAGGTTTTTCTACCCCAGGCAAGATTGCCCTAACCCTATGGTACTGACTTGATATCTAAATCTTCCAAAGTTTATCACTACTTTTGAGATACACAAAATATAGTGCATTGATCATAACAATCTGAACATCCTTTCCATGAACATTTCCAGAAATCTATCAATGAAATATGTGCTCAGATATTCAAGTTACAAAATGATGTTATACATGTCAAGAAAAAATTACATAACTTGTGCAAGATGAAGGAATCTAATATCTGTTCTAAAAATATCAATTATGTCATTGTAAAGTAATCTTTAAAATTAGAGTATCAAATTTAAAATCATTCGAAATACTAAGGTTTTTCTACCCCAGGCAAGATTGCCTTAGCCAAACTTTAAAAAAATTTTGGTTTTCAATTGTTCAAATTTCTAATTGATTTCAAATTTTGGATTCCCATTTGTTTGTGATTCGAGCTTCACGGAGGAGTCTTGTGTTCACGAAACACGCGTCTTACGTACAAAATTGTAATCCTGGTATCTATGATGAGTTTTTTTTACATGAATGTATGAAGAAAAATGCCAGTATAAATCTGAATTACTATTTTACAGAAAGTTTATAAGACTAGCAGAAGAAGTAGGCTTGTATGTAATATTTCGACCCGGGCCTTATATATGTGCTGAATGGGATTTTGGAGGAATGCCTGCGTAAGTAAAAATCATTTACATTATACATGTTGACGGAGTATATTTGTGTATTACATCTATCTACAAAAAATAATCATAGCGCTGAACTTAGCAAGACTACGTTTTCTATTTAGTTCAGAACCATGATCATCTGTTCACATTAATGAAACTGGTTGAACATTAAATATGTAAACTTTTATTGCATCTTTCCCCATTTCTTATATATAAGCATATTCTTCTTCTGCACCCTTCGTATCTCCCTGTAGATCAACCCCTTATTTTGAAGTGTTTGGTTTTGAGTCAAATCGGGTTGACATTTGCGAACGCCAGACGTATTGGGGGAATGGTTAAAGTCATGCTTTTGAAACGTACATTAAACTAGCGACCATAAAAACGGCCTTATAAAGGATACCCTTCTGATAAGAGGGTTATATCTGAGATAACAAATCGCTCTGCCAAGGAATTCAATGCATATTTAATGCTTGTTGAATGACGAATTAAATGTGATATATAAACACCATAAGCTTCAAGCGTTAGTAAAGTCACACTCAGGAAAAGGAAATTCACTGCTGAGAAGTTGAATAAATCGCGTCTGTCTTAATTACTGTGCTGATTTCAGATTTTCCATGCCCGATTGATAGGTAAACTTATTATTTCATAGACTCATTTCTGTTTTGTATTTAATTTTTTTTTACGTCTTTTGTAGATGGCTTTTGCGTGACCCTGAAATGAAAGTACGAAGTAATTATAAGCCATACCAAGATGCTGTAGATAGATTGTTTAGTCAACTGATTACACTGGTGTCCGACTTACAGGTTTGTTTATTTAATTAAACTTTGGTTTTACTTTCTTATTTCTTCGGGGTGAAATAAATCTTTCACTGGTGAACATCATATACTCTCTTAGTTTGTTCCTATTGATGTGCAGGTTGGTATTCTATGTACCATATATTTTCATGTTTATATCAAAAGGGAGATGTAAATAACCATCATTATTTGCTTAAGATGGACAATGATGGACAGTTATTCAGAATAAAAGAAGCCATCTTTCCGAATAATACACTTCATATTTTAGTCATAAAACCATCACAATAATGAAGTTTAGGTAACTTTCTTACCTAAAAATACGCACTTAATGACTATATTTTTGTTGCCTAATGAAATAAATGTTGCATTTATTTTTTTCAGAATTGTCTAAAACTGCCTGAAAAATCAAGCGGCGGACCAATTATAGCATTTCAAGTTGAAAATGAATTTGGTTCCTACAGTAAAGAATATGATCATCTAAAGTTTATTCATGAGGCAAGACGTAAAGTAGTTTAACATTGTTCAAATCTCGTAAATCGACTGAGAAGACTCAAATAAAGTTAACAAAAAAAAAAAAAAACTGTGGGAATCGCATGAACTCCAAAAATGAGCGAGACGAGATGCGTCCCCTGCTATGCATGAATTACTCGCCATTTTAATCCACACTCATTCTAAATGTCACAATCGGGAATAGTAAACAACCGGTAAAATGACCGGTAAAATTACAGATCAGATGACTATACTTGTAGTTAAAGATCTATCCCGCAACAGCATATCGCTAGTGAGTTGAGACACCGACAGATCGTATCGGTCAACCAATTTGTGATGGCGACCGTAAAACTTATGTAGTGTTGATTTCAGTCGTTCTTCCTCAAAACTCTGTTGAAGCAGTTTTTGACCTGGGAGAACGCCCCTGTTAACGAAGCCCGTATAGTGTGAACATTACCGAATGTAACGTATTAAATGAGATATGTAAACGCCAAACGACGGATCAGAGGGTATGTCACTGCTGAGAAATTGGAAGTTGACAATTGGAAAGTTGAAATCATCACGTTTGTCATAGATTCTAGTTTGAAGTTGTCCCATCTGTGTAAATACAGAGGAAAAGATCAAGATATAAAGCACCATCCTTAAATGAAGTTCACTGGGATATATGAAATGTAAGCTCTCATTGAAACGTCGATTATTGAACGACAGGTAATCATCAATATATCTAAAATGAAAATCGAAGAACTTTTCACTGAGAAAATGTATTCGATCTTTCACTTGAGCATGGCGATAATATTGTAAAACATAAAATAATTAAATGTTTTGATTTTATTGCAATATTGAAAAAAATTGTGATTAAATACTTAGGAGTAAATCTTTAGAATTTTTAAGAATCCACATTTGATTGACACCGCTACTTGAATATACCTCATCACATTATTTCTGAAGGCCATCGTTTACCTTGGAAAGAATGGGGGTAAGAACTTTAGAAAGATGTTAAGTCGAACATCTTGACGACCCGGCTATACACCGTTCTTTATAAGGAATTTTTGTGTAGTTTAGGTATTCAGTATGAAGATGTTAGATTTTCATCATCCTTTTATATGTTAATTTCAAAGTAGAGAAGAATGGATTTGCCATTTTCTAAAATCTTTTTTTTTTCGTAAATGATGTAGAGGTATATGTTGGATTCTTACTTTTGCTGCTGTGAATTCCAAGTTCTTCATTCCTAATAATGGTTTTGCATATACAAAACTATTGTTTGAAGCTTTGTCTGCTGGAACAATAACACATTTGTCGTGAAGAGAGGATAAATCATCTGCAACCTCGGACTATTTAAAGAGTCAGTGACATGTGAGCTCAACGTGCATCATAAATTGGAATGCACTTTTGAATGCGTGACCGAATATTTGATCTATAAATTGATTACAGCAGATTCCATTGAGTGTGTAGCCAAAGGTAATATCTTTGGTTAGCTTGCTTGTTAGCTGAACCGTGAAGTCATTGTTAGGTTAGGTAAACTACCTACTTTAAGAATAGACTAGTCCGACAGAAAACCAATCGATCTGTCTGTTGGACTATGCTACTTCGAAAAGAGGGTAGTATACCTGACCTAATAATGACTTCACGGTTCAGCTAACACGTAAGCTAACCAAAGATATTACCTTTGGCTACACACTCAATGGAATCTGCTGTAAGCGTCCAGTTTTGGTTCAATTGGCTCGGACGTTACCCACTTTCTGGCATAGTTCTCAACTGCATTCATAAGTTACATAAAAACCTAGAACAGCTGTCAATTTGTTTATTTAAGAAGATGATGATCAATTGATTGACTTCATTTGCAGTGAAAAATGTACAACAGAGTATCAGTTACTTTTTGGTTAATATTTCTCACTAATGTAATAAATGACTTGACTGTTTGCAGTACATTATTTTTTCTTAGGTAGCGATGTTAAAAGTTAAACTGAATAATTATGAATATTTTAGACTTTGGTAAAATATGGTGCTAAAGAATTATTCTTGACGTCTGAAAATCCAAACGGGATAACAAACTGTCTTTTCTACGATCGTAAGTAAAACTTTGGTCAGTTGATAACATTGTTTCTTTTTTTACGATCGTAAGAAAAGTATTGGTTAGCTTATAACACGGCGTCCTTTCTATTTTATTGGATCATAGACAACTATCAAATAAACATATGTTAAACCATGTTAGTTGTAACAATACACTGCTATAAATATTCTTTTTTATTTTTTCACATTTTGTCAGCCTGTGCTTTTTAGAGCTATCTAGTTGGTATGTGTTTTATCATTGTTGAAGGCGGTTCGTTGACCAGCAATTGATCACATCTTTGTCCTTTTGTCTTTATTTGATAGTTGTATCCCTTTTTATATACCATTGTTTACTTTTGTCCAATCTTGCCTCGTGATAATTCAATTTTTTTCCTGTACAATCCATACATTTCATAACGAAAAGGTAGTGCTAGGAAACAAATCCTTTCGAAATTGGTCTTTGCCTATTCGGAGAAATATATATTTTACGCACACCTTGATAAATAATTTTGTATGCATTGTTGATATTATATGGTGTCCGTTAGTCTGCGCATATGTTGCCTGTTGATGTTTTTTAAAATAAAACTAGAAACACAGGGACAAAACTCTATTTATTCATAACAGGGTCATTCTCTGAAAGTTCTGTTTATTTCAAAAATGCAAAATATAAAGGGGCATTAGCTGTCAAATTCGTGTTCACTGATTTGACCCAAATTCTCATATTTGATTTATAACATACTAAAACGTATATTCAAATTACAAAAATTCCAAAGAAACAATAAATAATGCACGGAATCTTTATAATGTATAATCATTTCGAACGTATTTTAGACTAGACGCCATCTAATTATCCATCGAGATGACCTTCGAAGACTTCCGACGGTCATATAACCTAAAAAAACATAAATATAAATGCAAATATACAGGCAAGCACATATAATCGCATAACGACGACTTTTCAAGGTCTGATTGATTTTAAGTTATAGATTGGAAATATATGTTTATCGTCGTTATACCTATATAATAATGATTTTTTTTTGGGCCGGATCAGTCAACGAAATGGTTATTCCTGGTGTCCCCTTTTTCACTTGGCAATGTTGACATTCTTTTCTTTTTTAATGAATGAACTACATGCTGAGCACATGCGCAACCCATCTCCACTGTAGGTCAAATTAAAGTTTACATGAATATGGATTCTAATAAGGTTAAAATTTTGACTTACAAGCTTATAATACATGACACAAACAAAGTTCAAAAGTGGAGCTATGTCTTATCTTAAGAAACAAAGTCATTAATTTGGTCCTTTGTGTCCTGCAACGGAAATATATACAATAACTTGTGTAATATTTAATATTTTATCAAATAGTCTCCAACAACAGTTTGAATGGCTGAATAAAACTTTATTCCATAGAGATTGATAATCAATACTGAATGTTTTTGATATTGGTTTTTGCAACCTTCAAATTCACTTTAATCATAGTTTTTAACAACTTTTCGATTTTCAAAAACACAAAGTAAGATTATGAAAAGTATAACTGCTTCTCTGTTAACTTGTACTTCGTTATGATATAAGAGAATAAAGTATCTATCTATCTATCTCTGGAAACAATAAATTCTAATGATTTGTTTATTTTTGTTGAACAACTTTTTCAGGAGCTCTTCCGACTGCAAACTTTCCCAGTATGAAAGTTGGAGCAGATACCTTGGACCTGATACGGAAGTGGAGTCCAAGCTTTCCTCTTATGGTAACGGAATTCTGGTCCGGCTGGTTTGACCACTGGACATCTACACACAAAGGACTGCCTCTTGATGGTACTTAAAACGAAATACATATCTGTAATTGTGGGATAAGGAAATTGTTCAATTGATGTGGTCGCCAACTCATTACCAGCCAAGTATTTAAATAAATATGATGTACAATGTTAAGAAATGGTCAGTTTTGAAAAAAAAATCATTACTAGTTTCAACCAAAGTCGATAGCAACTTTGACTGACAAGTACTCACATCTTGATCGAACATGCGGCGAAATATAATCAGAAGAGTGGATGGAAGATGAGAGGATTATGTTCCCTACACGTTTCAGGTCAACTGTTTTTGTTTAAAAAAATCAGATTTAAAACTATAGATTTCAAATTTATTAGTCTTTATCAATACCATAAGAGCTAAAAACACTTTTTTTTTGCATACAGAAATTCTTCTGGACATCCCTTCTGGACATCCCTGGGTTTCAAATATTTAGGTTTGAGCGTTCCTTATGAAAGTAAATTCCAGTAAAGCGCTTCGGACGCATTAAATCTATAATGTGATATTTTCGTTTAAAAGCTATGGGTCGATACCTTCTCTTGTGGACTGTTAGTCCCCAAGGTATTATCAGCTAAGTAGTAGGCGCTTCGGTACGGGATTTATAACATATATTTCTATTAACATCCGATGATAGATTAAGAAATTATGGTTCCTACTCTCTCAGACAAAGTTGAATTTGGTTACATTGGCTATTTGTTTAAGACTCGTTTGGCTTATCGTTTCTACGAATTTTTACTCTTTTGCTAGATTTATAGAAACTTAAACTGCTATTTATCACTTATGTATGGTAATCTATCTGAAATAAATAGATTCTCGGTAAAACTTTCTACTTATCACTTCAGACTTTGCTCAAACACTCACAGACATTCTTGATGCCGGATCGTCTGTTAATATGTACATGTTCCATGGAGGTACAAACTTTGGTTTTATGTCTGGCGCCAATAGATTTCCAGAATCAACTTATAAGCCCGATGTCACCAGCTATGGTAAAACTATTTTCCATTGCATTTTATAACTAGATTTTATACCACTGAAGAGAGGTAATATATTTACAAATGGTGGTGTCCTTTTAAAGATTCTTTTTAGATATTTAGATATAACATAAAGAGTTGTGGTATGACTGCTAATGAGACAACTATCCAACAGAGACCAACTTACATAGATGTAAGCATCTATATGTCATCAATGGCCTTCAACAATGAGCAAAACCCATATCGAATAGCAAGCTATAAATGACAATGAAATAACAAAATATAAAACAATTTGAATGTGAAAACCAGATTTATGAACAAAACAACAAACGAAAAACAAATATTATATACAGCAACAAACGACAACCACCGAATTTCAGTCTCCTGACTTGGGACAGACAAAACTATTTATGCCCAATAAAATTATATCATATATAAAAAGTAAAATCACAAAAATACTGAACTCCGAGGAAAATTCAAAAAGGAAAGTCCCCAATCAAATGGCAAAAAAAAAAACAAACACATCAAACGAATGGATAACAACTGTCATATTCCTGACTTGGTACAGGCATTTTCTTATGTAGAAAATGGTGGATTGAACCTGGTTTTATAGCTAACTAAACCTCTCACTTGTATGACTTGTCACGTAAAAGGTTTATAGCTTATAGAAATAGAATCCTATTTTAATGGATAATTGAAAATACACGTACAATGTAAAACTTTATAGAAAATATGAAAGCCCATCATTCCATAGATATTTTGTAATATTTAGATTATGATGCCCCATTGAGTGAAGCAGGAGATATTACAGCTAAATATCTCAAAGCAAGGGATATCATATTCGAAAAAATATTGAAACCACAAGGTAAAAATTTTAAATTGTAGTTTGATTCTTCCAAAATGGTATATAGTTTAAAAAAATCGAATGTATATAAGTTATTGATAAATATTGCCTTACTTTCATAGAATACAACAATAAATTTAAAAATATTTTCGTTTTTGTCAAAAATTCTTTCGAAAAAAACCAGTTCAAAAATATTTTAAAATGATATGTTTAAAATGACGCTAAGTAAAAAGGTTGAAAATTATCGTCTTTGTATAGATTTAAGAATGTAAAACGATTATGGTTATACGTCTATCATTCAATTCCTAATTTATTTATCTTTAAATGTAGACGTACGGTCAGTTCTAAAAATATTATCATCCTTATATGAGCTGTAATCTATTTCGACGTCATCAGAGATGATGATTTTTTTTGTAAATAATTCCAAATGTTAAATGATATTGGAAAATAGTAGTTACCAGAAGTATTACCTTTATTTTAGCCTTTATGGATTTTGAAAGTCGTTGACTCACTGACAATCTGGCCTTTAAGTCGTATAATAATTTTAACATAATATCCTTCGAATTTTATTAAGTAGTAAAATATCATCAAATATATCACGCTTATAAGTGAGTCAGCCGAATTTACATATCAATAGAAATAATTCTATATTACTTACACTTCCAATATGAAGCAATGAAAGAATGTCAAGATCAAAAACTTTATCAGTACTTACAGTTTAGCCTTTGTGGGAAATCATACTCACGACTTCATTTCAATACAATGACAAAACATGCAGGATTCAAGACTCTTATTTCCTGTTAAGCCCCAAAAAATAAATGTTTGCTATTATCTTTTTTTCTTATAGGCATTAACAGTTTACCGAATATTCCACCGAACACACCAAAAGCCAGTTACGGTAAGACAAACTAATAAAGTTTTACTTTTGCAGAACACTTGCACATAAAAAAATGTTTTAATTTGGTTAGAGGTGTTTTACATGATAGAAAGAAGAAAACAAGGAACAATAAAAATCAATAAAAACAGACATCACTTCGGCCAAAAAGAAAAAACGACGAAGAAACTAGCAACAATAACAAAACACTACATAGAAAATAAAAGATCGAGGAACACCAAACACACCACAAAACCCGGGGTTAGTCTAGATGTTCCGGAAGAGTAAACAGTTCCTGCTCCACTAGTTAACTATTTTGCAAATAATGTTTTCATTTACTATATGCCCCATAGCATTTTAAAAAAAATCAGCTACTGAGATATAAAATTTACAGATACTTACTTTTACTTAACCATCATCAAGTAAAACAAGCCGCTAACACCCGATTCCTCGGACGACTAGACGCACTAACAAAGACAACAAAAAAAAAGTATGGTCAAGATAGCCTGATTTCGCACAGGCACAAACAGTGGTGGGGTTAAAGCATATTCACGTCCACAACCCCCAATTTCATATCTAGATCATATGTCGTCAAACTAAAACCCAACAGGGAACCCAAGAAATTGAACAATGAAATAAAATCTATCAAACACAAAACTGCTTTTGTGAGAGCCAAATTAGTAAAATTGGTCAAATAAATCAAGAAGGAAAGCACGTTGATGTATTCATTTGGTTATTTCAGATCCAGTAGAAATAAAAGAGTACCTTTCACTGGATTTAATACTAGCATATTGCAATGTGAGTTGAAATTCGTAATATACATACTTGTACTATCATTTATTATATTTTCAAAATTTAAATACATAAAAACATGAACTGCTATCTATGGTCCTATACTCTGTCGAAACTTATAGTTTGACATTGTCCAAGGTCATGTTTTTGTCAGAAATGACATGACCTTTTTAAAAGTTGAAATTGGATTTTTTGTATTGATATTAAAGTAGATTGATCAAGTCAACACACACATATTTCATGCTGAAAGATACAAGGGACTTACAAATATGCAACTGTTAAAAACTCAAAAGAATGCTGCCGATAGACTCATAGTCAATAGCCAGTACATTGCCACTGCCACGCTTAAATAATACATCTCGACTCAAAAATTTCCTTCTGGTTGTTACATATGAAATTGTGTTAAAATTGCGGTTTTAATTCCTTCAGGAAAAGATAACCCTTGACATTTTTGGCTGTCCCGTTAAGAATCATTAATGTTTCTTCTCCAAATGATTGTATGTTTTAAGCAAACGCACCTGATCAAGGTTGTTTTTGAAACACTGTCTTGTATCATACGTCCATATAGGGAAGAAAATATTCCTGGATAGCGTTACAAAAACCCTATGTAGTGCAGCAACACAATTGTTTAGCTAAGTGATACTTGCGTGGACGCGACCGTTTCTATTATTGATATAAACTTTTATAGCTGACTATGCGGTATGGGTTTTGCTCATTGTTGAAGTCCGTACGGTGACCTATAGTTGTAAAATTCAATGTCATTTGGTCTGTGGTGGAGAGTTGTCTCATTGTCTAATTGGCAATCATACCACATCTTCTTATTTTTATATTAATTTCTTTTCTTTGTCTTTTAAAGCCGTTAACAATTTGCATAAAGAGCATTTTGAAGGTTGTGAACATGTTTACTATTATAATATCAATGTATAAATAAGATGTTAGCATTATTGCAGGCTAAGGTGGAATCTCCTAAACCGTTAAACATGGAAAGTCTGCAGATTCACAATGGTTTTGGACAAAACTATGGTTATATTTTATACCGAACTACGATCGGTAAAGGTAGAAAGCTCAGATTTGAGAAGCAGCCTACGGATAGAGCTCAGGTATGTAGAGCTAAAATGAAATCGGTATTCTCCATACAAAATTCTTTAACCACCCTTCAAAAATAAAACTTGGACAGTTTTGGGCTACTTAGGTATTTATATATCAGGAAATGTTTGAATAAAAATATTTGTTATCGTAAAAAAAAACAAAAAAAAACATGAAACTTTTTTCTTAAAACATGCAGTTTGAAAAAAGTAACCCAGAAAAGCGCTTCGGACGCATAACATTTATAAAGTCTTATTTTCATTTTGAAATGTTTGAACTTAAAAAATGACAGGTTTCTTTTTAAACAAACTTTAAGGATTGCACTTTTTCTTAATTGTATTTTTCTCTATTTTTTTCGAATAATAGAATATAAGTTTATAAAATAAGAATAAGGTTATCAAAGATTAATATGGTAATGTTGCAGATTTTCATTGATGGCATGCAGAAAGGTGTGTTAGACTGGCGAAAAGATTCTGTAGAGCAGGAAGTCAACACAGACAAGGTAAATAACGACTTGCTTAACTGCAAGCACAACATTTTGTTATAAAAAAGTATAAAAATAAAAAAATCTTGATGGCTTGAAACTTAACTTGTCTAAGTTATGTATTTGTAAAATTTCTTAACGTGTGATAAAACAAAGGTTTGTCATGTAAGACTCATCTGTTCAGTGGCGTTCTAATCAAAATAAATTAAAGAGCCTTTCAACCAAAACATTCTAAAAAAATGGACCAAATACGCCTAAGGCCAACTGTTCCCTGGAGTTAAAAAATATAGTGAATTGAGTAACTAAATATTTTATAAACTATATAAAAAACAAAAATTACTGCATCAAAGATAATTTCATGACTGCTGGCCTGGTGTGATCAATCGGAACGTCTTGCAGCAGTTGCGTCGATCCAGTGGTTGTAAATAAAGGCAACAGTAGTATACCGCTGTTCGAAATTCATAAATCGATTGAGAAAAAAACAAATCCGGGTTACAAACTAAAACTGAGGGAAACACATCAAATATAAGAGGAGAACAAAGACACAACAGAAACACAACATTAAAATGTAACACACAGAGAAACGAACTATAATATAACAATGGCCATTTTCCTGACTTTGTAGAGGACATTTTAAGAAAAAAATGGTAAATAACGTTATCAATTTCATGTAAAAAGTTACCAAAGATACAATATTCATTATTTAGTACGCGAGACACACGTTTCGCCTTCATAAAGCTCGAATAAAGTTGGAAGGCCAAATTAATTGCCAAAGTCAAAAACCTGTAATTATGTTGTGGCAAATACGACTAAGATCATCTATGCCTTGAGGGTAGAAATCAGCTTTCCATATGTATTTATAGATTATCGTTGATCATCTCAACGAGATTGATTTTCTCGCTTGAGCCGGAACGGCGAAAGTGAGAAAATCAATCGAGTTGAGATGACCAATGATAATCTGTTTATCGCTATTTTACCTATGACGACGTTGTCAATTTCATTAGCAACTCCACGTGCCCCCTTAGTTTCTAGCGTTAATTTTTCATATCATTCGACTCCGCTGAGAAAGGAAATTATCAGTCAGCAAGATCAAAGGAAAATTTCATAAAATAGCGATAATCATTATTATTCGTAGGTTACCAATTTTCGTGGACTTCGTAGGAAAAGGTAAACCACGAATTTGAATATTCAACAAAGTAGACATTTGTATAGACTCTTATGATTACTTTGGCAAAACCACGAAATCAAATATAAACGGAATAAAATTTACCTCAATCCACGATGTTGATTTCCACTAAAATAACTAAATCTACAGTAATTAAAAGTGGTTAATAGTGATTACAGATACTTTGATCCTACGTTGATCTGACACAGTGTCGATAGAACAGATCGTATAGTGTATCTTCTTACAGGTTTTTATTTATTGTTTAATTTGCAGGTAACAGAGCTTTAACTCATTAACACATTCCTGTCCGCTTTATATTACACTCTTTTCCAAAAGCTGTGAATTTTTACGTTATTTGAACAGCCTTCACTATTAATTCACCTTTTTAGGAAAACAACACTCTAGATATTTTTGTTGAAAATCATGGAAGAGTAAACTATATCGAAATTGGCGAAAGTCTATTAAACGAGCAAAGGAAAGGTAATTTAAAATATATTTGATTTGATATTTATCAATGGTGAAATGTTTAACACGTTTAAATGATACATTGCCCACACTGACACGGAAAGTATCAATCGAACCCCATTTTTTCATAGTCATAAAAGATAATGCAGCATTAAAACAGATAATGCCATTCATTTTCATTCACATTTTGATTAGTTGTTTTAAACTTGTGAAATAATTGTCATAGCAAATGTTTATCTCATCTGGTTGAATAGCAGGTATTTTTATACTTGATTTATATTTTAAAAATGGCACGTATGCACACACATTGACATGCTTGATTTTTAAAATGAATTCATCGTAAACGACCACAAAAACAAACATTTCAGACAATTAGGATGGGAAGCAATCACTACAGTTTTTACTTAAATTTTACCACTTCGGTTTTTACTTTTACCGTTAAAAAAAGTCAGTCATTGTTTTTTTAACGAAATTCTTGACTTAGATTTTTTGCGATTTGAAACCGACTACCTAATACAGTGAACATTTGTTTAGCTTGAGAATTACTTTGGTATCTTTCTTCTCTCTTTTAGCTGCTTTAATGTTATGCAATATTTTATTACATAAAACACATCCAATCCAAAGTTTGCTTTTATCTGATTGACTCATGTTCGATCTTTTTACGGCGAAGCATTGATACATCCGAGAAGATCTGTATAGTTTTTTTTTTTAAAACCAAAATTTTGTTATTTTATTGGGTAAATTTATGCAACAGTTGTTTAAATCTCGTACATCCATAATCAAGTTAACAAACAAGAAACGAGGGTATTGTATGAACTCCAAACGGTTGTCCATAGGATAAGCGTCTCGTACAATGCATGCATCACCATACGAATTCACAATCAGCCAAAATTTTACAATCGGAAATAGGACAAATCGGTAAAGTAAAATATTTTACGACTGTTCTAGTATCTAAAGAAAGTAAGACTATCAGTGAACACACAGGATACGAGTTCCAGGTTTGGATTTATTCATAATATTTTCTTATGGCTAAAAAACAAATGACTTTAGTAGATATTTGTACAATTGGATTTCTCACCATTAAATGTTAATTGTGTTTTACAAACTCATAAATTTGTAGTCGACTGTCGATTCTATACTGTATTTTTGTTCTTTTATTTGAAAAATATTAATAATGTCCTGGAATTTTTATTGAGGTCCTGGTTATTTAAAGACAACCTCCCCCCCCCTTTCGTACATTCATATAACTTCCAGTTTGGTGTAAAACATGAAACGTTTACTTTGAAATTTAATGGAGATACATTTTCTTTAAGGTATAACCGGAAATGTGTATCTTGACGATAAATGTATTAGTAACTGGACCATTTTTCCACTAGAATTTGACAGTGATTTTGTTCAAAGGTATGACATCTATTTAGCATGATATCTAGTTAGCATATTCTACCTTAAATGCAGATATAATCACTTAGAATTATTGACATTATTTTCTTCAAATCGAAATAATGATAGAACAAAAATGTTTTGTATATTATATATGAAAAGGGCCATAATAAAATTTGTCAAAATTATTCGATAATTAGGACCTTAATACATGAGTAAGATTTGCTTTTAAGATGTCCGTCACCGTATATTTGTTTTCATCATTCTGTTATATTGTACCGGTACTCGTATCATTATTTTTTTTCACTTATAACGAAAGATAAATGACATTTAGATTGATTCTTTAATTAACCAATATATTTCATATTTATACAGCGTATTGAATGGTAGCAACTGGACAAGCTCTCATGGAAAAAATATCCCAGTCTTATGTAGAACAATTTTGACTATCAGGGATACAACCAAAGACACATTTCTTCTCCTAAGCGTAAGTACTGACCAAGTAATTGCGTTTAAAAAAAAAAACATTACCGGTACCAATTGTTCTGCACCAGATGAGCATTTTGACAATGAATGTCTCTGCAGTGATGCCCAAGGCCAACATATTTTAAAATCCAAAACTTATTAGAAAAAAATGAAGAGCTTATAAACCAAAATGGACAAAAAGTATAGCCAAACCGACCAAGGAATTTTTACTTGCATTTACTAGAATGTGGCTACAATATTCGGCTTTTTTCTGTATTCTGCATTTATTTCTTCGTCATATACGAAACATATGCATATACCTCTAAGGTTTTATAAGATAAATCTGATTTAAGAGAAATGTATCCTGTCTCTTTTTACATATAATTGAAATTTTTGGTTTTAATGATATTTGATGATATTTTGATAATGTTTGTATTGGTCATATATTGTGTTCCTATTGAATCATTTTAATCAGGGAATTATTTTGCTTTCACTGTAGATTTATGCTATCAAAACTGCCCCTCGTGGCAGTGATGTTTATAAGTTGTATTGCATTGAAACCATTGAACAAAGCCTTAATGAAAATGCATCGATATCTTATGTTAAAGAACGCTGATCGTATTTTCAAAAATTATATATATTGCATTGGCGTTTAAGAGAGGGACGAAAGATACCAGAGGGACAGTCAAACTCATAGATCGAAAACAAACTGACAACGCCATGGCCAAAAATAAAAAGACAAACAGACAAATAATAGTCCAGATGACACAACATAGATAACTAAAGACTAAGCAACACGAACCCCACCAACAACTGGTTTAATTGATAGGTCGGATGGGACCAGTGTAGTTCAAAGATGAACCTCTTCTGGTGCAATAATATAGGTACCAATGATGTAGTTTTATTCATGAATAGCCCAAATTTAAAGGAACGTTGACAAAGAATAGCACATTTCCACTTCTATGTTTGTGTTTATTAACCTAGAAGTATGAGATCTAAAGTCATAAAAGCCAACTACTTGCATGTTTCAAACAAGTCCTATTGAGATTTTAAAAAGAATGTCAAGATATTTTTACCATGGGAGTTCAGTACAGTCAAGACTTTGTTCATATATAAGGATCAGTTGTCATCGATAAACTACTGAACTAATACTTAATTAAGAGGAAGTAAGCAGAATACTGAATGATTAAAAAGCTGACCAGAGCTAAACTTTTCTTATTCACATGAACAACCTTTTGAACAAAATGATTTGTTTTAGACTCAATTATATTTTTCTTATTTAGGAATGGGGCAAAGGAATTGTATTCATCAATGGGTTCAATCTTGGTAGATATTGGAGTGAAGGTCCTCAAAGAACATTGTATGTACCTGCTCCTATTCTGAAAACTGGTGATAATGAGGTAAGTTAATTCATTTCGAGGCTTCTACGTCATTTGGTCTCTGGTGAAGAGTTGTCTTATTGGCAATCAAATCACATCTTCTAATTTATATATTGACGTAACACATACATGTTTGCACGATTGTAGACATACACTTTTAAATTATAACATATTTAATATTATTTACATTATTATATTTCATCACGAGTACACCAACACTTTACGACTTGCCAATACATTAACAGTATTAAGTGTAGCAACTTTAAAACAATTATTCAAATGTTTACTTTGTCTTGCAGATTTTGATTTTTGAGCATCAACACGTTGGAAAGAAGGTGGTGTTTGTAAAAGAACCAATACTCATATGAAACACTTGCTTTTTCAATTAGCAGCTTGTTTGTCCTTTCACTGTGATCTAACAATAATATGTATCTTTTATAACTACGCTTTCTGATTATAAAATCAAAATAAAGAATAAAAAATCTGAGATAGTCATTTCTAAAATAACAGAAAGTAGCTCTGTAATACTCTTGTCAAAACTAGAATAACATTTTACAAGCTCATTTACTCTTTCAGTTAATTATATCTCACGGTACTGACCTTATGTATACAGTTTAAGTTACTGTAGTATCCAGTTTATTTACACTATATCACTAATATTTGTTTTTTTTTGGTTACCATAGGAAAAAACAACAAACACATTTCACGTATAAATTTTCATTAGTAAATCCATATACTATATATATATAATTTAATTTTGGATGTAACGTGTCTTCTGATTGGCTGACGTTGTTTTGTTTATCAGCTCATAGACATAATTTTGTCATGTAACCGTGACGTCATCAACGTTTTTTCATGGTTTACTCAGGTTTAAAATGGAATTTAGAATTAAATTATAAAAAATGACGGGTTATTTTAAAGTGTGCACCACATTTTTTATGTTATTTCGAATAGACAGAAAAAATATTACAGTCATTCCTTAAATATACTGAATGAAAATGCTGCTATACAAAATATGAAAGTAAATATTTGATCTTATTTTATTTAAAATTAATGGGTTTTTGAAATATTCCTGGCATTCATTCATGCACTTGATATTGTGGTCTCTGCTATTAGCATTCCATTTAAATGAGATGTTGGAACTGCAAGAAGATCTTCTGGTTTACCAGTTTCTATAATCTACCAACAAAATAATGGGAAATCAATATTTATTAATCATAACTTGATAGTTCTCTGTATCTGCATAACTGTTCTAAGCAGAAAGAAAAATAATAAACACGTAATTTATGGTGAATAAATTATGCAGTGAGAGGTAAAGGAGAGGTAAATGGCTTTTTTCACTTTTATGTCAAGATCGGATTTAGTTTATTAATCAGCTTGCTAAAACCATTAAGTCTGCTTCACATCTTGACAAACATCGAGACATTTGCAAATGAGGTTCGGTAGAGAACTAACCTTTAAACAAAAGAAATGATCATAGCTGTCCAATTATAAATTTCTATGTAGCAACAGTTCAGCAGGGCCTACATATGGTGTATATATATATAGAAATATATTCCAGAGCTTTGAATATCTATTCTGATTACTTTGAATGAGAGTTACTGGATACAAGGAAGATTTTTAGCCAGGGTTCCTTAGTAAAGTTAAAATCATGATGAAAGATTTAGGGGCGCCATCATAATTTTGTTAACTATTATTGAATATCTGTGTTAAAATACCACAGATAGATCTCAATTTTCGTAGTCACAATCCCGTCTTGATTTCTTCGATTGTGAAATCCCCGAATGCGACATAATACTGAATGTTAACTTGGAAATTAGAAACACACCGGATGCCACTAGTGGAACAAGACCTGCTTACGCTCCCGGAACACCCGAGATCATCACCGGATTATGGTGGGGTTGGTGTTATTTAGTCTTTAGTCTTCTGTATAATAATTTGTAATGTTGCTTCTTCTTTTTGCTGTTTTTCTTATTTGCCATGGTTTTGTCTGTTTTATTCGGCATGTGGATTGTATTGTCTCCTTAGTATCCTCTGCCTCTATTTCCTTAATGTTTGATCTTGAACATATGACTATTAACGTTAAGCAATAAAAAACAAATTGAAAATATTACACGGTTTACTGTGTTAATGTTGCATTGTGTCTAGCACAACTATAATTACAATGTAGTGCTTATTCAAGTTCTCTAAAGAAGCAAAATTCACCAATTTGTGAAAAAAAAACGATTTGACTTGATTATAAATGGTAGTTATGAGTTGTATTTTCCCTGTTTGTGATAATAAGCGTTTTTGTTTTCCATAAAAAAGATAGTATGCTATATTTCATCATCATGAACATACACATGCTGTACCAACTTATTTGGCAAAGATGTTAAATGTATTATTCAAACCTTAATATGTAATCAATCAGTTCATAATTCACAGATTCCGAACAAATAAGCGGATAGTGGGCTGTATCATTATACAAAATCATATGACAATTTTTATGTCGTAAAATAATTCGTATCTTTAAGTTAAAGAATTTGAAAATTATTTAACACTTTAAAAAATGAATTGTATACTAGTATGTCCGAAACGCTTTTCTGGATTTAACTTCAGGAACGCTCAATGCCAAACACATCAAAGCCAACTTAGGGAGTTGGAACCTTAATTTCATAATATTTTCTAAATTTATCAACGGAGAATACCTGAAATTTAGTTCAGATTAATTAACCCATCGTTATTTCTCATAATTTCTAGATTGCTTCTAGAATCGACTATGATGAATTTGGCAAATCATAAGTGAGTACAATTAGCTCATCATAGATACCAGGATTAAAATTTTGTACGCCAGACGCGCGTTTCTTCTACAAAGACCGTTTGTAGTGACGCTCGAAGCAAACAATTTAAAAGGCAAAATAAACAAGAAATGATTGTAACAAGATGCTGTTACGAAGTCTCCCAAACAAAGCTTCCATAATTTGTCATTCCCATGGTCGCCTGACATTGGGCAAAGTCCAGTACAAATTGGTTTGGTCCAGCAAAGTGATATGCATTAGTGACGCCTAGGGACTGACCTCGTATGTCATTCAAATCTTTGTGACATGACGAACAGGAATATATATGGTTAAGGGGTGGGGATCTCGATTATTTACAAGATATTAGAACATTGGGGGTGGAGGTACCCCTGGGGACCTCTCCTATATATCATTCAAATCTTCATGACAGGACAAACAGGAAAATATATGGTTTAGGATCTCGACCATTAACAAGATATTTGAACATATTCAAATGACAGGGGGTGGGGATGACCCTTTGGGTCTTACCATGCATATCATTTAAATCATCTTGGCATGACAAACCAGCATATATATCGTTGGGGGACGGGGATCCTGACCACTTACAAGATATTAGAACTTTCTCGTATGGCAGGGGGTCGGAATGACCCCTGGGGACTAACCGTGTTTATCATTCAAATCATCTTGGCATGACAAACCAGAATATATATGGTTTAGGGGTGGGGATCTTGACCACTTCCATGATATTAGAACTTTCTCAAATGACAGGGGGTCCGGATGACCCCTGGGGACTAACCCACTTTATCTATCAAATCATCTTGGCATGACAAACCAGAATATATATGGCTTAGGGGTGGGGATCTTGACCACTTACAAGATATTAGAACTTTCTCAAATGGCAGGGGGTCCGGATGACCCCTGGGGACTAACCCAGTTTATCAATCAAATCATCTTGGCATGACAAACCAGAATATATATGGTTTAGGGGTTGGGATCTTGACCACTTACAAGATATTAGAACTTTCTCAAATGGCAGGGGGTCCGGATGACCCCTGGGGACTAACCCAGTTTATCAATCAAATCATCTTGGTATGACAAACCAGAATATATATGGTTTAGGGGTTGGGATCTTGACCACTTACAAGATATTAGAACTTTCTCAAATGGCAGGGGGTCCGGATGACCCCTGGGGACTAACCCTGTTTATAATTCAAATCGTCTTGGCATAACAAACCAGAATATATATGGTTCAGGGGTTGGGATCTTGACCACTTACATGATATTAGAACTTTCTCAAATGGCAGGGGGTGGGGGTGACCCCTGGGGACTAACCCTGTATTTCATTTGATGTGCTTTATCATGACAAACCAGAATATATATGGTTTTGGGGTGGGGATCTTGACCACTTACAAGATATTAAAGCTTTCTCAAATGGCAGGAGTGGGGGTTACCCCTGGGGACTAACCTTTTATTTCGTTTAATGTGCTTTATCATTTAGAACATTTTCAATTATAAAGAATCTATCTCTATCACTAACTGTTTTCAAGTTATATTCATTTGAAAATTCCCCCTCTAAGTACCCCTTTATAAACCCCATTGCACAAACAAAACCCTGATTGCACCACTAGACATGTTAGTTTAACATATTGTGAAACTCTAAGTTAATCTGACCAGCGGTTTTGGCGAATGGATGCGGACAAGTTCAAATTTAAAAAAAGAAGAAGAAGAAGAACTGAGCAGAAGAAAAAGAAGAAGAAGAAGAATAAGAACTGAGCAAAAACAATAAGTCTTCCCAAACTTCGTTTGGGAGACTTAAATATGAAGTTGAAGAGGATTGAGGACGCAAAATTTCAAAATGGTTTGCCAAATACACATCATCAGTATATGTATCCTGCCATCACAGATATACTCACTTAGTAATTACTGATGTATAACTTACATTGCCATTGTCCATTATGATCAAAATATCAGAATCCATAACAGTCTTCAATCTATGGGCAATTGTTAGTACTGTACAGCCAGAAAATGCTTCTTTAATTGTCTTTTGAATCAGTGAGTCTGTATCAGTATCAACAGAAGCAGTAGCTTCGTCTAAAACTAGTATCTAAAACGACAATAACAGGATATATAACAGCAAGGATATTCCAGTTATTTTGTGATTTTTAAAACTGTCGAGTATACTTTGTTCATAAACCACCTTGATTCTTGAATCATCTATGTACACTTTCATGGCAATGCCAGAAAAATATTATTTTTTTTAACAAATGTTTTTTAACAAATAGTTTTTGTATTGAAGACTTTTTATACACACGTAAACCTTTTAAACTGTTCATCCACAAATAAGCTCCTAATTACACAAGAATAGTGATAGACATTCAACTGGTATTATTTCTATGCATTAAACAAAAAGTAAAACAACAAAAATACCGAACTCCAAGGAAAATTCAAAACGGAAAGTCCCTTATCTAATGGCAAAATCAAAAGATCAAACATATCAAACGAATGGAAAACAACTGTCATATTCCTGACTTGGTACAAGGATTTTGTCATGTAGAAAATGGTGGATTAAACCTGGTTTTATAGCTAGCTAAACCTCTCTTGTATGACAGTCGCTTATAATTCCATTATATTGACAACAATGTTTGAACAAAACAAAAAGACATAGTAGTTAAAAATGTCAAAAATAGGGGTGCAGCAGTCAACATTGGGTTATTATCTCAATTATAATAAAAACAAACAAATATCACTCTTTAATGTTTGTTTTTGTTTGTTTTTTGAAGTAGTGGATCTAACGATTTTGTTCAGAGCATTGTTATTCATTAATTATTATGACTAATATTTCATAATCTTGAAGTCGCTTTATTGTCTTTGTTTTCTCACCTTTCTTTTTCTTAAGATCGCTCTAGCAAGGCATATAAGCTGTCTTTCACCAACGGAAAAATTATCCCCATTTTCTTCTATAAGTAATTGTAATCCATTATCTAATTGCAGTATCTGATGAAAAAACGTAATTGTACCTGATGCATATTAAATAAATGTACATGTTCTTAGTTCAAAACTGATATCATGTTAGTCATAATCGTAATAGCTCGTAATAAAGTGTTTTCTAAATATTATTAAAGTCAGATTGAAAATCAAATAAAAAAACTAGTAAAAGTTAATCTCTTAAAACTCATTAAAGATACGTGGCTTATAATTTTGTATGTAAAACACTTGGTTCGTCTACAAAACACTCATCAGTTGCTTTCGAATTCAAACATTTGGAAGATCATGAAATTATTTTTAATATCTTTTCCTTCACGATATAATTTTATTTTAATATCCGTCAAGTAAATACATATATAAACGTTCATTTAAAAAGAAAAATCATACACAGTACTATACACATTTACTTTTTTCTTTATATTAGCTTTTTCTAGACTATTCCACAATTCATCGTCTGTGTAATTGTTAAAAGGATCTAGATTATACCTGAAATAAACCAATACTTCATTAGAACCATGTTTTTGCAATGACACTAGACTTGCATCAAATTGGCGATTATCTTACCTCCTATACATTTCTAGGAGTATCATTGGTTAAAAGCGACCGCGTGGAGACCCTGTATATTTAAAATGGGGTTAGTAAGTGTTTTGATACACGGTTAGTAGTGGTTTAACGTACATTTATAAAACAACACGGCGTTGAGGAAAAATCTGAATTGATTCGCCCGGATAACAGATGAAGAAATTGATGACAAACGATTGAAATAAATGCAGAAAACACATTAAAAGCTAACAAGGTGTTATTGATGGCATTTTTGTTGTTGGTATAAACCAATGAAAGTAGGTTCTTTATGTTGAAGACTTGATCATTTTGATAGGCCATTAATCTAAATGCCATAGGTTAAGAAAGTCGGTAAGATAAATTCGAAGCTCTCACCCCATATGGAATTTACTGACCCCATATATATCATATGGGTCACTATCACACTGTGTTCCTAATAATATCTGAATTGACAATGATATTTGAAAGGAACAATTCGTAATTATACTGGTATCCTGTTTGTGTAGCATCGTCAATTCATGGTCATCCGACAGTGTAAAATAACATGACTTATTTGTCCGATAAATGTATGAAATGAACTTGGCTACCTTCCAGCAACAACCATCATTCACGAGAGGTTAATTTTCAATTAAGACTTTCAGTCCAGTTTTGCTATGTCAAATTAAAGTGAATTTTGTTAGAATAATAATATGTTGTCAAAAAAAGGTTATTTTTCAGCCTGAAATGATATGACTTTTTAGATATGGTGAAACATTCTTTCTCCAAAGCTTCAACTTACACAATTATTCTAGAAATTGATTGAAGGATATATCTTTACTGTCCTGATTCTTTCTTATAATTTTACAAAGTATCATATTTGTTTTTATCGCGTTAAAACAAATCATAAACCCTTTTTTCTCGAAGAGAATATCAATACTTTTAAACCCCATTATATACCTCAAAATATCAGCCTTCCAGTTTTTATATATTACGATATTATGACACACATATGTCAACAATCAAACATTGTAGAAGAGTAAAATATCCCGTTTTAAATGCATAAAAAACCGAAACAAATGTTCACCCCTGTGATTTCTGTTGCACATTTCGCATGTTTATATTTATTTCTGTGAAATATTTGTGATTTTTAAACTTTCACTACTTTCTGTCATTCCTCAGTTAAGATAATTGATGTCCCTCTTGTTTGTCGGAGAAAAAGAATATATAGTGGATATACAAGAAACTGCATTCCTCGGAACTTAATCTTTACCTACCTCAATGATCCAGAAAACATAACCGGGTCTTGTGGAATAGTTGATAATCTAGATCGTAAAACATTTAGCGGAATTAATGATATATCTATTCCATCTATGTTGATATATCCGTTCCTCAATTCCACTAGTCGATAAAGCGCAGTAATAAGAGACGATTTACCTACAAGTATTGTACAATATAATGACTTTAATCAAGAAAAATCAAGAAAAAGATTTCCGTATGGATAAATTAAGTACACAGATAGTATAAAGAATCCGACCAAAAAAGGATCGTTGACGTGACATGTCTTCTGTTTGGCTACAATTTATGTCTTTATAAACTCACAAATGTAGTGTGATCGATACTGGATCTATGAATACACATGCTAAATCAATCTTTAAAGTCCAAAATGTTCCACTAGGATTTGAACCTGCCACAATCGACTGTTTTATGAAAATTTGTCTATAATTTAAAAGTTTACAAATATCTAGAAGCTACATACTATAATTCGAGTAAAAACACGTATATTAGATGCATAAAATCCTAAATTAATAAACAATTCAAATATAACAATTTTGTTTTTTACCTTCTCTAAGAGTTTCATTTCTTTTGTTTTATTTCAACTGGGTTTCCGCCTGAAAACACCTGTCCTACCTCCATGACAAATATGCTGTTGTCCCCGCAGATAATGCTCCAAACAACATCGGGTTTTGTGTGTAAATCAATTAGGTATTGATAATTCACTTGGAAACTCAACATATAACCCCACAACACTTACCAAGGAGGAAATTCTGGATAATCATATGTTTGTTCTATGTTCCTTTGAAATTTCAGCCAAAGATGAAGAACTGGATCTTCCTTCACTGTATTGGATACCTAAACTACATAAGTGTCCTTACAAATAACGTTATATTGCTGGGTCTTCCAAGCGCTCCACGAAACCTCTTTCTAAATTATTAACATCAATCTTATCAGCAATCAAAGCTGGGCTTCAAAGTTATTGTGAAACTACCTTTTCTAGAGGTGGCGTGAACCAGATATGGATACTAAAAAATTGCAAAGATCTTTTAGAGTACATACAATCTGAGATTCTTTCATCTTGCGATAGTTTAAAAAAGTAAAATAACAAAACTACCAAACTCCAAGGGAAATTCAAAACGAAATGGCAAAATCAAAAGCTCAAACACATCAAAAGAATGGACATTTGACTATTTAACACTATACACAATAATCCCCATTTCAAACTAAAAGACAAATTGAAAGTATTGGTCCTGCTTTATTTCATAAAAAATGGCAATGGTAGATACAAGTCTCATGTGTTAGGGAGGGATAAATCGTACGTTGTAAAAATTCATACTGATTAAAAAAAAAAAAAAAAAAAAAAAAATTGGAATCGACATCATCAAGAGGCTTGATTCCTTGATTGACAACATATTTGTTACGTTTAGAGGACGTGTTTTTTAAAAAACAATCGGCATTCCCATGGGAACCAACTGTGCTGTTCTTCTTGCGACTTGTTCCTTTATTCACATAAGGATGACTTCATATACGAACTTCTTAAGAAGAAAGTAAAGAAGTTAGCAGTATCCTTTGACTTCACTTTCGGCTATATAGATGATGTTCTTTCACTATATAATTCAAAATTTGGTGACTATGTATGTTGAACGCATCTATCCCATCGAACTTGAAATTTAGGATACAAGAGATACAGTTAAGTATGCCTCATATCTTGACTAACATCTAGAAATTGACAATGAGGGTCGATTGAAAATAAAATTTTACGACAAAAGAGATTATTTCAGCTTCCCAATTATGAACTTTCCATTTCTATGTAGCAACATTCCAGCAGCGCCTGCATACGGAGTATATATGTCCAGGGCTTGTATTTTCTATCATGATTTCCTTGATAGAGGGTTGCTGTTAACAAGGAAGCTATTAAACCAAGAGTCGGTTGACCGTTATGGAATATCCGTTTCACAGATTACAACAAATATGTTCCATTTGCCGTAACTACAATCCCGTCCCCTTTTCCCCGAATGTGACTTAACGAATTAGATTTATCTCTGGGTTTGTACTAACATGAGCAACACGACGGGTGCCACATGTGGAGCAGGATCTACTTACCCTTCCGGAGTACCTGAGATCACCCCCAGTTTTTGGTGGAATTCGTGTTTGCTGAGTCTTTAGTTTTCTATGTTGTGTTTTGTGTACTGTTGTTTGTCTGTTTGAATTTTTTCTCTTTTTTAGCCATGGCGTTTTCAGTTTATTTTTGACTTATGAGTTTGAATGTCCCTACGTTATCTTTCGCCTCTCTTTTTCTAGCAAAGAATTCCCATAAAACCATTCTAGGGGAGAGTTTCTGTGACATGTAACTTTCAGAATAAGAAAATTAATAAAAAAAAATTTTCTTTTTTACATGTACGTGCAGTGTTTTGTGTCATGAACTGATTAACGATATCATGTTTTGTCATTTACATGTACGTGCAGTGTTTTGTGTCATGAACTGATTAACGATATCATGTTTTGTCATTTACATGTACGTGCAGTGTTTTGTGTCATGAACTGATTAACAATATCATGTTTTGTCATTTACATGTACGTGCAGTTTTTTTGTGTCATGAACTGATTAACGATATCATGTTCTGTCATTTACATGTACGTGCAGTGTTTTGTGTCATGAACTGATTAACGATATCATGTTTTGTCATTTATAAGTTAACTAACATCAAACGGCTTCGCGGCATTTAGGGATCATCATTACTAACATCAAACGGTTTGGCGGCATTTAGGGATCATCATTATTAACATCAAACGGCTTCGCGACATTTAGGGATCATCATTACTAACATCAAACGGCTTCGCGGCATTTAGGGATCATCATTATCTTATAAAAGGATAAAAACTGAGTGATGTTTGTTTGCTTAGCGTCAAATTACAAATAGTACCATTTAAGAACAGAATGTCTGGTGTTTATGAATGTTTGAAGTTGTTGCTTGGTAAATAAAGTAATTATAATTGCTCCAAGCTAAACTTCAACGAAAAAAGTCTTCCTCATAAAAAGATAGGAATTATGGCTTTGGATTTCAAAAATGATAGATCTTTTGGACTTATATAGATACAACGATAGAGGATTGAAAAGTAATAAGATCATATGAAAATTCAGGAGGACAGCAAGTTGTTTCTTATTATTTATTGATAGATACCTGCCCCAGTTCGTCCAACAACGCCTACTTTTTGTTGTGGTTGAATATCAAATGAAACATTCTTTAAAACAGGTGCCAATGATTCCCGATACGTCATTTCTACGTCAGAAAATTTTATGTCTCCTTTATTGGGCCATTGATCATTTGGTTTGCACCGAAATGAGCTGGATTCAGCGTCTATATTCTATAGCAAATATATTGAATAAAATTTGAAATGTAAAAAAAAAATATGGCTATGTCTTCATTTCAAGAATTATCTAAAATAAATGCAATATGAATAACAATATATCAGTTCCAGATGAAAAAAAAAACGTATGTTTTCTTTCACATTTGTTTGTTCAATGAACAGTGAATTCTTGGTCGAAACCTTAATTTGGCATATATATTTTGAAGGATTCACAACATAAGGAACAAACTGAACTCTTGACTAAGTTTTAAGTTTCCTTAAATAAAAACTTTAAACTGCTACGGGACGGTCGTACGGACGGGGCGGAAAAGTTAACTATCGAAGGCGAGGAATAAATAATTCTGGAACATCTTCAATAACTACAATTGATGCCTTACATTTTGAAAGCTAAACAATTAAAACGATTGAGAGCATGAAAACCAGATGGACTAAATATATCAGAACTTGCACATCAGTTTTAACAAAAGTAGACAAGAATTCTTATAGAAACTACATATGGCATACAGCAAAAGTATAAAGTACATGTTTTGCTGTAAGTCTGGGTTTACTTTAATAGTAAAAAAAAACATGCACAACATGTACGAGTAAAAAGTGAAAAGGTCTAAAAGAGAGGCGAAGGATACCAAAGGGATATTCAAACTCATAAGTCGAAAATAAACTGACAACGACATGGTTAAAAAAATACAAACAGACAAACAACAGTAGACAAAACAACATAGAAAACCAAAGACTGAACACACGAACCCCACCAAAAACTGGGGGTGATCTCAGGTGCTCCGGAAGGGTAAGCAGATCCTGCTCCTCATGTGGCACCCGTCGTAAATAATTATCTGGCAACAAAAGAGACCAAGATTAAGGGAAAACAAAACCTGGCATTAGTTATTTGATTGTTATAGTAAGTTTCATCCATGCCTGTTTGACCACTGATGTTTAACAGACTTAATATAATCTGTGTTATGTTATATAAATATTAAAACTAACTAAACGTTGTATTCCATTAATTCCGTTGGTTGATATAGTCGAGTGTTTAGTTTTGTCAGGTTTAATGGACTCCTCCCTTTTAGCATTAACCTTCGAGTTTGGTATATTTGTTTATACATTTTGTACCTTTGACCTTATAAGAGTCGTGTCACTAAGCCTACGTCTATCTACTTAGAATCGTTTTTATATCTAATACATTCATGGTTTTCAAATATTTGATTTTGAGCGTTCCTGATTAAAGTAAATCCAGAAAAGCGCTTCGAACACATGAAATTTATAATGTGTTGTTTTCATTTTTTTTTATCTTAGTCGAAGAAATATTATTTGAGTTAAATCTACAAACCTTCATATAATGATTTAATCGTTCCACTGAGGTAAAATTTGCCTCCGCTTCATTCATCAGTCTAACCGTTTCACGCATCAGACCAACAACCTGTAAAATAAATGTTTTTATACTATTGCACAAAGAGAAGGACTTAGACTTTATGAATGAATGAATGAATGAATGAATCTTTATTTCCTCCATGTATATGAAGATTTTGTATACAAAAAGAAAACAAGTAATTATTTACATAATCAACAAAATATCATACATTTTGAGATAAATACACAATGAAAAGAAAAAAAAAAACATATTTTGATAAACACACAATACACAGATTCTGGTTTACACAACAAAAACACAATGTTTTTCAATTAATGTCTATTCAAAATTAAACCTGTTTTCAAATAATACATGTCTGAATATTTTAAACATGGGGTAAACATGTTTTGCTATGTAATACATCATTCTAGACCAAACTGTAGGATCGAGATCGTATACTGTATCATTAACAGCTCCTAATAGCACTCCAAGAAGGTCATCGTCGTCTAAATTGAAAATATCCACGGACTTTTGAATGGGAAGTTCATCCACAATTTTATAGAACATAACATTTCTTTCTGTTAATAAAACATGACATTCCATTATTAGATGTTTAACGATATCAAAAGACTGTTTGTTACATAGAGTACATGTAGCTTTCTTAATGGCTGCCGATCCTAAAGCCACAAGTACTAACAGTTCGAGTTTTGCATCGGGATACAAAACTGTCAACCGAATTAATCTATGTTCGCACAGGCTATGATGAATTTTGGAATACCGTATAAGTTCATTTCTATTTTCTAAATTACTTTTCCATCTGTTCTCTTCATAAATTTCAATAGACTGACGGACGATTTTCGACCACAGCATTTTTCCTGGTATGTAATCCTCAATTACATAGGTTTCAAGGAAAGAAAATAGATCGTATTTAACAAGAGTTGTAATAAGATTATAGGTTATAGAGTGTTCGGCATTTTCATCCAGAATAAATTGACTGATACACATGTTGAACAATTTTTTGTGAGTTGTGCCAGATTTACTCCTACATAATCGCCCAAAGAATAAAAGCTTGAATTTGTCGATTACAGCTTCTAATGACCATAAACCAAGGTTACTTGTAGTTGAGTCCGTTGGTGAATATTTGTCCATGCACTGTATATATCGCGCAGCATATCGTTGTGTTCTTTCTAAAAGTTCTGTTTCAGAATTTGAGAGTTGTCCCCATAATTCGCAAGAGTACAATGCTGTGGGAAGAACAAAACGTTTCCATATCAACGTGTTTGTAATCGGCGTAAGACCTTTCGGGTTTACTCCAGCACTATACAACAAGGCGGAAGTTTGAATGTAACTCAAATGCTCGGTTTTATTTGCTGATAAAAAAGTTAATAATTTTGAAATAAGTTTTGTAGATCATTTGGTAGAGCAACTGCAATATGATGTCTTTTGTAAAACCCTAATATAATATGAGTCTCCAGCAGAGTGAATGAAGATCAAGTTTTTGTTTTTTTCTCTTAAAAGTGAACTATGATTGTTCAATGCTTCCTCTGTGTTAATGATTGTGCGAGTGTATGTTCTGTTTGCACACAAAATTGTCAATACATAATTCCCTTATCCTGTAGTTAAATAATGTGATTCACAAATAAAAACGGTATTATTTCGGGATTTTTTGCAAAGACAAGGGCATATTTTTCATAGAGGTAGAGCAACTGCTTAACAACATTCTGGTCTTTAAAGATGGAGGTTGTAAGAGTTTTTATAGAATAAAGACTTTTAATATATAGATATCAAATGGTAAATCAAAACTAATAAAAACTAAGGACTGAGCCACACGATCCCGAGCAATAAATGAACAATTTTACTTTAAAACCAATAGGTTCTTCCGTTTGAAGTGTTTCAGAAATTCGCCAGATTAACTATTACCTTAAACTTGGATATACCGACGGATCGACCAAAGTGGTTATTCAATTTTTTTTTTGTCGCGGTGACATGATATTCAAAGGACAGTAGAAGTTACAGCATTCACAACAGACAGGACAACGAGTAACCAAAAACAACTTAAAACCAAAGCTAAAGCATAACAATCAAATATTTTTTTAAATTGTCCGTTAATAAATTTGGAAGTTATTATTGGAGTTTCAACTCCCTCAGGCAAAGTTGACCTTAGATGGCTTTGGCTATTTCATGTCCTTTATTTGTTATTAAACTCTTCAACTGTTTCTGTTTTTATACACCCTTAGCTTCAAATATTCGGCTTTGAGTGTTCCAGATAAAAGTAAATCCAACAAAGCTCTTCGGACGTTAAGTTATAATTTTTTACGACAACAGAGATGATTTCACCTTTTAATTTGTAAATTTTTCATTTCTAAGTAGCAACATTTCAGCAGTGCCTGCATAAGGTGTATCTATATACAATATTCTAGGGCATGCATTTCCAATCATTTGATTTCACGTTTTTGAGCAGAAAATGCACAGTAATATCTAAGTAAATACTGGAAGGGTGGACAATATTTTATAAAAAAAAAAAATAATTTATAATTGATACTCTATATATTTATCTATAAAAATACCTTTAGACACAAAGTCAGGGCAAGAGCTGCTAAAGATGGATTGACTGACCCTTTCGTACTGACGAGCACAACTGCAGTTACTATTACTATAATAGATGTTGTCAAATCTAACCACAAACCTATACATCTCATGCATGTATCATAAAGTAAAGTAGTCGTAGTGGTCACATCAATCAGCTTTTCTGCCCTAAAAATAGAACTATACATCTCATACATTTATCACAAAGTAAAGAAGTTGTAGTAGTTACATCAATCAGCTTCTCTGACCTAAAAGTAAACCTATATATCTCATACGTGTATCACAAAGTAAAGAAGTTGTAGTAGTCACATCAATCAGCTTCTCTGACCTAAAAGTAAACCTATATATCTCATTGGTGTATCACAAAGTAAAGAAGTCGTAGTAGTCACATCAACCAGCTTCTCTGACCTAAAAGTAAACCTATATATCTCATTGGTGTATCATGAAGTAAAGTAGTCGTAGTAGTCACATCAATCAGCTTCTCTGATCTAAAAGTAAACCTATATATCTCATACGTGTATCATAAAGTAAAGTAGTTGTAGTAGTCACATCAATCAGCTTCTCTGACCTAAAAGTAAACCTATATATCTCATACGTGTATCATAAAGTAAAGAAGTTGTAGTAGTCACATCAATCAGCTTCTCTGACCTAAAAGTAAACCTATATATCTCATACGTGTATCATAAAGTAAAGTAGTCGTAGTAGTCACATCAATCAGCTTCTCTGACCTAAAAGTAAACCTATATATCTCATACGTGTATCATAAAGTAAAGAAGTAATAGTAGTCACCTCAATCAACTTCTCTGACCTAAAAGTAAACCTATATATCTCATACGTGTATCATAAAGTAAAGAAGTCATAGTAGTCACATCAATCAACTTCTCTGACCTAAAAGTAAACCTATATATCTCATACGTGTATCATAAAGTAAAGAAGTCATAGTAGTCACATCAATCAACTTCTCTGACCTAAAAGTAAACCTATATATCTCATACGTGTATCATAAAGTAAAGAAGTCGTAGTAGTCACATCAATCAACTTCTTTGACCTAAAAGTAAACCTATATATCTCATACGTGTATCATAAAGTAAAGAAGTCGTAGTAGTCACATCAATCAACTTCTCTGACCTAAAAGTAAACCTATATATCTCATTGGTGTATCATAAAGTAAAGTAGTTGTAGTAGTCACATCAATCAGCTTCTCTGACCTAAAAGTAAACCTATATATCTCATACGTGTATCATAAAGTAAAGAAGTCGTAGTAGTCACCTCAATCAACTTCTCTGACCTAAAAGTAAACCTATATATCTCATACGTGTATCATAAAGTAAAGAAGTCGTAGTAGTCACCTCAATCAACTTATCTGACCTAAAAGTAAACCTATATATCTCATACGTGTATCATAAAGTAAAGAAGTCGTAGTAGTCACATCAATCAGCTTCTCTGACCTAAAAGTAAACCTATATATCTCATACGTGTATCACAAAGTAAAGAAGTCGTAGTAGTCACATCAATCAACTTCTTGAGGAAGCCTATACATCTCATACATGTATCACAAAGTAAAGTAGTCGTAGTAGACAACTCAATCAACTTCTTTGACCTAAAAGTAAACCTATATATCTCATACGTGTATCATAAAGTAAAGAAGTCGTAGTAGTCACATCAATCAGTTTCCTAAGGAAGCCTATACATCTCATACATGTATCACAAAGTAAAGAAGTCGTAGTAGTCAACTCAATCAACTTCTCTGACCTAAAAGTAAACCTATATATCTCATACGTGTATCATAAAGTAAAGAAGTCGTAGTAGTCACATCAATCAGCTTCTCTGACCTAAAAGTAAACCTATATATCTCATACGTGTATCACAAAGTAAAGAAGTCGTAGTAGTCACATCAATCAACTTCTCTGACCTAAAAGTAAACCTATATATCTCATTGGTGTATCATAAAGTAAAGAAGTCGTAGTAGTCACCTCAATCAACTTCTCTGACCTAAAAGTAAACCTATATATCTCATACGTGTATCATAAAGTAAAGAAGTCGTAGTAGTCACCTCAATCAACTTCTCTGACCTAAAAGTAAACCTATATATCTCATACGTGTATCATAAAGTAATGTAGTCGTAGTAGTCACATCAATCAACTTCTCTGACCTAAAAGTAAACCTATATATCTCATACGTGTATCATAAAGTAAAGAAGTCGTAGTAGTCACATCAATCAACTTCTTTGCCCTAAAAGTAAACCTATATATCTCATACGTGTATCATAAAGTAAAGAAGTTGTAGTAGTCACATCAATCAGCTTCTCTGACCTAAAAGTAAACCTATATATCTCATACGTGTATCATAAAGTAAAGTAGTCGTAGTAGTCACATCAATCAGCTTCTCTGACCTAAAAGTAAACCTATATATCTCATACGTGTATCATAAAGTAAAGAAGTCATAGTAGTCACCTCAATCAACTTCTCTGACCTACAAGTAAACCTATATATCTCATACGTGTATCATAAAGTAAAGAAGTCATAGTAGTCACATCAATCAACTTCTCTGACCTAAAAGTAAACCTATATATCTCATACGTGTATCATAAAGTAAAGAAGTCGTAGTAGTCACATCAATCAACTTCTTTGACCTAAAAGTAAACCTATATATCTCATACGTGTATCATAAAGTAAAGAAGTCGTAGTAGTCACATCAATCAACTTCTCTGACCTAAAAGTAAACCTATATATCTCATTGGTGTATCATAAAGTAAAGTAGTTGTAGTAGTCACATCAATCAGCTTCTCTGACCTAAAAGTAAACCTATATATCTCATACGTGTATCATAAAGTAAAGAAGTCGTAGTAGTCACCTCAATCAACTTCTCTGACCTAAAAGTAAACCTATATATCTCATACGTGTATCATAAAGTAAAGAAGTCGTAGTAGTCACCTCAATCAACTTCTCTGACCTAAAAGTAAACCTATATATCTCATACGTGTATCATAAAGTAAAGAAGTCGTAGTAGTCACATCAATCAGCTTCTCTGACCTAAAAGTAAACCTATATATCTCATACGTGTATCACAAAGTAAAGAAGTCGTAGTAGTCACATCAATCAACTTCTTAAGGAAGCCTATACATCTCATACATGTATCACAAAGTAAAGTAGTCGTAGTAGTCAACTCAATCAACTTCTTTGACCTAAAAGTAAACCTATATATCTCATACGTGTATCATAAAGTAAAGAAGTCGTAGTAGTCACATCAATCAGTTTCTTAAGGAAGCCTATACATCTCATACATGTATCACAAAGTAAAGTAGTCGTAGTAGTCAACTCAATCAACTTCTCTGACCTAAAAGTAAACCTATATATCTCATACGTGTATCATAAAGTAAAGAAGTCGTAGTAGTCACATCAATCAGCTTCTCTGACCTAAAAGTAAACCTATATATCTCATACGTGTATCACAAAGTAAAGAAGTCGTAGTAGTCACATCAATCAACTTCTCTGACCTAAAAGTAAACCTATATATCTCATTGGTGTATCATAAAGTAAAGAAGTCGTAGTAGTCACCTCAATCAACTTCTCTGACCTAAAAGTAAACCTATATATCTCATACGTGTATCATAAAGTAAAGAAGTCGTAGTAGTCACCTCAATCAACTTCTCTGACCTAAAAGTAAACCTATATATCTCATACGTGTATCATAAAGTAATGTAGTCGTAGTAGTCACATCAATCAACTTCTCTGACCTAAAAGTAAACCTATATATCTCATACGTGTATCATAAAGTAAAGAAGTCGTAGTAGTCACATCAATCAACTTCTTTGCCCTAAAAGTAAACCTATATATCTCATACGTGTATCATAAAGTAAAGTAGTCGTAGTAGTCACATCAATCAGCTTCTCTGACCTAAAAGTAAACCTATATATCTCATTGGTGTATCATAAAGTAAAGAAGTCGTAGTAGTCACATCAATCAACTTCTCTGACCTAAAAGTAAACATATACATCTCATACGTGTATCATAAAGTAAAGTAGTCGTAGTAGTCACATCAATCAACTTCTCTGACCTAAAAGTAAACCTATACATCTCATTGGTGTATCATAAAGTAAAGAAGTCGTAGTAGTCACATCATTCAACTTCTCTGACCTAAAAGTAAACCTATATATCTCATTGGTGTATCATAAAGTAAAGTAGTCGTAGTAGTCACATCAATCAGCTTCTTAAGGAAGCCTATACATCTCATACATGTATCACAAAGTAAAGTAGTCGTAGTAGTCACCTCAATCAACTTCTCTGACCTAAAAGTAAACCTATATATCTCATACGTGTATCATAAAGTAATGTAGTCGTAGTAGTCACATCAATCAACTTCTCTGACCTAAAAGTAAACCTATATATCTCATTGGTGTATCATAAAGTAAAGTAGTCGTAGTAGTCAACTCAATCAGCTTCTCTGACCTAAAAGTAAACCTATATATCTCATACGTGTATCATAAAGTAAAGAAGTCTTGGTAGTCACCTCAATCAACTTCTCTGACCTAAAAGTAAACCTATATATCTCATAGGTGTATCATAAAGTGAAGAAGTCGTAGTAGTCACCTCAATCAGCTTCTCTGACCTAAAAGTAAACCTATATATCTCATACGTGTATCACAAAGTAAAGTAGTCGTAGTTGTCACCTCAATCAACTTCTCTGACCTAAAAGTAAACCTATATATCTCATACGTGTATCATAAAGTAAAGAAGTCGTAGTAGTCACCTCAATCAACTTCTCTGACCTAAAAGTAAACCTATATATCTCATTGGTGTATCATAAAGTAAAGTAGTCGTAGTAGTCACCTCAATCAACTTCTCTGACCTAAAAGTAAACCTATATATCTCATACGTGTATCATAAAGTAAAGAAGTCGTAGTAGTCACCTCAATCAACTTCTCTGACCTAAAAGTAAACCTATACATCTCATACATGTATCACAAAGTAAAGAGGTCGTAGTAGTCACATCAATCAGCTTCTCTGACCTAAAAGTAAACCTATATATCTCATTGGTGTATCAAAAAGTAAAGTAGTCGTAGTAGTCACATCAATCAGCTTCTCTGACCTAAAAGTAAACCTATATATCTCATACGTGTATCATAAAGTAAAGAAGTCGTAGTAGTCAACTCAATCAACTTCTCTGACCTAAAAGTAAACCTATATATCTCATACGTGTATCATAAAGTAAAGAGGTCGTAGTAGTCACATCAATCAGCTTCTCTGACCTAAAAGTAAACCTATATATCTCATACGTGTATCACAAAGTAAAGAAGTCGTAGTAGTCACATCAATTAACTTCTCTGACCTAAAAGTAAACCTATATATCTCATTGGTGTATCATAAAGTAAAGAAGTCGTAGTAGTCACCTCAATCAACTTCTCTGACCTAAAAGTAAACCTATATATCTCATACGTGTATCATAAAGTAAAGAAGTCGTAGTAGTCACCTCAATCAACTTCTCTGACCTAAAAGTAAACCTATATATCTCATACGTGTATCATAAAGTAAAGTAGTCGTAGTAGTCACATCAATCAGCTTCTCTGACCTAAAAGTAAACCTATATATCTCATACGTGTATCACAAAGTAAAGAAGTCGTAGTAGTCACATCAATCAACTTCTCTGACCTAAAAGTAAACCTATATATCTCATTGGTGTATCATAAAGTAAAGAAGTCGTAGTAGTCACATCAATCAACTTCTCTGACCTAAAAGTAAACCTATACATGTCATACGTGTATCATAAAGTAAAGTAGTCGTAGTAGTCACCTCAATCAACTTCTCTGACCTAAAAGTAAACCTATACATCTCATTGGTGTATCATAAAGTAAAGAAGTCGTAGTAGTCACATCACTCAACTTCTCTGACCTAAAAGTAAACCTATATATCTCATTGGTGTATCATAAAGTAAAGTAGTCGTAGTAGTCACATCAATCAGCTTCTTAAGGAAGCCTATACATCTCATACATGTATCACAAAGTAAAGTAGTCGTAGTAGTCACCTCAATCAACTTCTCTGACCTAAAAGTAAACCTATATATCTCATACGTGTATCATAAAGTAATGTAGTCGTAGTAGTCACATCAATCAACTTCTCTGACCTAAAAGTAAACCTATATATCTCATTGGTGTATCATAAAGTAAAGTAATCGTAGTAGTCAACTCAATCAGCTTCTCTGACCTAAAAGTAAACCTATATATCTCATTGGTGTATCATAAAGTAAAGAAGTCTTGGTAGTCACCTCAATCAACTTCTCTGACCTAAAAGTAAACCTGTATATCTCATAGGTGTATCATAAAGTGAAGAAGTCGTAGTAGTCACCTCAATCAGCTTCTCTGACCTAAAAGTAAACCTATATATCTCATACGTGTATCACAAAGTAAAGTAGTCGTAGTTGTCACCTCAATCAACTTCTCTGACCTAAAAATAAACCTATATATCTCATACGTGTATCATAAAGTAAAGAAGTCGTAGTAGTCACCTCAATCAACTTCTCTGACCTAAAAGTAAACCTATATATCTCATTGGTGTATCATAAAGTAAAGAAGTCGTAGTAGTCACCTCAATCAGCTTCTCTGACATAAAAGTAAACCTATATATCTCATACGTGTATCATAAAGTAAAGAAGTCGTAGTAGTCACCTCAATCAGCTTCTCTGACCTAAAAGTAAACCTATATATCTCATACGTGTATCATAAAGTAAAGAAGTCGTAGTAGTCACCTCAATCAACTTCTCTGACCTAAAAGTAAACCTATATATCTCATACGTGTATCATAAAGTAAAGAGGTCGTAGTAGTCACCTCAATCAACTTCTCTGACCTAAAAGTAAACCTATATATCTCATACGTGTATCATAAAGTAAAGAAGTCGTAGTAGTCACCTCAATCAACTTCTCTGACCTAAAAGTAAACCTATACATCTCATACATGTATCACAAAGTAAAGAGGTCGTAGTAGTCACATCAATCAGCTTCTCTGACCTAAAAGTAAACCTATATATCTCATTGGTGTATCACAAAGTAAAGTAGTCGTAGTAGTCACATCAATCAGCTTCTCTGACCTAAAAGTAAACCTATATATCTCATACGTGTATCATAAAGTAAAGAAGTCGTAGTAGTCACCTCAATCAACTTCTCTGACCTAAAAGTACCTCAGGTGCTCCGGAAGGGTAAGCAGATCCTGCTCCACATGTGGCACCCGTCGTGTTGCTTATGTTATTACAAATCCGGTAAATAGTCTAATTCGGTAAGTCACATTCGTGAAAAGGGAAGGGTATTGTGGTTACGACATAAGGAACATATCCGATATCATCTGTGAAACGGTTATTCAATAACGGTCAACCAACTCGTGATGGCGTCCGTAAAATTTACGAAGGGATGATTTCATCTTCACCATTTGGAACTCTTGGCTTAATAGCTTCCTTGTGAGCAGCAATCCTCTATCAAGGAAATCATGATAGGAAACACAAGCCCGGGAATATCGTATCAATTGGGAGATAAATACTCCGTATGCAGGCGCTGCTGGAATGTTGCTACATAGAAATGGAAAGTTCACAATTGGGAAGCTGAAATCATCTCTTTTGTCGTAAAGTTTTGTTTTCAACCGACCCTCATTGTCAATTTCTAGATGTAAGTCAAGATATGAGGCCGACTTAACTGTATCTGTAGTATCCTTTATCTCTAGTTCGATGGGATAGATTCGTTCAACATAGTCACCAAATTTTGTATTATTTAGTGAGAGAATATCATCTATATAGCGGAACGTAGAGTTAAAGGATATTGCTAACTTCTTATCTTTCTTCCTAAGAAGTTCCTGTATGAAGTCAGCCTCATAATAATAAAGAAACAAGTCGGCAAGAAGAGGGGCACAATTGGTTCCCATTGGAATTCCGACAGTCTGTTGAAAAACACGTCCACCAAACGTAACAAATATGTTGTCAATCAAGAAATCAAGCATCTTGATAATGTCAGTTTCAGAGAATTTTTGTATGTGAGGGCCTCAGGGAAGATTAGTTTATTGTAAGTAACTGAGTTTATCCTCTTTAAATAAAGAATTTATTATATTATTATTATTATTATAGTAGTCACATCAATCAGCTTCTCTGACCTAAAAGTTAATCTATACATCCCATACATATATCACAAAGTATAGTAGTTGTAGTAGTCACATTAATCAGCTTCTCTGAACTAAAAGTAAACCTATCTATATATATATATATCATACATGTATCACAAAGTAAAGTAGTCGCAGTATTCACACCAATCAGCTTCTCTGACATAAAAGTAGACCTATACATCTCATGCATGTATAACAAAATGAAGTAGTCGTATTATTCACATTAATCAGCTTCTCTGACCTAAAAGTAAACCTATACATCACATGCATGTATCACAAAGTAAATTTGTCGTAGTGGTTACATCAACCAGCTTATCTGACCTAAAAGTTAACCTAAATTATTTCACAATATTTCTTAGAATATGATGATGAGCAGGCAAATATGAAATAGTACCTTGGTGAAAATTTTTACCAGCGTTTTAAGTAATACCTTATTCAGTGTCTAATGGTTAGGGCTTTATTGAGTCATACGTAAAATCACGAAGAAAATACTAGACAAAGGCTAAATGCTATAGGCAAAAAATCTATTCTTTCAATAAACTCATCATAGATACCAGACCCAAAACTTTGTACAGCAGCTGCACTTTTTTTAACAAAAACTCATCAGTGACGCTCGAATAAAAAAAAAGTTTAAAAGACCAAATAAAGTATGAAATTGAAGAGCATTGACGACCCACAGTTCCGAAGGTATTGTCAAATACCGTAATAAACTTGTAGTTGATATAAATAATTAGTTGATGTAATTGGTACTTCTTTTTAACATGATGTCAATCTTCATCTTACTTCATCAAATAATAAAGACTCTGCTGTAATAGTAGATATAATTGAAGCAACAAGGCATTGGTGTTAAAAATAGTTGACCCTAGGGTTGAATATATAAACAAAACCTTGTGAAAATGTCATTAATGGAGATATTAAAGTACATAAACCTTATTTTCAAACCAGATTCTATTTTTTGCTGAACTAGTATACATTATTGTTGAGGGACCAACTGAAGCCCGCCTCCAGTTGCGGGATTTTCTTGTTGTGTTGAAGACCCATTGGTGGCCTTGGGCTGTTTTCTGCTCTTTGTTCGGGTTGTTGTCTCTTTGACACATTCCCCGTTTCCATTCTCAATTTTATCTATTATCATTGAAATCAAAAAATGAATTATCAAAATAAGGATATTTCTTGTCGTCAAATATTTATTACCTTCCGAAGCGTAAATTAGTCTTATCATGAACCAAAAACAGGAAACCAGCACAATTAATGAGGATTCAACAACATTCATTCTTAACTTTCTACGGGCTTAAAATGATTTCTGATATATCAACCCCGGAGATTGGAGATCGCCCCCAGTTATTGGTGGGGTTCGTGTTGCTCAGTCTTTAGTTTTCTATGTTTTGTTTTGTGTTCTGTTGTTTGTCTTTTGGTCGTTTTCTTTTTTTGCCATGGCGTTGTCAGTTTATCTGTGACTTATGAGTTTGAATGTCCCTTTGGTATCTTTAGCCTCTCTTTTTCCACGTTTTGTGATTTCATAAGAAATTTAAAGGTTGCGAACATGTACAGGACTATATACTTGCTTTTCAATAAAGCTGGTCCTCTCTTGATATGCCTCTATGGTGGATAATCCCTGAGTTGTAGTGTTTAGATGGGCAAATAATGGCGAATTTGCAACATTTGATATTCTTTTCATTTGTCTAGTTGATGCATTAAAAATGTTTTTGAGAACAGCAAAGGCGATAAGAACTGGAATAACTCCGATAAGTATCCATGGTATTACTACTGCTGCTGATACTAAAGAGAGAATCACAGTGCTCAATATTTGTAATATATCATCAATCCTCTGTGGCAGGAAAACGTCAACTACAATTGTAAAAGAAAAAAATGGATATATAAAAAGGATAACAGGAATGACAAAATACAATCGGATATTACAAGGGATAATTAAAAACCAACTTCTGCGATAAAAACAGTGGTACAAACAAACAACAACGAACAGCACATGGACTCACTAGGTATAGGCACATATTGTGGTGGTATATAACCAATGTAACATGCACACAAACCGTCCCCTTTGTCTATATCGACCATATGTT